GTTTGTTGTGCCTGCTCTAGCATATTTGTTTTGATTGAACTAAATACATGAGAAAACCATTATAATACGATGAGCACATTAATGAAACAAATTTTGATTTACAGCAACATTATTTTCAATCCATCTTTTATGATAGTATACTGTCTTATTGTTTCCAAACTTAAGTTCCAAAAATTAACAAGTGACGGTATAATGCAGAGAAATATAACATAAGTAGCAAACAATCCCTTGGGATTACCAACAAGAATTCCAATCATAATAATTATTATCATCATCATCATTATCATCATCATCATCATCATCATCATCATCATCGTCGTCGTCGTCACCATCAACATAATTTATTGTCATTATTATATCAATATCAACATCATCATTACTATCATCATCATCATCATCATCATAATCATCATCATCATCATCATAATCATCATCATAATAATCACTATCATACACCTTCATTCAACCTCTAATTATTTATATATCATCATTACCGTTGTCATTATCATGATATCATCATTATAATCATCATCATCATCATCATCATCATCATCATCATCATCTCGATGATTATCGTCATCATCTTTATTCGTTCGTTCGTGTCTCCTTAGATCAAGATTAATGTAATCTTGATCTTCGGAGTAGTTGCTACAACCGGCCGTGTCAGACACGTTGCCCCGGGGTGCGAGTTAGGACTCTTGTAGCGTGCCCCCATTTAAAACAATTATACAATAACAATTAACATTGCATTTAATTAATAGTAAGACCCATAAAAATTACTCTCATGTATCATCACCATTATCACTATCATTGCCTTAATGTTAAAAATATTTTTACACTCAGTCAAACTCCTATTATAATCTGTCAAAATCATCATCAGCATAATTATAATCATAATAATCATCATCATCACCATCATCCTTTGTTTTAAGTCTTGTTTTCCCTTTACATTAGTGTTTTTTTCTCCCAAGTTATGAGCAAACCTTGATAAAGGTGTGTTTCTAGAAATAAAACAAAATAATCCCTACCTCGATGATAATCCCTTCATCACCGTTGTCCAGGACAGTCATTGGGGCAAGCTGGTTAGTTGCCGTAGCAACCGCATCACTAGCCCCTTCTGCTAGAGCAGCAGGCATCTCAGCGGTGTGCTGTTCGTCAGGCACGCCGGCCGGCCGGCGGCGGGGTCTGTTGGCTCTGCGCTGGATGCTTTGATGTTCTTCCTCCCGAGTTAACCAAGGAATGTTAGATAAGTCCTCCATAATTCTAAAGTGAGAAAAATCCCCCATATGAGTTGGAATATCATTTGTTATATGATTGTCACAACATAAAACAGACAGAGATAGAGAAAGGGGTTAGGGGAGGAGAGAGAGAGAGAGAGAGAGAGAAAGAGAGAGTTTACGGTATTATTATTATTATTAATAATAATATGCTTAATGCTCTAACACTAATTCATTATTACTAAGAAATAGATGACTTCAACGTAATCTTGTTCATAAGTATTGTTCTATTATGATTCGAAGAGTAATAACTACCACATTATTGTTACACCATATCGGTATTTCTGAAATTTTTCTGATTTATCTCTCATGCAAACAACTAACAAATTGTCCTTTGTTTCCATACGCGTAATTCATATTACACATGCTCTCACTCTTTTTTACTCCGCTAACGTTCACATTATTTCACGTTTATTGAGATAAAAAGTAAGACTATTTGAATCAAAATACGACAGGTAGAACTTACATTAGTTTCCCGATGGTTTCTTGATCAAGATCTTAGAAATCTCCGAAAAATTCCTCCAATTATTGCCAATAAATGCTAAGAATTCGTACGAGTTGCAAATCGTATGAAGATCAAACACAATCTAAAGATTTAGCGTATATAACCAATGGGAGTATATTTAGCGCACGTTACCAAGGTATGACGTCATAGTCAAAACTTTTGTCCAATCCCCGCGCGCTTAGCACTCATTATTATCAGCGCTCGCGCATGGGCAGTCCAGAGCGCGGCAGCCTTCTAAAGCATAGAGTTGTTATATACAGCTCTGTGCGGTACATTTCCTGAAAAGGGAACTAAACTGATTCAAGGGCCACCTTGAACTGCTCCAAAGAAGGCAGTTCGACGATTTTCTGAGGTAGCTCGTCCCAGCCCTTAAGTGTCCTGGGGAAATAACTAAATTTGTAAGTGTCCATTGAAGAGCCTAGTCTCATATATCGTTGTTGTTGACTCCTCCTTGTAGTTCGCTCCCTCGGTTTGATGTAATCCGGTATTGGTATCGCAATTTTGTTATTTGCTATCTTGTGGAACATAGACAATCGTGCCTGTTTTCTTCTTTCTTTAAGAGTTGGGAGATTAAGTTGTTCTCGCATGGATGTTACACTGGCGTCACGAAGCGATACTCGCTATTTGAATAGTAGGAGAGCACCAACTGTAGCGATCTAACTCGCTATTACAGATTTCGCTACTATATAGTTATTAGTAAGAGTTTGTACTATTCTAGTAGTAGAGCGCCAACTATAGTGATCTAACTCGCTTTTGGAATTTCGTTTTATATAGCAGCCGTAGCGATCTAACTAGCTATTTGAAATTTGGCACTATAGTAGGAGCGTCAGCTGTAGCGATCTAACTTGCAATTTGAATTTCGCTCTTATTATATAGGAGAGCCCAGCAGCCTTAGCGATCTAACTCGCTATTACAGATTAGTAAGAGTTTGTCGCAACAAATTTCTGCCCTTATACATTGTATATGAGAGCACAACATCGTTATGTTTGCGAGAGAGTAAAGACCCTAGATGAGAGGGATACCGGTGGATTAAGAAAGAGAGAGAGAGAGAGAAGGTGGGATTTAGAGAGAATATAATAGACAGCAAGAACATACAAAACTGAATAGATTAACATTTCATCATTATATGCATGTATAAGACACAGAAATAAATACAAGTTCTACATATTTTTTTGAATAAATCAATCACTATATCACTCAAAACAATCACCAGAAAACACAAATATCAAACTGATAAGTACCCCGGCATCCACCCACCCCCCCCCCCCAATCACCCAATCAATCAATCAATTAATCAAATACCAGAAAATTCAACCAGTTTATCAATCAATCAACAAACCAATCAATTAACAAACCAATCAATTATAAACTAATCACGAGAGCATTCAATCAGGTAACGATCAATCAATCACCAAACATTCATCTGCGTAACTATCAATCCACTGGCCAACCAATCCATAGAATATTTAGGTTCTATAGGACACCTACCCCCTGGACATCCACCCCAGTCAACTACCCCCTAGACATCCACCCCAATCAACTACCCCCTAGGACAACTACTCCCCCCGGACAACTACCACCCGGACAACAACCCCCTACGACAACAATCCTCTAGGGCAACTACCCCCCTGACAACTATCCTAAGGGGTAGTGTTCTTGGAGGTAGTTGTCTGGGGGATAGTTGTCCTCCAGGGTCGTTGTCCTAGGGGGTAGTAATCTTTGAGGTAGTTATTCGGGGGGGGTAGTTGTCCCGGGGGTAGTGTTTCTAGGGGGACGTTGTGTGGGGTGGTTATCTGGGGGTGGATGTCCAGGGGGTAGGTGTCTGATTATGAATATTTAGTAAAGGCATCAAACAAATCATATATCAGGGGATCAATCAATAGAGGTATAAATAAATTAAAGGTAAAGACCAGTATTGGAAATTCCCCAATTTCAAAAAATGAAATGGAAGCTCTTATTACCAATCATGTGAAAGAATGTTTTGACAAGTACATGATGATAAAAATGTTGCCAGGAAACCGCCTACTAATTGATATATTTGGTAAATTAGTTTATCTATAGGTATGTGAGAGATAAACGCATGTGTGTCGCGCACGTGTCGTGCACGTGTACATAGTCCCATATACATCTTTCTGTGTACAGTGCTTGTAGCTTTACAAAGACTGGGCCAAATTTCTTATCATTTTGATGATTCCAGAACCTTGCAGTACACACCAATACTCATATGCTAGATGATCAACCTTTTCTGATCGATTCCACAACATTTCTTTCACAATGCAATCGCATAACTGGTCTTTATCTTTAACTGATTAATCAATCAATCAATCACTCAAAAATTAATCAAAGTCTCAATTAATTGAACAATCAACCCCAAAATCAATCACTCTATCAATTAGCTGACCAGTCAATTATTATTAAACCAACCAATCAATTTATCAATTAGTTTACTAATCAATCACTCAATCAATCCAATTCCAGAAAATTAATTCAATCTATCAAACACTCATCAAACAACCAACCAATCACGCAAACATTTAATCAGGTAACAATAAAGTAATCGAACATCCAAATTATAATTTACGGTATCAGTACACTAATCAACCAATCACTTGATCAAATAATCAATAAAATGATCAATCAATGGAATTGTGAAAAAAATTAAATGATTAATTTATCAATCAACCAAGAATTCATTCAAGGTTTCAATCAACTGATCACCCAATCAACCCAATCTAGCAGACCACCCATAAACACTCACTTAAAGATAAAGTTGAGTTCTGGTCGTGCGATTGCATTGTGAAAGAAACAGTGTGGAATTGATCAGAAAAGGTTGATCATCTAGCATTTAGGTATCGCGGTGTGTACTGCAAGGTTCTGGAATCATCAAAATGATAAGAAATTTGGCCCAGTCTTGGTAAAGTTAAAAACACTGTATACAGAAAGATGGATATGGGACTACCCGAACATGTGGTGTAAAAATCTGTCCAGATTTGTATGCTGTTACATGCCATTTTCAGAATATTAAGGCATTTGAAGAGCCATGCTTTTCAGGGAACATTTTAAATCTGATGTTCTTCCACACTTGCATAATAACGTTGATAATGCTCACAAATTATTTTTCACCTCTTCCCAGAATTCAACCTTCTCTTGAACCACATTCATGGATCACATGGTAAAATGAATACAAAAACACAACAAACCAGTAGTAATCGCTAATGTACATTTCATAACTGATAAATATCCTCTATTTTATTGTACCACAATTCTACAATTTAAACATATATTTTCATATACAAATATGATTCCCAATCTGCATAAAACATATATTGACTTTCATAATTGTTTTACATTTACTGCTTACGGATTCAAAACAATCAGAAAGTAAGTCGAAATCCATAACAAAAAATACTTTTACAAGATATACATTTGGGGCCAGTTTCTCAAAACCCTTTGTGGACATCCCACAGAAACATGTCTTAATTCTATAGCACAATTTTCAATGTTATGTCCAAGAATTTTGCCTTATGATAGTTTCGAGAAACTACTCCTTGATCACAAGTAAAGACATAAAGACTCAACGATATGATAATGCAATTCTTTGATATCAAGGCACAGAATATATAAATTACATCAAATCTTTATTTTGTATAGAGAATAAATTCAGTGAAATGCCTGTAGCTTGTTAAATTCTGTTCAAAGAATCCTAACAGACCGATGGGGATATACTTTCATGACATAGGTCTTGTAATATAATCTACATTTTGCACATTATTAACAAGATGTTTACAGTACATTTTCATATTACCTTAAAATAACAGAGAAGGTCAGAAAGAACAACTTAGATTTCAGATAAATCTATAATCTCAATATAAGACAAATACAAAACACAATTCTTCAAGCATTATGGACATGTTTGAAGTATCTAGTACTCGATTCTTCTTCTTTTTTCCCTTCTTATTTTGTTCATGAAGGCCCAATTCTATTTCATCAACATGCTGTGCTTAAGCTTAGAAAATAAAAAACTTGGTTGAAGTTCTTAAACCAGGCCCAAACACCAAATCTGATTGAAATCCATAGTAGGTTAGGGGCCAAAATCTTTAAAAGCATGTTTTTTTTTAGTAAATTGTTTCATTTTAGAAAGACCAATTACATTTATATTCACATAATCATTGAAATTGAGACAAAACAACAGGAGAATGAATTTGGCAAATATCAACAAACACAAAATAGTTAATCCATATACACTTTTCATATTAACAATAAATCGAGACCCTCAACAATTTTACCGGCCGTAACTCTTGAAACTCAAGTTCTTGACCAAAGTCTCAAAAAACTTAACATTTTTTATACATGAATATTAAACAAAGCAAGGTTTATAAATTACATCGGAACTGTACAACCACATAGACTACCGTTCTCTATACGAATCTTTCTCATAATACTCAAACCCGCTGGCAAAGCCAAAGTCGTAAGGCACCTCCGCGACGATCATGTCACTCAGCTGGCAAGGATAACCGTTCGACGTCCACACATCCTTGTAGTTGAACGACACGCAGTCCGTGTCCTCCAGACATTTGTTGATGCATTCCAGGAAGTTGCGGACCTTGTAGCTTCCCAGGAGGTGGTTGGAGAGGACGTAGTTCTTCAGGTCGTGGTAGGGGTTGACGAAGAACCAGCGGGAGCCCCGGGTGTAGTCAATCGGACCCACTGGAGAAGGGAGAAGAGAGACCAAGGATCGTTGGTTAGAAGCGAATACATGTATGGGTAAGTTAAAGCCTGTCTGCACTAGTTTGGCCAGGAGGGATTAGACCTCCATGCATGGTCACTGGCAGGTGGTTATCTCATCAAATCCAACCCTATTTCGATGAAAACCAAGTGGTTGTTTTATTAAGCATGTGGGAATGGAAGAATTCAGTAAGCTGTGGATAAATTAAGTGCAGGAAACTTACTGAGACATCTGTAGGTGACCCTGAGGTACTTGTACGTTCCTACGCAGGGCTCCTGGTTGACATAGTACTTCCAATGGCTGGGCACTGTGCAGTTCCTCTCGTTGGTGCAGAGAGAGCGAGCTTCGGTCAGAACTCCGGGCGTGTCGCACCCCTGGAACGAGGTGAAAGATGGGAGGTTCTCCCGGTAGGCGCAACGGAATTGATCTGTTTGGAAAATGAGATGAGATTGAATGATAATTGATGCTGTAAGTATTATAAAATCCATCAAAAAAAAATTAAATGTTGACAAAGTGAGGTGACAACAGCTAAAGGCATTAAGGTTCAGGTGAAGGATGGGAGGTTCTCTCGGTAGACGCAACGGAATTGATCTGTTTTGAAAAGGAGATGAGATTGGATGATGATTGATGAGTCACTACCAGTAAGTATCATGAAATCCAACCAAACACAACTAAATATTGTCAAAGTGAGTTGACAACAGCTAAAGCCATGAAGGTTCATCTCAAATCATGATTCAAACCTCTATAAGCATAAGTACATGCATTGCCTCAATTGCAATAAAAGAACAATATACACTTCTTTACATATATTTTAGTCCACTGTGAAGGAATAAACCATGTTTTGACTATGGTTAAATTTTATCCTCATTTGTGAGTTTGGGTCGACTGTTTTCATCTGATTGTTCATTCCTCCATGTTTTGGCATCAACATTTGTGGTATACTGATAAATAACTTTACATCATTGAGTCGGATAAATATGTAATTTTGCAAGAGCTCATTTCTGTTAATTGAGGATGGATTTAATAGTTCCAACCTTACTACAGACAAACCTGTCTATCAAGGCCATCCAAGGGAAACTGGCCACTATAGACAGGTGACCTTTATATACATGTTTGACCCCACACATTTCTTCCTAGACGAAGAAATATAGCAAACCACTATACACACGTGGCCTTTATAAAGAAGTGGCCACTTAGACAGGTTCGACTGTACTTTTGAGTGTGGGACAAAAGATAAACCATGATAATTCCAGATGCAGTAAACTTATCTTAACCCCTTGCCTACGGGAATCTGGTGGCCCTTGTATTAAGCCTATGGCAATGAAAGAACTCAGTAGTCAACGGGCTAAAAGGTATTTAACACACACTGTTGGTCAAGGTTCAATATCCTTTTTCCGATACTGTATTTTATATTTTCTTTCTTAGATGGACAGGACGGGATTTAGTTAACTCATATTCTGCCATAAGGCCGCATCCACACTACCGTGATAGTGCTTGGTACACGCGAGCACGCTATTAATTGGCTGCTTCATGCATGCTTGCTCGCATTCGTAATAGCAGTTATTGTTCATGCTCATTGTACTGTGCTGAGTGCTTTGGACGCGCTATTGATTGTACCATCGCATGCATCAGATTATCTCAAAATAAACTTGGCACAGGGGGGATTTGTGGCTTGGCACAATGGGGATTAGCTCTGTGGCTCTGGGCTGTTTTCATTATGGCAGGATAAGAGCTAAAGGATAGAGCAAACTTACCTCCTTCGGTTCTTCCATACTCTGCCTCAATGATCCTAACATGTGGGAAATCCACTGGACATTCTACTGATAAATCATCGTGATCTTGACATGCGTACATGGTGAAATCATTTTTCGGACGCCCAGCTGAATGGAGAAAGAGAATGAGAAAATTTAACAAAATCGTTTCAATGTTATCAAAATTACTTCTTTATAAATCAAAGATTACTCTTAATGATTTATTTATTTTCATAAATTATGGCGCATTGAACTGGAACAACCTGGACTACCTCAAAAAAATGGACCAGTTCAATGATTAAGATTATCATAACGCAAAAACAAAAGCGTAATTGAAGAATTTGATGGCACGGGTCAGCTGACAGCGAGTCGAGGATGTCAGAGGTCACATCTACGCTGCACTGTCGTTCATTCTCACACTAAACTACATGTATTCCAAAGAGCCGCACCATCAAATGAAAAACTTTGTTTTCCAATCTGTGTTCTTATTTTGGGTAAGATTAATTCTGCGTTCATGTAATAAAGATTACAAGAAGTGGTAGCATTGGATTAAGTGAGAAATGATGTCTTACCCAGGCAATCATAGTCAACTTGTAGATACTTGGAGGATATGCTGGAGCAGGGGTAAGTTGAGGTCAGAATGCTTCCATCAACCTAACAATCAGAATAAAAACAACACACACGTACGTGATTACATTAAGAATGGCTATGATTTCTTCTTGAAACCGCTATAGACGAACGAGGGTGAGGTCTGTGTTTACTATTCATTCTACATTGCAAAGCTTTGACTTCCATATTACTCAGAGTACATTGTACATTGTACATGTCTAACATGCACCAGATACAAGGACAAAAATTCAAAAATTAATGCAGTATGCTACATATGGTGGCTACAGTGGGTGAACACTGAAGTTTAATTCCAATAACACCCATGTAGTCACATAGACGAGACCTATACCAGGGCCCCGTCTTATGAAGTGTTGCGATTGATCCAAATCAATTACCAGTCCTCTTATTAATTGCATGTTTGCAGTCCCCTGTCTCTTATTAACATAGTCGTGATTGAAATCAGCCGCAAATAAGTTACAAATAATATGAACTCTTTATAAGACAGGGCCCAGATCAATAAAAAATTATATTTTCCCAAATGACCAGTATCCAGTTGCTTAACGGTCATTCTATTTTTTAAATGGTCAGTTTGGGGTCGGTCTGGAGGTTTGAATGAGGTATAAATAAGTACTCACCGGAATACTGCATGTTCTTTGGTCCTGACAGTATGACTCGACAATGGCCTGCGTGTCGCTTGACCGACAATTGGTAATATCGTCGTTGCCATCGGCTGCGGGACATACGTAGGATGAGCTACCGACCTGGGTGCGTCCGTAGAATGCATCGTTGACGGATATGTAGGTTCCGTCGGGACACGAGAGAGATAGCTCCGCATCAAGACCCTCACATCCGATAAGAGATATCTCTCCCGATGGGAGCTCATCTGTTTCAGAAAAAGATGCGTGAAAAAAAGTTAATTAAGTAGAAAAATAGCTTTTTTAAACAGTCAGCCAATCGGAACTCAGTTCCAATTAGTTCCATTTGATTTCTATTATCTGTCCATTCTTAAATTTAACCTGTTTGTGTGTATTTCAAGCTTTTCTTCGAAAAAGTGCAGAGGTTATGCTTTATTGCTTATGATTTAGGTGCAAAAAAGAGATTTGTATACTTACCAATGTACATGTACATGTTCATCTTTAATAGTAAAACGGAACAAATAAATAAATCAAAAAATAAATAAATGGTAGGCTCTCATACTGGAAATTAGAGTAAAGGAGCAATAGACCAAGTGGGAAGTAAACTTATTGGAGATTAGACCAAATGGAAATGAGGCAAAATGACTATTATCCTTAATGGTCTAATGATAATTTCAGGAGTGTCGTGGGCAAGTGGTTTAAGGCGCATGACTGGAGATGTGAAGGTCGAGGGTTCGAATCCTGACACGGCACTAATATCCTTTGGCAAGATATTAACCTGCACTTGCTACTCTCCACCCAGGTGTTAACCCTACGTTAACTGGGGGGGGGGGGTCAATTTGACCCCCCCCTGTAGAAATTTCGCGACTACTCCGAAACCGCGGCAGATATAAAATTTTCCTTTCATGACTTTTTACTTTCGAGTCTTACGCATCTTTTAAAACAATTTTTTTGAAAATCGGACCTACGGTTACAAGGTCACGTGACCTTTTGTCTTTGCATGTCAGCCCGAAAATCGCTCATTTTCGTGATTTGTGTACAAAACATATGTAAAAGTCATTTTTCCTAAAAATAGATAAAACATTGGTTATTCAGTCTTGTTTAAAGTTTAGATGTTTGTTTTGGGGTCAAAATAGTTGAATTGTAGTTATAAATGAAATAAAACAACAAAAACAATAAAATACATAAGTTAAAAAAACAATGAAATACATAAGAAATTATAAAAACAAGAGATAACATAAGGAATAACCTGACTCTTCCAATTTTTTGTGTTGTATTATTATTCCAAATGGTCTAATAAATATATGTAGTGAAAAAGAATACGTAAACATGAATAATCTATGATTTATGGGCAGAATTGTGAATTTGATGACCTTATTTGCATAAATTACCATAAATATGCAAATGAGTGAATTTTTCAAAAATTTGAAATTACCATAGTATTCTATACACTTCACTTGACATGCATGCGAATTTTCGCGGCGATCGGCGGTGAAACGGCTTAGATTTTAGGGGGGGGTCAAATTGACCCCCCCCCAGTAAAAACCTGGTCTGAAATAGCCCAGTTAAAATAGGGTTAAATGGGTACCCGGAAGAATGCGACCGTCATTGTTGGTCAAACAGTTCTGAGCGTCAGGTTACGCCTGGCTGGAATGCTCCCCAGGGAGTGGAGATTGTGCACACATTGTGTGCGGGCAAGTTTTGAATCCAATGACCGGGGTAAAAATATATCTGTAAAGCGCTTAGAGACATCATAGATGTATTAAGCGCTATATAAAAGCGGAGTTATTATTATCAATTTGACAAAATGATTATTAGACCATGTGGATAGTAGGCGGATTGGGTGTAGACCAAATGGCAATGAACCTGTACATGTACTTACCTTTGCAATCAAATGTAACCTCAAGTTGCATCCTGTGGGTGGTGCAGGGCGTGGCTCCTAGGAAGTAGTCATCAGCACGCACAGTGCAGGTCACCTTGTTGTCACAGTTCGCACCTACGACACCCTTGACGTCCTGGCTAGAGCAGGCTACCGCTGTACGGAGGAAAATAAAATAAAAAATTGTACCATTTATATTCTGTCATGCTTCCTACATGCGAGTGTGAGGAATTTGTTTTATACAAAATTTTGTGGAGTCCACCTCATTTGACTGTCAATGGGTTTAAAGTGACTTCACTTTTGTTTTCAGAGTGAGATCCACTACACAAGTACATGTATAAGCCAGTTTGTAAATACTATCTGCACATGGGCAGATAAAGGTCATTTGTTTCCAAATTGTAAAAACCTATCTAGTCGAATACTGGTATCTTGCTCATGAAAGTTATGTAATCAGTATTCATTTATGCACCGACAGGACATTCTATGGAACACAGGTGGAAATATTCTTCTCAAGAGGGCAAACAAAAGATATTCATGAAGCACCTCCATCACTTTGGCAGAGATTATTCTAAAATGCACAAGTGGGACGTATCCATCATGTAAAAGATCTGTTTATTTTGGGGGTCATGCGTACCGAAGCTATTTACGAACTGGCTTATTGAGGGCATATCTAATGTCAGAAAATTTGAATGAACAACAGTGATTGTTAACTTTTCACAACATTGCCAATTAAAGAATTTCAGTCCTTATTTTATATGTTTAAATCGTCATACATCAACCTGTAATGTAAAAAAAAAAAAATATAAAATATTTCTTTCTCCTCAAGCATCTGGATTAATTTTTTATGACACTCAAAATACGAGCAATTATCGGTAAAGCTGAGGAAGCAGGTTCAAAACTGAGTCACATCTTTTGGATGGTGACATTAATGGTCGGTCCACAGACGTAAATAGTCATATGTGATCGATACACGTCTGTAAAAAACCCAATTACACACACACTAAAGGGTTTAAAATGAATGGACTCACTGTTATCAGATGGTGATTCAGTACACCAGGATGGAGAGGTAGCAGTGACAGGTTTGTAAGAGGCACTGGTGATCTCAATGAAGCGGTTACTGCCGTAGCAGGCAATCTGAAGATCTTCCTCTCTGCACACTGCGTATGTGGACGACAGGGTGTTGTTTCCTGGAGTAAGAGATAATATCAATGTTATAGTGCTGTTTTCATTGAATATTGCCATCTTGTTTTATAATCTTGATTAAGGGGAGAGATAATTTTGTGATAGCATGGTGTTTATATAGCGATAGGACCCGGGGGAGACTTACTATTTAGTAACCTTCTTGTTTTTTGTTTGATACTGTAGCTTAATTCACACTTTTCTAATTTAAAAAGATGAAACGATTCATATTAAAGTTTCTCATATCAACAGTGAGACACTTCTGCAAAAATATTATGGGTACATTCTCCCGAACAAGGATTTTTATTAACATTTATATACTATTCAGGATGTGCCTGACCTTGTGACCATGCCTCCTTCCCTTTTTTTTTTATATGAGACACAATGATTAATGAAAAGGAAATAGCAACTCTATTTGTCTATCTATCTAGATGCTAACTTCATGTAGCATTGAATGATAATAGTTATAACAATGATAATATCGATAATGATAGTGATAACGATAATGATAATAATAATAATAACAATAACAATAAAATAATAATAATACCGGAACAACAATAATGGTATTACTAATAGTGCCAATCATCTCTTTAATTTATATCATGAACATCATCTATCCATCCATAAATTAAAGATTCTGAACTTGTACCTTCTAGGAATTTGTGACAGGTGTATTCCACCTCCAGGTACTTGAGCTCTCCCTGACATGGATCGGCCGACAGCGAGTCAAGGATGTCAGAGGTCACGTCTACGCTGCACTGTCGTTCATTCTCACACTTCTCCTTCACCAGATTGACCAGTGTGTCGATGTCTGCAGCACAGTCTGTATCGTACGTGTGATTTGACCATCTGTGGAAGGGAATGGTGAAAAGATATGTTTTATCATTTATAACTCTTCATGGATTAAAGTATTGGAAGAATTTAGTTTTGGTAAAGATTCCATTACCAAAGAGCTCCATGCCCAGATTGGCCCAAATTCACAAATGAGGTATATCTCAATCCCTCAATCCATGGTTTGAACCTCCGTAAGTGTAGTATGGGCATGTCCTCATGTTTCCATATTCCCATACTGGAAACACTTGCAGCCTTCAAAACAAAGGTTTATCCAACTTTGACCCATAATGCTTCAAAATCCGAGATACCACCCATATAGATTTCAAACTTAAAATAAAAGAACGCCTATACATTTGAAGAACTTTTGGAAATAATCACCAAATAACCCACTCATTTTATAACCGTAATTTGGAATGAAATATAAATATAAATATAAATATAATATCAATACATCTCATCTCTGACAGGTCAACAAATATGCAAACCAACCTGTGAGGGCAGTGTTTCCCATCTTCTCTGCGGCCATAGAAGACATTCTCAATCTTGAGGTAGCCGATCTCATTGACTGCGCATGAAAGCTCCAGGAGCTGGTCGTCACAGGCCATGGCTTTTATTGGGAAAGGTCCCACTGTCAAGAAAAGAACAACAACAAAAATTTGTATATAAAAATAGAGCTGTATGACAAGGATGTGGAGGTAACCTATTCTATGATATTCAAGCTTTGTTCGAATATGACTTGGCAAAGCCATGGCATTTTTTTAAATGATGACGTACACGTTATGCACTTCACATTCCTGTATTTTATTGCACAGAGATCAGTGAATGCACATGGGATCTTCGTTACGCGCAGTTTAGATATATTTAAGCGTTAACAAAATTGATTCAAAAATTGGTAAAAAATCACAATCTAATAGATTTGCTTACATGATGAATGAACACCAAAGAAGAAAAAAAGTTTCCCAATTTATTCATACACCAAATATCATCATGATAAAAATTTGCTTTCTGCTCTATAGAAAACCTAATGTTCAAAAACCCAATGTGATGAATTTTAAAAGAGTCTCTTACGGTGTTGGATTGTAACTTCACATATCTGTATGGCGTCTGTTCTTCCAACGAGCTGAATACTGATATACTGCCCTCTCATGGTGTGATTACAGAACACTGCGTTCGGCCCTGCTTGGGCGGAAGACACAGTGTCGCCGCAATCCTCGTTGAAGTTGATGTCGGTACTGTTGCCGATACGGACCTGGAAATTGTCCAGTGTGGCTGAAGAGGAAAAGAAAGGACGTATTTTTACTGCATAAATGTACACAAAGACAAGCATAAATGTAATATCAAGGTTTCCAAATGACTTGGAAAGTTTAACTTGCTGTTCTGACATACAGTTTGGAAGCTGTATGAAGCTTGTTTCCAGAAAGAATTAAAGAGAAGAAATTAAGACTTTGATTGAATCGTATATAAATTAAATTTCAAAATCCTTAACATATATGTGGGAAAAATATCAAGCATGACTAGTAATTCAACAGCAATCTTCATCATTGCATAAGGGTACTCTCTCTCTCTCTTTCACCTTCCCTCTCTCTATATAAATAAAGCATAACTTACCTGCAGAGCTGGCATCATCACAGGTGTAGACAGTGACGACATTGATGTCATAGGTCGCCTGGAGGTCGACGACCCACCAGGGTTCATACTCGTCGGCGGACTGCGTGCACCAACCCTCCGAGCAGTCCACCTCTAGGATGTAGTCCGTGGTGGTGTTGACGACCTCGGCAGACGACGAGAGGCTGCTCATGTTGGCTGCCTTCCCTCGGGCAAAGTCACTCCCTTTATTAGAGATAGAGAGAGAGAGAGAGAGAGAGGAGATGAAAAGGTGCAGTTGTTATCAAAGGTCATTAAATGTTGTATCTCACTGAGCGGCAAATGCTTGCGAAAGTAGCGAATTACGTTTGGCCAGGGTTCGTAAAAGGTTGCAAACAGTTTTCATTGTCGCAAACAGCTTTTCTTTGTAAATTTATTTCGCAAACAGTCGTAAGCCTTTGCAAATGGTTGTAAGACGTTTTTGCTGAAGTTCTTTTTGATTCACCAATGCTAGCGACCACTTTACCATATGGTTCCTATATAAAATCGACCCATTTTATGAGTACAAGGAGTTAGCAAAAGGACATACACTGTAAGGTCCCAAACATTCACAAAGAGTGGCAAAAGGATAGGCAAATAGTTGCTAATCTTCGCAAAAACTGTCGCTAACATTTGCTTACAGTTGCCAATATTCACCAACTGCCTTTTGCAAACATTCGCTCAAATATTGCTAATTGTCGCTAATTTCACATCAATATACAAAGCGTTTAACTCACTGTATCTTTCACAGCTGAACCTCACGTCCAGGTACTTAGGCTGCTCTGGACACGGGTCCGACAGGACGGTGGCAAACTCCACGTTGAGGCGACAGGTCTGCTTGTTGTCACAGTTTTTCTGGACCATCTTCAGGACCTGTTCCTGGTCCAGTTCGCAGTCCAAGGAATAAGTGTAGTTGTTCCCAACCGAGCAAAGACCTGTCATGGCACCAGAATGAAAGAGGTTTAATTAGGGTCTGGTCTGAAATCAGAAAATGGTACCCGAGTTGATATTGCACAATGTATGTGGTCCAAAAATATACATGGTTACAACGGATTGAATTGATCTGGCTTAATTATAAAAAGATTATAAAGAAATAAAAAATGCCAGCAATGAGGATGAAGTAATGTTCAAATTCAGTTGCATGTTCATGTAAAATAAATGAAAATTTGATTTTGCAAAAATATATTACCACAAAATTGCACACAAGAAATACAATAAAAGTGACCCACAAAACTGACAGGGGCATGAAAAGGGGAAACTACATAGAATTTGAGCAAGATATTCTAGTGTTTTTTTTCTTTACACAGAAGCAATATGAACAATACATTACATATAAATATGAACATGTAGGGAATTGAGATACAAAATTCATATCAGTCGTTTTTCTGAAAGCTCAATTACAAATGACTGGATAACACTGGTAACGTTGCTCTGCGGGGTCGGAGTAGATGGCGCCACAGAAAATCACGGCAAGAACACCTACCTTCTTCCTTTCTTCCATAGAAGGCTTTATGGATCTTGATGGAGTAGTCTGCCTGGCAGGCGATCGCTAGGTTCTCATCATCACACTCCAAGGCCTTCTCATGGCCCCAGATACCCAGCTCCTCTGCATGTAGAATAATGGATGGATGGATTGCATGAGAGAGAGAGAGAAAGAGAGAGAGAGAAAGAGAGAGAGAGGAGAGAAGGGAAGGGAGGGAGAGAGAGAGGGAAGGAGAGAGAGAGGGCAAGATTTTATTAATAATATGTTTAATTCAATCAAATCAAAATGACATGTAACTACACAAACAGTAATCACACAGGAATACACTACTTTGTAATTAAAATTACAAGACCAGCTGCTTTCAAAAATGAGTGTCCATCACAATGTTTTTGTACAGATATAGCAATGATATTCAAAACATACACATATTGAAAATAACAATAATCATCATGGCGATAATAATATAACAATAGTCAGAATAATGATGCAGAGTTTTCCCAAGGATACAAAGGGTTGGGTGTTATTACACTTTAGCCAACCTTCCACAATAATTAAGGTACTCAAGCATGCAAGATATGTCTTCCCACCAGATACCCATTTCACCTGGGTGGAGAGTGGCAAATGTAAAGTAATGCCAAGGGACATTAGTACATGTTAAAAAATGAGTCAATTAAAAACGCTCACCTCCAGGACACAGAAACCTGACTTCGTAATCCTTGCACGTCCCGCTACTCTGGTCATCATCGTTGCACAGCAGCCCGCCCTCGTTGTTGAGGGAGCAGGGGCGTTGTAGGACTTGTCCGAGAGCATAGTGGGACTGACCGTCGCTGGCCTGACGACATTCTACGTCCTGGGGGTCGGCACACAGATTGGAGCTCATCTGGAAAAGAAAAGAAACCAAAACATAATTTGTTGCTAATAAAAAGTGTAAGTTTGACATTTATTGGTGATCGGCCAATTGGGCTGTGCTATATTTCGTCAAAACTCAATGGTTAGGGATTTGGTAATAATTGGGTTTTTAGGTCAGGTTACAGGTAGGAATTCAAACAGAGCCAGAAATCAAACCAAGGAGCGAGTACTGCAGCTTTGTAACCATTTCATGAGGTTCGCACCAGACTACACATTTTGCTGATAGGGTCATTAAATCTTGTCATAATGTGTAACTCCATGTCTCAAAAAGATGCAATGCTCTATGGGACATTGTTAAATGTCAAATAGAGTTTGTGCATCCATACTAGCATGCAGGGCTCTACCCAACAACCTCTGCGTATTGAGTCAAGAGGTTATAAAGCCAATCGACTGTATGACATCTTTTGGTAGGGGGATGGGAGAGAAACAAGCGTCTGTTAAATGGCGCCTGGCTGGAATGCTCCCCAGGAAGTGGAGAATGTGTATACATTGTGAGCGGGCAAGCTTGAATCCGACGTCCGGGGTAATAATACATCTGTAAAGCACTTTAGAGAGACGATGTATCAAGCGCTATACAGTATAAATGCGGAATATTATCATTATTATTTGCGAAATATATACCTTGTAAATACTGTAATGCGACTCATCTTCAATACCATCTGCAGGAGTGTCTGTGTTATACCACTCAGTCCAGTCGTAGCCTATAGAGGGAGACAAGGAGAAAGACAATGTATTATGATTTTAAAGTTCTTTTATCACATCCAAAAGAAGAATTTCCCTATGACCGTTTCAGAGTCTGAAATCAGACATCTTCTTCAGACGTGAATTGGCAGACTGTATTTGGATATGGTAAAAATGATTCCTAACTTGGTGACTCGTGAAATGTGTTCCACACAATATATTTATTAGTCTAATAAAGTAGCTTAGCAAAATGAAGTGGCATTAAAAGATGCGTCCGGAGCGCAAACTGCATGATTGATGGAAATCATAATGTAGAACCACACTGTTAGGATATTGTGCTGATAAATATATATACATAGGATGTCACTTGAATTGAATTTAATTGAATTAGGCTTTAATCCGGCTAAACTTTCTTTCAGATGTGTAAAAAAAGACAGTTGATTAACATTTCATTGTCTATTGCGCATTTAGCCTTCCAGAGGTGTCTTTTTGTGCCATTAACTTTCACTAAGGTACCTTACCTACTCAATTTATTGACAAATGAGAAATCCCTCTATGTATCTCTTGCCTAATGTTTCTTTCTTGTACCACACAATATCAAATTAATATTTTTGTGTATACTTGTCATTCACACTGACCACCCGTTTCCCTTTTTTTGTTTACTTAACTATGTTTTTTACCCAACTATATATATTTAATTTATTCCTGGAGACCAGCCCTTGATAGGTCAATGGCCTAGCTGGCTCCACCACAGTCTCAAGTACTAATTCTAGGTACTCTCAATTCTTTAAATATTGTTGTGGTATTTTCTTGTTTTGTTGAGTTAACCAGATATTGTATGTAAATTGTTATATGTTTTATATGAGAAGTGGAAATAAATGAAATGAAATTTATATCCAAGTGGACTTAATTCCCCTTCAATTATATCATAAAGCTACAGGTATGAGTGAGAGGAAGGGGGCCTTACCAATGCATTCATAAGTCATGTTGATATACTTAGTGAAGCCATCACACAGTGTATAATTGTCCCCTACTGCTCCAAACATGGCCTCGCTGGTGTGTATGACACAGTGCTCCTTCTTGTCGCACTGGCGCTGCATGCGATACAGGACCGTGTCGGGATCATACTCGCAATCTACATCAAGTTGGAAAGAGAAACGGTTATCATCATAAAATTTAATATTTGGTTAATCTTGAAAATTTTGAATGTAGGATAATTTTGCGAATTTTATGAGTGGTCCTGATTTGCAAAGTTTTCACACATGCAGTGCTCCTTCTTGTCATGCTAACACTGCATGCGATACAGGACTGTGACGGGATCATACTCGCAATCTAGATAGAGTTGGAAAGAGAAACGGTTATCGTCATAAAATTTAACCTTTGGTAAATCTTGAAATTTAAGTTGTCAGAGAGCTAAAGCCTAGTACTATATTCCCTTAAGCATCTTACCTTTTTGTCATTGATACCTCATTCTTTTCATCCCAAAAGATTACCACTAATGGTGAAAAGAAATACACCAGAGTATGTCCTTTCTATTAGTCTCAACATTTCTGAGAAAGGCAAGTGTGATGGCAAGAATGAGAGAGAGGCAGTGGTTTACCACAGGGGGGTAATTTGACACCTGTTCTATTCTCTTTGTCACGAACTTGAAAATTCTCTGCTCTTTTTTGTGTTCTCTATATTGTTAGACAAACAAGAAACATGATAAAACAATACAAGCATAAATCTTAAGATAAGGGTAAAAGTTGGGAAAGGAGAAGAAAAAAAATTGATATAGCATTCATAGCAAGGTGTCCTTGATGTAATGTCATAAGGGGGTATTTTTCATTGTGCAGTAGTCGTGGGGGGGTGATTGGCCTAAGGTACACCTACCAACCTTTCAAAGCAAGAGTTGGGAATCTCTCATGGCAAAATTAGCAATACTGTTTTTTTAAATATATTTTTATACAGAATTTTTTTTTTTTAAAGAGAGGAATCTAGCTAGGGTTCATAACATTGGTTTGAAGGCCAACGAAAAAGGAATCTTTCCTCTAAGATAGGAATAGACGACAGCTACATGTATGCTAAGGGTATATGTCTGAGTCTATGTCAATACTACAGGTGTGAGTCATCAAGACCTGCTTTAGCGACCACCTGTATGTCCATAAAGACCACAACTTTGTTTCCTTTGAACTGTGTTTCTCATAGGAAAATGTATTGAAGGAACCTGTACATAAAGACCAAATGCTCATAAAGACCACTTGATTGGTCTTTATACACAGGTTTCTACTGACCTGTAGGGTAGTGATCATCGTATATGATGCACTTCTCGTTGTGCATCCTGCCGTAGAATGCTCCTGTGATCTGGATATATTCTCCTACGGGGCACTGCAGCTCAAGATCCTCATCATCACACTTTATCTTGCCTCCCTCGTTAATTGGCGTACCTAGTGGGAAAGAAGAAGCATAAGAATTCCAAGGTTACCTCTTTGAATGGACCATTTTTCGTAATGTTATCAAATTTAATGCACAAATCTTTGACTTGTTACAGATTATTTGATTCACCTGCTACAAATAATTGAATTGCATTGTATTGCATACATTATGTGTTGCTAGGTAGGACAAGCCGTAATGTTTGTCCTACCTAGCAACAATTAACATATGCAATTTGCATTCTGACTATTGAAGTACAATTATTTGTAACAGATGAATTAAATAATTTGTTACAAGGCACTGAACAAAGATTTGTGAAATAAATTGTTTACATTACGAAAATGGCCTATCCTTCAAAAAAATACATGCATACAATGTATGCACATTGCCAGTATGCAGTCTCTCGCATAAAAGATAAAAAGATGTAATAATATCAGCACAAATGGTTTGTGAGTACACATTTAACTTTTAAATTTATATTATACAAAACGAAAGAAATCACAATATGATAAAGGACAGAACAACATTATTTACCATCCCGTATGTGTAGTACATACTTTTTGTGTAATTGAACATTTTTCTATCCTCAAATGTTATCATGAGGGTATTTGGGGGGAAATAACAGCCAAAAAACGAAATACATTTAAAGTACAAAAATGGCATACTGATTTATGCACAAGAAAATTTTAATGCATGAAATACAGCAAGTTTGATGTGTAGTGTAATGAAAACTTTTATTGTATTCCTACATTTTTTGCATGATGTTTGACATTATTATCAATCAGTATCAAAATACATGTACGCTGTATATTGTACAACATAGTGGACAGATCTTCAGTGATCCCCTGCATATAGTACAAGTTTAAACAGACATCGTCATGATCGGAATGGGGGACATTCACAGTTTCTGTGATTTAGTTTGCCTGCCCCATTCCTGGCAACTAGTAAATACTCATGGGAATCAGGTTAATGTGTTTAAAAAAAAATGATTTTCATCCTATATTTTGTATGATTTGTTCTTTTACATGTATGTAACTCTGTTGTATACACTTTGTTTTGCCGAATAGATAATAATACATCGTCAAAATACCTTTGTGATTGTAGAATGACTTTTGATCGCTGCCATGCTGATTCTTGGCGACACACGTGTAATAGCCGCGATCGTCCCAGAGCTGATGGAAGCGGATCTCCGAGATGACGTGGTGTTCGTCCAGGGCATACGTGACGATGGTGGCATTCTCGTTGCCTTCGTAGTCGTAACCGTCGCGGATCCAGGTAATGTTGGGGAGGGGCATACCAAAGGACAGGCATTGGATGGTGCCGTTGTACTCGTAGTGGAGTTTGGTGGAGTTGATCACCTCCAGTACCTCTGGTTTCTCGTCTGTAGGGGTGGAAAAAAGAGTGATCAGCGAAGGAAATGAGGGATCTCAGAAATTCCTATGACAAACACTTTCTTAGAAGTCATCTGGGCCCCCTCTTACAAAGAGTTGCGTTTCATGAAAATCAATCGCAAGTCCTTCAATCAATCGCAAGTTTGCAGTCTCCTATCTCTTTAATATGTACATAGTTGTGATTGATATCAACTCTTTGTAAGACAGGGCCGGTCTAGTCAATTAAAGGTTATTGTTATGTACATGTTCTAAGAAAATGTTTACATTTATGTTCTTGAAGTGTATGGTACATTTATATCAAGATGGGGTACTACAGTAAGATATATTCACATGAGATTTATACAGATGCAAGACCATGAAAATATTATCTTTAGTCTTTTTTATTGCACATGATAATGAATAAGTTATTTAATGAATAATTTCATTAAAATCAATATAGGTTTTATGTGTACAACTCAATGTAGAAGATAGGAACCAATACAATGATGTAACCATGTCTAGAAAGAACAATACATTATGACAACCTTGAAATAAATGATGAAGAACCTGATTGTATCACCCAAACTATTGTGTAAAGAATTTCCAGTGAAGATAGAAAAATTACAGTGTTGGAAATTCCTGCTCTCTAAACTCAGCATCAAATCAATACCAAAGTAAATTTTGCCACTATCATTTCTGATTAAAAAAAAATAAATCAGTATCATTATAATTATTTTCATCATTTTCAACTTAATGTGTAAAAATACAGGAATGATTCAAATAGGAAAAAGGTACAGGCAGCAAGATGGAATGTTAAACATGGTGTGTTATTTTATTTGCATCTTTAATGAAAGAGAAAGAGACAAGTCTTACCTTCCAAGAAACACCCATACACCTCAAGACGAAGAGACATCTCGTTGGTCCAGTTCAGAGGTAGAAGACGGATGTAGCGAGCATACATGAAGTGGGTCAGGTATTGGTAGACTACCGTGCTGCTGTCATTGTTACCAACAAAGATCTGTGGAAAACAAGGAGGAAAAATTGTGAGTATTTCTGAAATTTTGCGAGCATTATACATACCTGCTAACTTTTCAAAGCAAAATTTAGGAAACCCTAAAGGCAATATTAGGAAAATAGTCAGTTTGTTTAATTAAAGTTTTACACAGAAGATTTGACAGAAGAGAGGAATCTAAGTCCATAACATTAACTCCAGGGTAATAAAGTAGGAATCATTCATCCAAAATATAAATAGAATGTAGAGGTGTTGTAGTCTAGTGGATAATTTGTCGGAATGTGGATCACAGGGTCCGCGGTTCGAGTCCCACCATGGCACTAATGTCCTTTGGCAAGATATCAATCTACATTTGCCACTCTCCACCCAGGTGTTAAATGGGTACCGATGGGAAGGAATTCCTTGAATGTTGTGAGCACCAAAATCAGCTGCCTAGCAGAGCCGGGGTAATAGTTGGAGCACCTTGAGCACCATGCATGGTGGATATGTGCACTGATGTATCTCGTAAGATTGGATAAAAGGACTCAGGTCTTACCCTCTTCTCTCCCTCTTCCTCATAAGCGTTCCACGACCCGTCATCGTCCAGGGTATCATTGACGGTGTAGTCCAGAGCATAGCGGGAGGTCCAGTAGTCATAACGAGGATGGCCCTGTGTAGCAAACTTCCTCACCCTCATTACACGTTCAAAATCAACCTGCAGAAAAGAACGGTTGAGAAGTATTGAACAAGGGAAATGCTACATGTACTCAAATGTATACCCGTTTGCCACTGGTTGTCATTAAGCTAATAAAATAATCATTAGAATTGAGTTATAATGGGCATTTATGGCAAAAAGAAAGTTAAGATTAAAAGATGTGAGTACAACAGCAGTAAATTTGTTCAAAAATTTGTAATTTATATCAATATCCTTACCAATTTCATATGGTTATGAGGCTCAAGAGCATAAGAACATTTTCCTCAATAAATGAAATACTGAAATACGTTTTTATAGAGAAATGTAAAGCAAGGACTGATAAAACAGCAAAGAAACCCTCAACTTTGAATATCAGATGTAACTAACATCTTGTCAGTAAAGTGGATAAGTAGTTAAAGATACTACATGCGGCAGTGTGCATATACGGTAGTTTCACTACCAAACTAATCAGTTTTTGATGATGATTGTGATTTGAAAATCCCAAAATCCGAAATTGAAATGTCTCTAATTAGAGCCTCCTTTCTAGCAACACACATCTGGGCCCTGTTTCACAAAACTTTTTATCAATAACAATTGCTAGATTTTCTCAGCCAATCAAATGTCACGCTTTTCAGTAGCTTAATTGTAACAGTTATTATAACTTGTCATTGATAAAAAGTTTTATGATATAGGGCCCTGATATTTCTGTGGAAAACTTTGGATTCTAAACACACAGTACAGACATGGTTGGTAAAAGGCAGAAACTGATTCAGTCACTTACCTGGAACCATTGCTGCGTTTCCTTATCGCTTGCCACCCATGCTCCGTAGGGGTCGTGAAGTCGTCCGTCCCACTTGAAGGAGTCCAAGCTGGACAGCATCTTGGTGGAGCTGACCTCTAGCTGGTCATTGCGGATGGTCTTGTCGGCCATGCCGAAGGCTAGCACGCAGTCTGGTTGAAGAAACAGAGAAACAGTATTAATGCCATATTATGAATTGAATTGAATTTATTGAACCATATAAAAGCAAAACTAACTCTTGGGGACCGTACATGTACGTTTGCCATTGTCGTCCCCGAACTATGGAATAGCTTGCCAATTGAAATATGAAGCTCTCCATATTTTTTTGATTGATAGATTCTATTTTGTCGAATTCAGTAAAAAAAAAAAAATTTAAAAAGGAGCTCTGAACCAGCGCAGCTGAATATATTTTGTATAAAAGCTACACTATGTAAATTTATTATTATTATTATTATTATGTAAACAAAACAAAGAAAAATAGAATACATAAAACATACAAAATACAAAGCTAATGTAAATGTATGGTCAGGGCCACAAAAAGGCAAATAGGGACCCACTTAAAACAAATTAATTCATCAAAAGTTTTTCAAAAGAACAAGAGAGATGCAGTGGGGCTCCATTTAGATTAATGGAAGGTTTGGTATTTATAGAAAAAGGGATTAAAGGAGATTAAATTTTATCACTCTTGGGTGGAGTTGACCCCTTCTAACGAGACTTAAAGAGGAAGTCTTTCCTGATGATACATGTAGGTTGGTTTTAATAGAAAGCAGTGTTGCCAAATTCTGTTTCACTGATGACTACTCAAAAAAATAATAAATTTCCTATTTTCAATCAGATTTTGCTCAAATTTTCACTAATTTGTTTCTCTCATTTCATTGGTTTTATATCAGACTGGTCTTCCCCTTCCAGTTTGCCATATCAACAATTTAAGAATGTTTAAATTAAAATTAAGAGAGTTATTCATTTCTGAAGGTGTGATCAATCAAAAACATATCAGCAACTCTGTGACATATCTGCAAGCTCGTCTCCCATTTGCCCTGCACTAAAAAACTGTAAAAATTATCAATCATACATTTAACCTTAATATTACTATTGCAAATATGTTTTTAAATAACCCCTGTACATGTATGAAACAAATCTAATCCATCATCAATAACTAAGAAATTAAAATTTATGAATTTTCTGTTCAGAGCTAGTTGGAGAGGAAGCTCGCAAGAAACGTCACAGTGTTGCCAATTTGATTAAACAAAACATATTGTTATTATAATTATTATTACCTTGTTGACAGATGTAAGCATTCCTGTCGGTACACCTAGCATCTTCCCACTTGAAGTCGTGATCGGCGCTCAGGTGGATGCATCGTTGCCTGCCATCAGAGACGTAGCTGGACGTGAAGTCAGTGAAGACGTGTCCGATACCATCCTTCCAGCGGCAGGTGTTGTTCTTCGTCTTAACGCAACCGATCCAGAAGTGAGTGTCTGAGTAGTCCGTCATCAACCCTTCCAAGAAACCCTGTTAAAGGGGATGATAACGAGGGTAATAATTACATCGATTGATAAAGGGCAGCTACTATATAAATATGCTATACTGTGCTGTGATTAGAACAAAACTGTTGTGAATTCGATATATAAAAGATATATGGACTGCTTCAATATTCGAAGTATAGCTGTTTCTTTTCTGGCTCTCGGGACTCCCCTTGTGCACCCCAGGGTTAGCAGGATGTAACGTCCCCTTAAGCCTATAGAAACAGTGATGCGTCTCATAGCAGTTAATATATCTATATCATCATTACAGTGAAACCTGTTCATAAAGACCGCTCAAGGGAAGATTGCAAAGCGGTCTTCAAAGGCTGGCGGTCTTTATGAACAGGTTCCTTTAATATAGGTTTCAATGAGAGGCCATATTCAAGGGGGGAAAATATGTGGTCCTTAGAGACAGGTGGTCCTACTATACAGGTGGTCGATAAAAAAATTTGACCTCGTGACCTCATGTGACTTATCAACTGACCTGTGTATGATCACCAGGCACACCAGCTAGATGGCCGTGGAGATTGTTGCATTTCTCCTCGGCCTCATGAAACGTGCTGTTCTGATTGGGGAATCCCCTGATACAGCGGGAATCATGCTTGGACCAGCCCTCCTCACAGTCTCCCCGATAAGTGTCTGGAAACAAAAATAGAGAAGTCAAATCTTAAAGAGAAGCTTGAGTTTTGGGAATAGAGGTGCAAAATAACGTGTGAGCGTTATTATTGTATAATGCAAGCGTGGAAGAACATAATTCCCTGAAAAGCATGGCTCTTCAAATGCCTCAATATTTTAAATATGGCATGTTACAACATAAAAATCAGAACACATTTTTATTCCACATGTTTGTGTAACCCAATATACATCTTTCTGTGTACAGTGCTTGTAACTTTAACTAGACTGGGCCAAATTTCTTATCATTGTGATGATTCCATAACCTTGCAGTACACACCAAAACTTATATGCTAGATGATCAACCTTTTCTGATCGATTCCACGTTTCTTTCAAAATGCAATTGCATGACCAGAACTCAACTTTATCTTTAAGCCCATATTCTTGAGAGCGGCAAAAGTCAAACCTGGCCGAAGTCTACTGATTTCTGTAAGGACACAAGTCAACCTCCAAGTTCTTAACTTCATAACTAAATTCCATTTCTTTCCCTTTTGTGCTCCATACATTGGTGAACTAGCTTTACACACATGGACAGGGATTAAACTTAGCCTAAATGTAGACTACTTTCAATAATATAGTCCTCATTCTGTTTTTGTAGACGAACTTAGGAATGTATGTATAGGATTACATTGATGATGACTTGGGGGATAGATAGTACATTTATACATGATCTTAATGTCAGAATGTGAAAAGGGAGATTGGACATTCCTCATAAAAATTGGAAAAAGCTTTTTGAATTTATTGAGGGTTCAGTGACACAAAGACGTAACTCCATATTTTGGCAAAATTAGTATTTTATATCAAAATGTTCAGAAAATGTGGGCTTTCCAGGAAACACAAAGACTTAACTCCACACAATACCCCATTGAAGTCAATAGCTAGTGAAACATAGACAACTCCTAAAGGCCCAAGTGCTCAGTGACACATAAACCTTTTTTGTCTCAAAATGGCCAAAATGGAGTTACGTCTTTGTGTCACTGACCCCTCAATATGTTCTAAGAGACAACTTATGAATGTATGAACGAATACTATTATTCCAAGTTTATTATTACAGGGGGGCGTTTCACAAAACTTGTCATCAGTGACAAATGACAGTTTTTGTTATAAGCTACTGAAATCCTTGCTTCTGATTGGTTATCAGGAGATTTGTCACTGATTTCTGTCATTTGTCACTGAAAAAAGGCTTTGTGAAATGGGTCCCAGGAGGACTTACATTCATCGTCAATGACCGGAGCTGATGACACGCATGTATAATTCACATCCAGGTATTTCGCCACGCCCTCACAAGGGTCTGAACTGAACGCTTCCACCTCGATGGCAAACTTGCAGGAGTGCTGGCCCTCGCAGTACGTTCGTACATCCCTGATGCTCTTGCCGAGGGTGCAGTTTGTTGGAGCGTAACGGTCCGGGCCGGGGCAGACGGAGTTGTCGAGCGTGCGGCCGTACATCGCGTCCATGACATGGATAACCTCGTCGACCGCGGGGCAGGAGATCTCCAAGAAGTCGCCCTCACAAGCTCGCGCATACTTCATGTAATCTGGCATATATAGGAAGGAGAATGTGGCAATAAAACTATGAAGCACATCATCTATGACCCTTTCAAGAATTGTGTAGTAAGAATCAATTCCTTGAAATGCTAGAGCGCCGTAATGGCAGCTGTGCTAAAGCCAGGGTAATAATCGGGAGCACAAGGTGTGTCAAGTCTGACAGACATGAGGGCTATACAAGAACCCACTATTATTATTATTATTATTGAAGCTGTTCTTTGAAAGCTCTAGGTTTGCAAGATATCAAGATACAGTGAAACCTGTCTATAAAGACCACCCAAGGGAGACAAGAAAAGTGGTCTTTAAAGGGAGGTAATTTTTATAGATAGGTGCTTATTGATTGATTTTGTTTATTTATAGTAGATGTTTCAATGGAAAACTATTTTTAAGGGAAACAAAAAAAAAAAGAAAATGTGAAACCATTTGACTGTAAAAAAAAAAAAAAAAAAAATCCATAGATTTTATCTTGAGTTGTCTCAAGCTTACATGTCACATTAAACAGGGGCTATATTCTGAAGAAAAAAATGTTATCTTTTATGTCATTAACAAAATGACATTTCATGGATATCTATTCACGCAACACAGCCAGCTTTGCGTAGTCATGCACAGACATTAACCATTGACTTTCCCCTTAATGTGATTTGTTATGAAATTAACATCGTTTGACTGATGAATAACATATAAGATAACATTGTTTTCAAAATACCACCCCAGGATAACATGCATTTACTCACCCACACATGTGTACGTCAGGTTAAGATGCAGATGCATATCAGAGGTAGAGCAAGGGTAGCCCAACGTGCTTGTATCCGCGAGCAACGAGCAGTGCGTCACGTTACTGCACTCCTCGGCAAAATCATCGATGGCAGACTGGGAGGGCGTGTCGAGGGCGGAGCAGGGCGTGTCCGATGCGCTGAAAGTGGACTCCTGAGGGCACACTTCCCAGTCCATGGTCCGCCCCCAGTCACCGCCGGTGATGTTGACCTTCTGGTTGTCATGGCAATGGAGGGAGACGGTGTTCTCGCCACAGCTGAAGATGTCCGTTGAATCTGTGGAGTGTGTGTGGGACAGGCCAGAATATCCACATTATTGTTTTTGAGTTTCTGATAGTATACATGTAACTCTATTATTATCAAATAAACATTTACTTTACTTGTACATGTATTAAAGAGAACTGTTGCTGAGCTAGCGCCATGAGCGTCGATCCCAGGACAGTGCTCTCTAAAAGTTTACACTATTATTATTATTATTATGTTGGCCCAAGTAAAAAAATCTTTCAGATCTTACCAGTGATTGTACATAATGTTTCTCTGATTTCTAAATCCCAAACTAAAAGATATGAAGAAGAGAACGACACCAAATATAAACAGAGGCATCAATTTCTTAACCAATAAAATAGATATTTAAATCAAACATGACAAATATAATGAAAATAAATTATTACTTCTTGCTTTGGATCAGTGTATCATAAAATTTGGTAAATTTTAAGGACCACCTTAACCTGTTAAGACCTGATTTCTCTCCTTCCCAATGCAAGAGTCACCCAAATGCCATAAACCACAGGCTTCAAAACTATTTAAAACAATCGCATAGAAGCACACTTCAAATTTCAAAAAAAGAAAGAAGCAAATATTCTGACCATTTTCTTTACCTCTTTCAAACTCGCAGACGAAACCAATCTTATCATCGCAGTCCACCGACACCCAGAGGCCATCTTCTTCCTTTGACAGTGCAACACACTTCTTGTATCTCTCGTACGACGGCTGCTCCGATGCCCAGGAGGTGTAGACAACGAACGTGGCATCGATCCACTTGAACGTCTTCCAGTAGCGTCGGAAGCCAATGTTGTAATCGCTCATGTCGAAGGCACGTACAAACTTTCGCAGGAACTTCTGTTCATCGATGCTGGTGATAGTGGCAAGGTGCGCACCTGGGAAAGCAAACATCAAACTAGGCATAAAACTGGTTTCTTATTTTTTAATTTTGTCAATGTTTCGAGCAACTTTGGGTTTACAGTAGGCTTGCGGTTGCACCATGTAATAGAGAGGGGGATTGGGGATCGGTAATCTTGCTTTCTTGAGTGTGTGTAGTCCTGGAAAGGACTGTTGGAAGTCTTGGGGGGGGATTGGATCCCCTGCCTTTTTCAAAATCCTGCAGCCACCCTTGGAAAACATTAGCATTAATAGCTGGGCAGAAAAAAAGACTTCACGAGCGCAAAATAATATGTTATTTCCATTTAATCACAAGCATGATATGATTGTCTCTGATACCTACCCTCGTTTGTACAGGTCTTCTTGGCAGCTTGACGTGACTTGCCCTCGGTATAAACCTTGTAACAAGAGGTCTGGAAAAAAGACCATCCTTCGGGGCACACAGTGTCAACTAAAAAAATAAAATAAAACAAAAAGGAATATAAATTAAATGTAAATAGTCACCACATTGGCATGGCCAGTCTGCGCTCAAAAATCAAACCATGGTATTGACTATGGTATTGACTATGGTATTAATTGACTATGGTATTGACTATGGTATTGACTATAGTATTGACTATGGTATTAATTGACTATGGTATTATGCAACACAGGCATATAGGAATTTGGCAATATTTCCACATAGAGTCGCTATTGATTGGAGAGTACAGAATATGAGGATGAAATACATGTGCATGTAAATATAGTTGACGACAGCAATTCAAACATTGAAAAGAAAACTAAGCATTCAAACCCTCAAAATGGAAACACATTTAAAGACATGTAAAAAATCTACACTCTCGTAAAAAGTAGCAATTTTTGTACTTTGAAATATAATATATAATATTATGGTGGTGGCGGTTATTTTACCTGACTGCTAAGAAAGCATAAATGCTTATTTAATTAGCAACCAGAAGACCGATGGCTTTAGGTCCTCTCCGATTAATGCCTTACCAAAGGGCAATTAGCGCATCGACTTGGTTTCGAACCCGGGTCACCAGATTGGAGACGACTGCTCTACCAACTGAGCTATCGTGCCTCCTGAACATTCTTGTCCTTTTGATTGAGACTTTACAATGAACAAGTTTTTTTCCTTTGGACCTTCAAAATATCTTTGTCATGAGTAGTTTACCCTTCCGTGCCAAAGAGAGCAAACTCAATCCAAGAACTTTGGTTTTGAACAAAAAGTTTGGATGAAAAGGGCCTATATGTTTTTCTTCCCGACAAAGAAAGAGATACATGTGCATTTACCCTCATTGAGAAGTTTATTCCTATAGGATATGTAGTAATGAAACAATCTTACAAGTAAGATTTTCATGCTTGAAATCTCATCTATGACAAATGTGGAAAAGCTTGGAGGCACAACATCAGGTCGCTTAGCAACATATACTGTAGTGTCACAAAAAGATGCGTCCAGAATGCATATTTATTTTATTTATTCAAGTTTTATTTAAAATAGAGGGTACAGGTAGGTGTATTCAGTAAAAAAAACACCTTCTTTCTAAGTACGCCCTCTTGTAGTAGTAGTTAATTAAAAGTTCTGTTGTTTACATATTAGAATGAAAGTTTAGCTAACATTAAGCATCATTGAGATGCCTTTTTTTATCCGCTTCATATCGTAACAATAAAAAATGACTTTCAAGATTTAGTTTGTGTTACGGCCGAACTCGTCTTTTATGGCCTCTTCATTTTGCTAAGCTACCTAATATGAACTCACCCCTTGCATTGCAGCCATAGAGCTCCATCCTGAGCCCCACCGAGCTGGTGGTGTTGAATTCTGACTTGATGCGCAGGTAGCGAAGGTCAAGAGGTCGTGTGTCATCGTCTAGGTCATCGGTCAACTCATGAAGGACAACCATGTCCCCGTCGGTAGGGCCGTCAAGAATCTGTAGTGATGATAATATTATTATTCTCCCCTTGATAATTTCCGTTCAGAGAATAAAATGTGAACATCGACTGATAGATACATCAAGAGTTCAGTGACACAAAGACGTACATGTAACTCCATATATTTCCAAAATGAGTATTTGATATCAAATTGTTCAGAAGAATGTGGGCTTTCCAAGAAACACAGAGACTTAACTCCACCTAACACCCCCATTGATAGTGAAACATAGACTTAACTCCTTAAGGCCCAAGTGCTCAGTGACACATAAACCACTTTTTCTCAAAATGGCCAAATGGAGTTACGTCTTTGTGTCACTGACCCCTCAACATGTACCTGTTGGTTTCACTTCAATGCATGTTTAGGGTTAACACATGTAGCTACTCATCATCAAGTCTGCCTAACTCCTTTCTTGAATTTCAGCTACATCTGAAGAGTTTGAATTTACTGACTGTAGTACACTTTAAAATTCTAGACAGAGAAGAACACTCATATTTGGTTCAACAACACAGGCTCTTGCAACGTTAGCTCGGTTACACTTACCGAATTCCTAACTACCAGCCTGGACCAGGCATTATACTTAACCCTCAACCTAACACTAGGGCGTACCCTGACAAAATAAAGCCCACAGAGCAATTGTCACCGAAGCATACAGGCTGCTGTATCACCTAAGATTCAACCCACTCTTACTGACAATGCTAATGTTCCTATAATCCTGAGAAGTAGCGTCTATGATGATTATTGGCTTACTGTAACATCCTTGCTTCCCATCTTCGTCATGGCCTTCCAGTCCGCCGCATCCTCACTGTACCACAGACTGAAGTGGTCGAAGGTCGCGTAGCTCCCGTTCTCCAGCAGCACGCCCTGAAGCGCAAGGCCAGTCAACGTGATCCTGTAGCCAAAGTCAAGCTCAAAGAACTGATCGATGGAGGAGTAGTTGGCCTCGGTGCTCAGGTCCGCGGACACCCATCCTTGGAGACCGGATGCGGGGTTGCTAGGGTTGTGGAGACGGGCGTACTCGGGGAGGAAGCTGGTGTTGTTGAGCGAGGGGTAGATGGAGCTGACGGTGAAGGCGTCGGTATTGTTGTAGGTGTGGTCGGCAAAGCCAAAAGGTGTAAAGCATACTGTTTTGGAGGGGGAAGGTGGGAGGAAAATGGGAAGAATAATATTCATCTGCTAGTTCTTTGCATATCAACATAATAATCTAGCGTACTGATACCTCTATCATTTAATACCACTAACACCATGACTGTACCATGCCTGTACATGGTTATCATTATTACCATTACCACCACAAACGCCATTGTTACCACCACCATTAACACATTTCGGTGACTATGATCTACTTATCACCACTTAAACTCAGTTAAACCAGGCTTAATTATTATATTTCACTGGTTTATCTCTATTAAGATCATCACCACCATTACCATCAACATTTAGTCACCACCATTACCATTATCACAATTATCACCAAAATCACCACCGCCAACATCACCCCCACCTCAACAATTATCATCACCATCAACAACACCACCATCACTGCCACCAGCACAGGCACCAATTCCAATACCACCACCATCATCACTACCATAATCAACACCCCACCACAACTCACACTACCACCACCACCACCGCCAACAACAAGGTCACCACCGTCTCCACCACCATCACCGTCATGGTCAGCATCATCATCACCACTGCCACCAACATCACAATTCATCATTCACAAATGCTCCAGCAACCACGAAATCCATGCGCATTCGTCTCCATGATCTCCATAACCTTTCATCGGTCAATTTCATTTTTCTCCACACTAACATCGCAACAGCAACATCCAGCGTGTCCACACACAAACAAAATTATCCGAAAACTCTATGAAGAAACGTAGTATAAAGAATCATCGTATAGCAACCATGGCATCTATACTCAAGGTAAGAAACATTGTATAAAGAAATGTATAAAGAAACTGATTTTGACGACATCGGTTGACATGACAGCTGGCCAATCATGAGTGTGCGGTCACGTCAAGCCCCGCCCATTATACCGTTTTAGTTTGACTACACGTCCACACACACAACATTCCGTGATTCTCTATCGAGTTCTAGTTCAAAACAATGCCCAGACCCTAGTTATATGACGTTTCTTTATACAACTTATCGTTAGTAAGCGTACACACACAGACAATTGCATCATATGGTTATCCTGAAACGGTATAGCTACATGTATACCCTTTTGGGATAGCTATATGATGTATTTTGTGTGTGTGGACACAGGAGTATCTTCCTCACCTGAGGATGCAGGAGCAGCGTCTTGGGAGACGGTGGCCTGGGAACACGTGTAAATCTCTACATCTTCGGTCATACTGGACTCGACGGCTAAGGGCACCACTTTCAGATATTGCGCGTGGAAGGGATTCAAGATAGCATTTGTCACCACGGTCGTCCCGTCATGGTTTCCAATGAAGTCCTATGACAAAAGAAAACCAAGATGAGTTGGACTGTATCTTCAATGTACATGTACCTAATTTACCTGTTTCAATAACTTTGTAGTCTTTGTAGATAACACAGTTTCTTCTGGGTCATTCCATAAATGAGGGGCAAAAGATGACATTATCTGTTGAATATTTTTATACAATGAGTATATACATGTATAGTAGTGCCCTGCCAGAAATGTTCCTGTTTTAGTTGCTTTTCTTCAAAATCTTTGCTTGATACACATTTCTCTTTTTACCAGCGTTACATGAATACCATATACATATAACATTACATAAATTTTGGGACCATAATATTGATTAACCATGAAGCTTGAGTACTGTACTTCTGAAGATAGTTGGCTATGCTTTTTATGTAAAGCTCAAATTGAGCAAACATTGTTTATAGTAGACATAGTTACTCACTTATGGTATGTCAAAAAAAGTGCCTTAACTTTCTGGACGGACCCTTCTACACATGCACTGTATTTACTATTCACAGACTATTTTTTAAGAACTATTCTCTTCCCAGAAACTCATTTATATGAGCCGAATGTGGAGGGAGACAGCTGTATATGCTTTCGAAATGAATTATCTTTTCAAATGAGCACAGTTCTGAGATTTGATTTCTTAGGTGCTAGTCTGAAAATGAAGTGAGTTAACCATGCACGATACAACCATCTGCCAAAAATTGAAATAGCTTAATGTAAAGCTATCATACAAGACTCCCCCCCCCCCCCCCAAAAAAAAAAAAAAAAAAAAAAAATCTAGTTTAAAATGCCAAAATAAATTGTTTGATATTTTGGGAAGTGGCCACTAAGACAGGGTTGGACTGTACTTGAATGCTAATACTCACCTTTCTTTTTCCATCTTCAACATAGAGCACCCAATCATAATCATTGTGGCTGAAGTAGACATAGTACTCTTCTATCCAACTGCTACCGATCGCAGTAGTGTCAATCTGAGTGACCCTTTGAAGTGACCCCAGGTCAACTAGGACGTACTCGGGGTCAGCTGAAGATACCTTTGACGTGGTAGGGGTTACTTTAGCATCGGTGCAAGCTACGCAGAAGTATGATAGAACAGAGTAGAATGTTAGAGTTGAAGTGCAGGATCAAGATGTGTTAAAAAATTATTTTGAGAACAATACTGTAAAGCTGAAATATGTGCGCACATGAAACTTCCGCACATTCCAAGAGTCCTTCACAAAGATCCTAAGTTGAACTTAACAATTATGGAAAGCCGTTAGCATCCTTCAAAAAAAAAAATTGTAAAAGTTATATTAAAAGGCATAAAATGCTGATTCATATCTTTCATATTTTCTATTATCATGGGAGATTTCATGTTCTTGATGTGGAATTTATGAAAAATCTACAATACTTGATTTTTTGCTTTTTAATATATTTCATTATATGGCTACAAATGGCTCTCCATAATATTAAGTCCAACTTTCATGTTCAGTTACGTTTCACTAATAAAAGTTAAATGCCATGAAGGTTTTGGGTTATCTTGCAACAAATGCCAGTACAATACAGTAAACTGCACAGGTAAATCAACTTGTATCTGTGCATGTATGGTAAGTATAGATCTAGTGTGCAGTCACATCCAAATTTAATGAGAATGTGTATCAGAGCCATCAAAACAATTGGTTTCTGTTTATTGCCATGAGATTTGATTTAATGAATATAAATATAGTTTCAGTTTCTTTTAGACCTTTCCATGAGCTCACAGAAAATAAATAAACTATTAAAGGTAAAGACCAGTTCTGGTCATGCGAATGCATTGTGAAAGAAACGTTGTGGAATCGATCTGAAAAGGTTGATCATCTAGCATATAAGTATTGGTGTGTACTGCAAGGTTCTGGAATCATCAAAATGATAAGAAATTTGGTAAAGTTACAAGCACTGTACACAGAAAGATATTTATGGGACTACCCGATATCTATTCAGTCCGGATAGATATAATTATTTACCAAATACATGTATATCAATTAGTAGGCGGTTTCCCGGCAAAATTTGTATCATCACATATTAGTCAAAACACATATTACCAATCATGTGAAGAGCTTCCATTTCATATTTTGAGAGGGAGCGTTTCAAAAACTGGTCTATACCTTTAACCTCCTGACTTATAGAAGATACCATCTCTTACTTTGAATGTCAAAACAGCCGTAAACCTCAGCTCTCAAACACGGTCCACCACCCTCCCAAGCTACAGGGATGATGCGAAGGCTCGTGATGCCAGATTGAACGGTGTCCAAGGTTGACCGCACGATCGTTGACTTGTCGATGTTGCCATAGAATGTCTGTTGAAGAAAATGATATAATTAGTTAGCATTATGATTCATGAGTGAAGCTTGAAATTTACAAACGTTTGTTTTACCATCCTTCTCATAATTATACCAGTCGACACCATCAGTGCTATAAACAAGAGGTTATAGGATGTGACTATATTGTTCAATGATTCCCTGTAGATACATGTCGATAGCTTGATGAGTATTTTAAGCCCCCAAATTTACTAGATACTGCTGTCTAGCTAATTAATAGTTCCAACAAAGGGGGAGTGGGGTAGATCCTCTCGTAAAATCTATTGACATTTGTTTCAATGTTACCTCATAATCATACAAGTTTACCCCATCAGTGGACAACAACAGATTATTATACATCACTCTTCGTTTGATAGTTCCTCTTCCCTGTAGACCCAGCTTGATAGGGGATTCTACTACTAGGTCAAGCGTACTCGCACTGATTTGACGAGCTTTTTCCATTTAGTTCTATTCTCCATGATCATTGGGGTTCCTGCCTTGGTAGACAGGTGTCTTTTTCTAACTGGTCATTGCTGGGCACCCTCTGGTGCGTTTGCCCCTTGAAGGCTCCCAGAAGAGCATTTGTGAAATGATTTTACTCTTGCTCCTCCAGCAATGACCACTAAAACTGAGGCGGCGGTCTCTCAATCTGACTGAGATCGGCGTAATGTCCCTATTCAACTTAGGGGATTCTAAACCTCCAAATTTACAGGAGGGGGGAGGGTTGATCACTCTCTGCAAATCTACTAACCTTTGTTTCACCATCTTCTTGGTAGTCATACCAATCGACGCCATCGGTGCTCAACGAGAGGTTGTAGTAGGTCACCCATCTTTCAATGGTTCCTCCGCCCTGGACTCCGATCATTGATACGCTGATGGGGGTGAGGAGGTCTATTTGAAGCCAGTAGTCGGTGAAGTTGTAGGAGCTATTGGTCATGCCGTAGGTCAGCTCGTAGTCGGTGACATTGAAGTCTGGGAATCCTTCCCAACAGAGGGCGCCTGTCATTGAGATTTAATTCAAAATTGATTTCTCTTTAGTTTGAAGTAATACATTTTAAAGCATGTCTGTACTAGTTTGGCCAGGGGGATTAGACCTCCCTACAAGGTCACTGACAGGTGGTTATCTCATCAAATCAGCTCTCAGTTAACATATGAAAAAGGGCATCATGGGGGACCAGCGGTCACCAATTAGGTATTGTTTGCTATATAGAGGGCGCAAGTAGCTATAAATAGTGCAGTGGGGCTTAAATAATAATAAAAATGAAATTTGAAATCAGCAACTATTTTTCAACAGAGGGCATCTGTCAAAGAGTTCATTTCAATTCAAATTGATCCCTCTTCTTCTGTGTGAATAAATATACTATGTATTTCAATGGCCAGGTGTACTTGTAAATCAAATCAAATCAAGTCAGTTCAGTCATTTTGACTTCAGTTATCATCATTTCATTTTGGAAAGGACTTAAACCCCTGGTTGCATGTTTACTAACAAGCATATACATGCTTTCTTAGCAGTCAGGAAAACAATCAACAGTCATTTAACGAACTCAGTAATGAATTGAACATAACAAATCAATTTCGTATAAGCCTGACTGTTGTTCATCTTCATCTTTTTTCTTCGTATGTTTGTTTAAGACATGGTGCAATCTTTTATGATGATGTAAATTGGTACTCCATAAATCAAAGGAATGATGCTACTCACTTTTATGAATACTAGCTGCATGTTTAATCTTTCAAAGATACTACATTGATGAATGTAGAGGTGTTGTAGTCAAGTGGTTTATGCACTTGACTTGAAATGCAAAGGTTGCGGGTTCAATCCCAACACGGGACTAATGTCCTTTGGCAAGGCATTAATCTACGTTTGCCACTTCATACCCAGGAGAGAAATGGGGACCTGGTAGGTAGATGAAAGCCTTTGTTGTAGTAATTGCCATATGCCCTCATGTAGGAATCAGGTAGGATTCCGCCCCAGGGAGTGAAAATGGTGCACATTGTGTTTGAAAAAAATCAGATTACCTGGGTAATAACATCTGTAAAGCATTTAGAAATGGATTATTAATATTAAAGTGCCTTATTATTCAGGGCCCCATGGAAGACCACTACTTATTGGTGCATGGGCTATGCTGACAAAAGATTATAAATAAATAAATTAATATATTTTTCCAGATTATTATAATTATTATTATAGCTAACCTGCGGCTGTGTTTTCTATTCGAGAATGAACAGCAAGGTTTGTATCATTGTATCTCTCATTAGATGCACTGATCTGAGCGTCAGCTATCCTGCCATCATACATCCCAAGGGGCTCGTAGCAATCTGAAATGAGACAAAGAGATGGAAATTATCAGGTGGAAACAGAGAGCAGGAGGGTGTTTCACAAAGATCCTAAGTTGGACTTAACAATTATGGAAAGCCGTTAGCATCTTTGAAAATATTTTGCAAAAGTTATTTTTAAATCATGAAATGTTGAATCAAATTATTCATATTTTCAATTATCAAGGAGATTTCATGTTCTTGATGTGGAATTTATAAAAAGTCTAAGATACTTGATTTTTCGCTTTTGAATATATTCTATTTTAAGGCTACAAATGGCTCTCCATAATGTTTAAGTCCAACTTAGAGTTAAGATCTACTTAGGATCTTTGTGAAACACCCCCACTAAGGAACAAATTTGACCTAACATGTAAACAGACAAACATGTCAATTTATTCATTTGAATTGGCCATTATCTTAACGTAATAATGCGCAAATCTTTGTTAAAGGGGAAGTCCACCCTGAAATTAAGTTAGTTTTAATAGGAGCAGAAAAATGAGAGAAACAAGTCAGTGAAAGTTTGAGCAAATTCCGATTAAAAATAAGGAAGTTAGGATTTTTGAAGTTGTGATCAATCAAACACAAATTGGCAACTCTATGACGTATCATGCGAGCTCAACTTCCATTTGCTTAGTACTAAAAAAATCTAAAATTTTCATTTTCCCTCAAGAAAAATTTCAACCATACATGCACCCTAAATATAATAATTGCAAATATGTTTCTATACTCCCCCTGCAAGGAACAAATATATATTCCGTCATCAATAACGAAGAAAACATGATTTTATGGAATATTATGCACAAAGCAAATGAAGGAGAGCTCGTATAATAAGTCACAGAGTTGCCAATTTGTATTTGATTGATCACAACTTCAATAATTCATAACTTTCTTATTTTCATTCAGAATTTGCTCAAACTTTCACTCACCTGATTTTCTTATTATTCTGCCTCTATCGAAACAAACTTATTTTGGGGGTGGACTTTCCCTTTAAGTGCCAGGTCACAAATTATTTCATTCACCTGTTATGAATAATTGTATTTCAGTTGTCAGAATGCAAATTGCATGTACATTTATTGTTGCTAGGTAGGACAAACATTATGGTTTGTCCCACGGCTACCTAGCAACAAGTAATGTACGCAATGTATGCAGATGAATGAAAAGATTTGTAACATGGTACTTTGTAACAAAGATTTATGCATTAAATTTGATTACATTACGAAAATGGTCTATTCCATTCAGTCATCATCTAATCTTCATCAAACTACATGTATGGCACCAATTCCTTCTATTTTATGAGAAATGAGAACAATATGACATCTTAATGAAAAAGTGATTTGTAGTAATTATACAGTGAAACCTAAATGAAATATAAGTAAATGGACATATTGAGTGATTTTGAATACATGATAAATGAATGGTTAGGGATATATCAAGCTGGAAACACAATGTGAAATTTCAGTTTCTTTCACTAAAATGATGAACATAAATATTCACAATGCCCACATGCTGATGACCCCTGTATGGGCTGTTGGCATCGTAGAAGGATCTATTGTCCATATTGAACGCTTTAACTGTAACCGTTTGTTACCTGTACAAGTGCTTGCTGCATCACAGGCCCGGAACTCTTCTGTATACTCAGGGTTGGTACACTCCGCCCCTCCATACTGGGGCAGGGGGTTGGAACAGGTCCTGGTCCTGTGCTTGATGCCGTCTGTCCCGCAACTGATGGAACAATCAATGAAAGGCCATCTGGCCCAGTCGGTCCAGTTTCCACCAACTTGGGTGGGAAAGAAGTAGAGGGTGAATATGAAGAAGAAACAAAGAGAAAAGAAGACAAAGTTGTTTATTAGAAAAGTTCCGCATATGATTCAGATGATATCCCTAAAAGTTGCCCAGTCTTATAAACAGTTGAGATTAATCGTAATTTATTTGCAATTGATATCGATTGCAACTATGTAAATAAGAGATAGGAGATTGCAAACTCGCGATTGACTGGGGGAATTGCGATTGATTCAGATCAATCACAATTCTTTATAATACGGGGCCTAGGTATAATAAAATGATGTGGTTAGTAAAGTGATATATTCTGGACTTGCCTGAGCACTTACATGTATCTATTATATTTTATATATCAGTGGGTTTTACAAATCTATACAAACAACCGGTGTCACAGTGTCTGCTAATGTGGAGATAACCGGCTTATCATTGAAGTCTTAAGGATGGATCTAACAAAGACTCACTTGGACAAGGCTGTGTGTTGCAGGTTCTTGACTCATCAGCGTCTTCTGAGGCGGGGCAGTCTGCACCCCCGTACGCCGGGGTGGGGTTGGTACAGGTGCGGTTCCTGGTCTCCCACGAACCTCCGCAAGTGACCGGACACGATGTCCAAGATGACCACTCTGTCCATTCGGCATCCCCTGAAAATATTTATATTTGACAAAAAAGCTTTGGTATTGATTGACCCAAATTACCAATACATGTAGGTTTTCATTCTGAACTACATTCTAAAGCATATATGAACATGTATATTGCCATTGAATAGGCAGGATGGTACATTTTTCTTTATAGTCTTTGAGTCTCTAGCCACAATACACAAGCAAGATTGTAGACATGTAGGCCTACATGTACACAAATCTGTGCAAGCGTCATGAAATTGGCATCATATGATAATACTGAAAGCGATAATCAGCATGTAAACTGTAAATTCACAGATCCATGAACATGGTCGAGAATCTTAACTTTTGATTTCACAAGCGAAATAAAGTATATCTTGTTACATTTAAAATGAAACCAGTTCAAAAGATAATCTACTTTAAAATCCTTCTTAAATCTCTACACCAATGCTTAAATTGGCACTCACGTGGGTTGTACTTCCCGAGCAGGTCGACACGCATAGCAATGCTACCGTTGTAGTCCTGTGGGTAGAATCTGACGTGGGTGATGTTTTCTACCATGGGATCCAGCTCGTTGTACACTGCCGTGGATTCGTCAAAGTTTCCTTGGAAAATCTACAAAACAAATTGACACATCAATTACATGTAAGCCTGCAATATCGAAGCCAGGAATTAATGTTCTATAGCAAGACATTAATCCATATTTGCCATTCTTCACCCAGGATAACATGTAGATGGATACCTGATATGCTAAGATTGCTTTACTTCATTTTTCTATTTATCTTTTATTACCTCCTTGGAAAATCTACCAAAACAAATCAAAACATCATTTAAGCCCACAATACCACAGCCAGAAAATATTATTTGGCAGATAATGTTTACTTGAAGTTTTTTACATTTTGCACTCCATATATAAGTGGACATTTGGTCCTGTTTTTACAAAGGGTTGTGATTGATCCAGATTCATCGCAAGTCCTTCAATAAATCATAGACTTACAAAATCTCAAGTCTTAAGTACACAATTGTGATTAAAATCAAGCGATTATCGATTTGAATCAATCATTATCATCATTATCAAGTATTTGGCATCACCTGTGCCTGGGAGGTGAGAAGCGAACCAAATCACTGCAACCCTTAGGTCTCTCCTCCCGATATAACTGATCAGGGGTGTGAAGGTGGACCACCACACCAGGGTCCCCCCCCCCCTATTCTTAAAGCCCCTCTGTACTAGTTTGGCCAGGAGGGATTAGATGGATTAGCGTGGTCATTGACATATGGTTATCTCATCAACTCAGCTCTCAATCAACATAAGAAAGAGAGAGAATCATGGGGGACAAACGGGCACTGCTTAGGCATTGTTCTCTATATAGAGGGAGTAAGTAGCTACAAGTAGTGCAGTGGGGCTTTAAATACAAATAGTGCAGGGCCCTGTTTTAACATAGTCCACCTCTATGAATACAAAGCCTGGAAATCTTTACCTTCTTGAAGCCATTCTCTTTGTACTTTTTCCAGCTGGTGTCATTGGTCTTGTAAGAAATGTAGTAGGTTTCTACCCAGCTCTTGGAATCGTCGGAGCCCAGTCGTCCCTCGGTCGCTACTCGGTTTAGATTGACTATGTCTGGTAGCATGATCTCCAAGTAGGGTTCTGATGAGATAAGAGAAAAGAAGATATTTCACATACATATCTGCAATTTGTGGTAACAATAGACTACACGTATGCACTGACACTGTATGCTACAAATATATATAGCAGGGTCTTGTCAATAACTGAAATTAGAATCCCATAATCATCAATATAATCATCAGTATCAATAGATTCATTAGTATTAACAGCTGTATTACACTAATTATCAAGAACATCATTTTTCATTTATTAAATTATCATAATCATTATCATCATAGCCATAATCATCATCATCGCTAGCAGCAGCAGAATTACTACAATCCTCCTCCTCCTGCTCCTCCTCCTCGATCATGACAAGTTGAATAAACGTCATCACCATCATGATTCTTATCATCATTGCTACTCACTTTCGATTACCTACACCTTGTAAAATCATTAGGAGCCAAGGTTCTTGCAAATCAATGTTGCATTTGTAAACGGTTTATAAAAACCTTGACCATTAAACAAGTTTCACACCACACGTCAATAATGCCATGGTCATAACAACCATCATGATAATCAAAGCTACAAATTGTTCTCTTACTATCATCATCATCGTCTGGTGTCCATGCTGAATTGGTGTCCGAGGCACCCAGTCTGGCATTAGAGGGCGCCAGAGTAGAACTGAGTTTGGACGACGCAGAAAGCCGAATGTCCGAATTAGTTGCATCAGACACCTCCAATGAATAGTCAGTGTTACCTGTAGAAGTTTAAATCAACAAGTAGAAACACATAGTGTCAAATGTCAGAATGTCTTTTTTAAAGCCATGTTCTATCTCAACCCTAATAATTATCAGCTATGTTATCTTAGGGATGTTGCACTTCAAACATTTTTTGTTTATGCATTGTTCCTACTATGTATTATATCTCAATGTAACCCACTACATTTTATCATCTGTAAACAATCATTTTACATGGTGAATAAATAAAAACAAAAAAACAAACCTTAAATGAATATTCTGTCTACAATATGAATGGCCATCCACTATTAAACCAACCGGCCCACAATGCATAATCTACCATGGGTGTGTTTATACACATGCAGTGATTAAGTGCTTAATGCAACAGAGAAGCTAGGAAGTTAAAATATTGAGTACATGGATTCCAAAGAAGTGTGAATTAGTCCCGAGTTTGAAACCATGTCGATGCGCTCGTGCCCCTTCAGTAAGGATATTAATCCTCATTACAAAGTCCTAAGGAGAGGACTTTAAACAGTCGCCCCCCTGGCTGCCTACTAACAAGCATACAAACAAACAAACAAACTGTTACCCAATTTTCAAAAGAGCCATTGATGGTGAAGTCTATATGAAATAGACCACAGATCATAAACATATCCAATTCATCCAATCCAAAAGGTATTTGATATAGAGCTTCCCCTCTTCCATTTACAAAGCGCTGCACACATTGATCCACGATTATCCATTAAAAAAAAAACCCATATAAAATACGGGAGGGAGATGTGAGTTGGTCTAGCGGCACATTCACTTGGTCAGCTCTCTAGCTGTTTTCACCTACAGACTGGCTCAGGCGCCCCCGGTTCAAAATTGAGTCACCTCTTTCGGATGGTAACGTTAAAGGTCGGTCCCCAGACGTTAATAATCATATCTGATTGATACACGTCTGTAAAAACAAAATCACACACACACACATAATTGAAGACACACTTACTGTCACAGTCTGTGCCTGCATTACAGGAGACCCATTGTTGCCTGGGACCATGGCAGAAGTCCCCTCCATACTGAGGTTTAGGGTTGGTGCATTCCCTCTCTTGCCTGAGAGTACCTAAGCTACCGCAGCTTACCGAGCAGTTGGTCACGTCGTACCAGTCCGACAGAGCTCCATCAACTGCAGGTGAGACAAGGATGGCAATCAAAGATCGACTTCAAAGAATGGCTTGTAAAATATTGCATTTAGAGAATCAAAAGTGGGAAAGTAATTGAAAAAGAATAGCAAATAAAGAAGTTCTTTCCTTTTGGAATATCTTCTTTGTGAAATATCAATAAGGTACATTTCTTACAGTCATTGTTCTCATAGACCCTTCATTCTTTAGGAAGGACAATATTTTGAATATTCTAAGCCCCACAAGGATTGAAGACTGATTAAAATTAATTTGCTCAGAAAACTGATCTCCATAAGCTCTGTTAATTCCATTGTTAACAAAAAAAAAAGCGTTTATGAATATCATGTGCATAAAATACAATAAATGATGAAATTAACAAGACTGGCAGTAGATTCTTGAATGTTCCATGACCAATCTCAGTGTTTCAAAAACCTCTTAAAAACCAAGTCTCTATACTAATAGACACAGTGCCAGGTGGACGGGCATAAATCTAAACTTAAAAAAAAAAAAACATGGCAGCCGTGTATATGTGTACGAGAAATCATCCGTTTACTCGTCGCAGCCTTACTTTATACCATTAAATGCCATCTAAGCACTCACTTGGGCAGTTGTTGTTGCTGCAGCTCTGTACCTCCGAGCTCGCCCCCGAGCAGTCTGATCCACCATACTTGGGGGCGGGGTTGGTACAGGTACGGTTCCGGTAGTGCACCCCACCCCCGCAGGTCACACTGCAGTTGTCCCAGCTGCTCCATTCACCCCAATCACCATCAACTAAAGAATAAAAGAACAGCATTAGTCAGTCATCATTCATTTCAATTATTTTCCATTTTAAAAACAATGTGAACACAAGGGCAAAATACAGTAATAAAATCGTAATATTAAATGGTGTGATACCCTTAAAAGCAAATCGTTTGTGGGCAGGGTCCCAGGTTTACTCTTAACAATAGAGTGGTGAAGTGTGACGTCATCAAAAATCTATTTTTGGAATTTCTCAATTTTGTCTTCATTTTCCGAAAGAGCATCAAAAATAATGTTTAAATGTCGAAAACCTTTAGGTTAAGTATTGGCTGAGATATGACCATCTGAATAAATAGATTTCCTATGGGAACTCAATGTTACAGTATATTGCTCTGGCTCCTAACATTTCGAGCCAGAGCAATATAACACTGAGTTCCCTTTAGTACATGTTTCAATGAGAAACTGTTTTCAAGGGAAACCAAAAAGTGGTCTTTGTAGACAGGTGGTCATTAAAGCAGGTTTGACTGTAGTTGTAAAACTATTAGACTGAAAAAAGACTGAAAGAAATAGTCCTGAAAACTCACTTGGATTGAAGTAACCATAGAGGGCAACACGCAAGCAGATTGAGCCGTTCCATGACTGTGGCTCAAATCTAACAAACGTGATATCATCAAGTCCATCTAGATCATACCGAACAGCATTTGTGTTATCAACGTTCCCTTGGAAAAGCTGTTCAGAAGATATAGACAAATACAATAAAAGTATTTCCAAGAAACATATACTTGTCGACTGCCATGAGGCTCATATACAATGTACATCTTGCATATACATGCATGTACAAACATTTTGCATGCAGCTCAATTTACTTGAAATCCCTTTCTGAATGAATTGAAGAATTACTTATACATCAATTATCTCAGTACCAGGATTTTCTGCAAAATGTGTGTCCATCTGTTATAAAGTAGAATTATCATAAAATATTTCAACAACCCATACCCATTCAAAATAGTTTCTAAACTTACAACGACGAAACAAAGAAACAGATAAAAATCCCCACCACATACAATCAAACTCAGATCACACTTACAACATCAAAACAACCATCATGAAAATGTCTTGTTTAAAATGAAAATCCCCATTTAACTTTCACCACTTTTAGACACCTGAGATTGCAGTAAGCCTTGTACTCAGATCACACTTTTAAAGCCCATCTGCAATACTTTAGCCAGGGGATTAGACTTCAAGGTCACTGACAGGTGGTTATATCATCAAATCAGCTCTCAATCAACATAAGAAAAAAGGGGATCATGGGGGACCGACAGGCACCGATTAGGCATTGTTTGCTATATAGAGGGCGCAAGTAGCTATAAGTAGTGCAGTGGGGCTTTAATTACATGTTCATGAAATCATATCCAACAGTTTTAACCTACCATTTTTGTCTTGGTACCAGCAGCCTTGTACCCCTTGAAGTTACTGGAAGTGCTCTTCCAAAAATACATATAGTACGAGGTCACATAGAGGTCATCTGAAGGTCGACCCTGGATCGCCATGCCGACAAGGGTCACGCTGTCCGTCAGGTTGACCTCCAGCCACTCAGAGGTGGTAGAGTTTGCGGGGATCCAGCAGTCGGCAGCGGTGGATGAATCGAGGCGGGCCGCGCTGCCACAGTTGGCAGCGCTAGAGCAGCTGGATTCTGAGAGCTGGGAGTCGGCGATGTCTTGATTGACGATTCCGAGTTCAGTCTCTTCGTATCCTGTGTGGGATCATAATAAGATAAAATACAGGAACTCTTCTTCTAGACACGCCCAATTAAATAATGAATAATTTGCTCCACATGTTTTTGTAATGTTTTGTACAACTGTAAAGCATCGACAAGGGGCGCATAGGGACGCAGTGTCGCTTGACGCTGTGTCCTATGTGTGCCCATGACTGGTGCTTTGCTGTAAATGTTTTATGCTCACATATAGGTCTTTATACCGGTAATCTTTTTCTTGTATATATTTGTTTTCCTGTTAATGTTGTTTTTGTTAATTTTTCTAATTTCTCAATATATATGTCATGGTTAGTGCCCCAACCACAAGTTTGTATTCCAACTTCTTTAGGGGCTCCTAACCCAATGTTTTTATATTTCCATGAATTACTGTATATGTATTGTTATGGTTGAAATAAATTGAATTGAATTGAGAGGTGTTATGGTCTAGTGGACACTGACGTATGTTTTGTAAATTGTGGGGTCAACGTACTATAATGCTATTTGCTCTTTTTTGTTGACCCTCATTTTCATAATTTGTTTTTGTTCTAATTGCTCTGTATTGATTTTTATTGGTATTACTCGGTTGTGTATATATATCTTATGAATATTGCTTTTATTGAGGATGAAATAAAGACTTAACTGAACTGATCTTTACCTGAACACGAGGCAGGACCTTCACAGGACACCCAGCGATACTCATCACCTTCGCAGGGTTGACCCCCGTACTGCTTCGGAGGGTTGTTGCACTCTCGTTGTTCTTGTTTGATGCCATCACTCCCGCAGGATACGGAGCAGTTCACAACAGTCTCCCAGGCTGACCAACCTCCATCGACTGGCAGGAGAGAATTAGAGGGTGGGTTAATTGGTAAATGAGGAGAAAATATCTGAGAAATCACATATAAAGGGATCGTTTAACAATGTTAAATCTGAGATGCACAGCCCCATGTGTTATCAGTGTCTGTGATATGGTGTAATAGTGAAGCCCTAAAAAAATTGCGCTTCAAAATGATCAAGAAGTGCCTAAAAAAAGTAAAAATCTTTGAGTGACCGGTTTTACCATACTCGTTTTCCCCAATAGACTGTAGTGTTATGAAAACCGTTTGGCAAACACAAAATTTGGTTTCGATTTTCCAATCATAAATATCTTGATAATCAGACAGGCGATCGTCTTGTAAAAGTCAGGGGGTTCTGACTGACCTAAAGGTTTATAATTATCATTGCAGCATGAGCTAAATCCAGGATTTGGTTTCAGAATCGGAGACAAAGTTACCCAATCCATTTAAGATAAACACTTTGAAGATAATTAGAAGGCTTTGTTTTCAGATCTTGTATGAATGATCATGTAAATAAGTAAAAAGTAATCCACTTTTCATCTACCTTGTACATAAATGTACATGTACATGTACATATGAATCCTGTGCATTTTATTTTTGTACCAGCAAAGATTATAGAGAGATATTCCTGAACCTTTGTTAACAAAGCACAAACATTATGGGACTTGGTTAAGAAAATATCCCAAGAAATCTTGGTCTTGTTTCGTAAATATCCCGCTATTTGGGAAATAGTGGGCGAATTTGCGCCTATCCGAGCTAGTTTTTAATGAGCGTATATCGATCTGGTGAAGACGCAATTTGAGCTTCGGGATAATATACAGAGTCTGAGAGTAGGGGGTTATTTGGCAAAGTTGAGCTGATCAAGACAGGCCTACTAATGACACGGTTCATTTCTAACAGCTTACATGTACTGTACTACACTTGAGCGATGTCTATCTTCAGGAACACACAATGAGTGATTTCAAGTTGGGTGTTAAGGGCTGGTGTTAGTGTATAATAAACACTAACACCAGCCCTAAACACTGAAATGGAAATCAGTTGGTGTTCAGGCTTCGACCTCTGAATATCGTCAACTTCAGGTAGCTAGTGTTATCGATTTTGCAAAATTGTCGTCTTCTGTACAGACCTTTGTGGCTGGTGTTAATATCTTCTGTACAAATGTCCTTTCACTAACACTAACCCCTAGGGATTAAGCAAATGCTGATTTCCAGTTCAGTGTTAGTGTTAGCTATCGTTATCAGGCCATTTATTTCATCAGCAAATTCTTAGCTCGATTAAAGAGCGCTTGACTGCTCTAAACACTAACACTAACACCCAACTTAAAATCACTCAATGTGTTCAACTTACTTGGACAGTTGTTGGTGCTACATTCTTGAGATTTGGTGTCCGGGTCCTGGCAATCCTGGCCACCGAACTTTGGACTGGGATTGTCGCATGTCCGATTGCGGAACTGTATACCGCCCCCACAGGTCACGTTGCACTCCGACCAGTCACCATAGCGGCTATATTTTCCATCAACTGCAAAATTGAGATGATGAATTAACATTTTGAATGAGTAACTGAACCTGAGAATCTGGAACAGACATTCCTTATAAATGTCAAACTTCTTACCGACTACATTGTGTATCTATCTATGCCCCATAGTTTGGAGGCTGTTGGGGTGACAATGAAATGGACCTTGAAACACAGGTTCTCCATCACTTTCTGTCTTCAGCTGTTCCCGTTAGCTGCTAAAATGACATGCCCGTCCAAATGCTTGATGATAGCAGTCCATGTCGTAGTTGGTCTGCCCCTCTTTCTTCTCCCATCAGTTCCTCCTTGCAAGATGGTGTTTGCCAAGCTATTCTTCCATCTATTTACATACCCAAACCACTGTAGCTGTCTTCTTTTTACAATTGTGATAAGGTGATCATGTTCCTCTATATTACGTACAGGTATATAAATAATCATCCTACGTATACAGATCACTTGCTTTCCTTGAATTGTATTTCTGTGAAGGTTTGACTTATAATGCTTTGTTCTATTCATAAATAGGGAATGAAATATCCTCCAAGGATACAAACTTAAAATTGAGGATAATTGTTTTTGTTTCTACAAAAACCTCCCAAAACCCCCCATCTTAGTCCAAAACACATCATTCTACACTTGGAGGGACTTGCCGCCCCACCCACCCGACCACCCCACCCACACACACAAAGAAGGGGTCAAGTTTCTCACCTGGAAGGTATACTCCATAGAGTTCAACCCTCATGCAGACTGCATCGTTCCAGGAAGTTGGTAGGAACTGGACATAGCTGACCTCGGCCGAGACATTGACGTCATGGCGCACTACGTTGGTATTGTTGTAGTTACCTCGAAACACCTGTAGGCAGGGGGGATATTAAAATATCAATAACACTTTCTGTAAAATCCAATACTTTGGGCATAGCAAAGATATTATCTAACCTTGAAATCATGAGGTTTCAAGCTCTCACACACATTTTTTTTTTCTCGAGAGAATCTATGCACATGTTTGTTTGTTTGCTTGTTTTACCTGACTGCTAAGAAAGCATGTGTATGCTTGTAATTATGCAACCAGGGGACGGAAAGCTTTAAGTCCTCTCCGAGGGACCATGATGATTAGTGCCTTCCCAAAGGGCACTAGCGCATTGACTAGGTTTCGAACCGAGGACCTCCCGATTGCGATTCCATTGCTCTACCACTGAGCCATCATGCCTCCAACATGTACAATGTACAATGTGCAAAATGAGAACTACAGTCAAACCTGCTTCAGTGACCACCTGACTACAAGGACCACATTTTTTGTTTCCCTTGAAAATGGTTTCTCATTGAAACATGTACTAAAGGAACCTGTCTACAAAGACCACTTTTTGTGTTTCCCTTGGGCAGACGCTATAGACAGGTTTGACTGTATTTGAAAGTGACAGGGCTAATAGTGATGCTACACTTGTCAGATGGGGGGGAGGGTATACATGTACATGTAGTTTCCTCACCTTTAAACTATTGCCTTCCATCACATAATACCACTCTTCCCCATCCGTGCTGTACATGACATCATACTCCGTCACGTAGCTGTCATCCGAAGGGCGCCCGCTGGTGGCCACACCCTTCAGAGTGACGGGGTACTGCAGCTCAATTTGAAGCCACACCCCCTCCGTGCCATTGGGGGGCATCCAGCAGTGGGAGGAGTCAGCGTCGTTAAGCCGCGCCCATGTTGCGCAGGAGTCGTTACTGGCCGAGCATTCAGACTCCGTCAAGGAGGAGTCAGTTATGTTTCCAGCCTCCATGCCAAGTCCTGAGTCTTCATTATCTATTTGAAAGAAAACAGAGTTGATTTACAAGTTTCAATCATTTTTTGGATTCATGCATGGATGTTTCATGAGGCATAAGAACTTCCAACCAAAGTTTACATTATAAATATGGAAAAATAACGAATACGTAGATATAAATGTATCATCAACTCAGTAAATTGGCAATACATTTAATGCAACAATACATATTCCTGCACGATATCATAATTTATTATCTATATAAGGCTTCCAAGTGGTACAATAAATCAATACATTCAATATCTTTAGCGCAGTATCCAGGATGACTGACCAATATTGTTTTCATATTGCTCAGTCATCCGGGAACTTCAACTATCGATATTGATATCATTTCGATACGACACAAAAACAAAGCCATGTTTACTGAGGTCAAATTTTTTTATTTCACTAGTCAGACTAATATAGATAATAATGATAATATTGTATGGCTCTGATTTCGTGTGATACAAGCATATTTTGGTCCTGCTATGACAATATTGGACTCGTCACCGACTTGTTCAACATTGTCATAGCTCAAGCAATATATTCTTGTATCAAGCTCAAAGCCATCCAAAATCATTATTATCATTGCACAGGATAGCCTTAACAGTTTTTCAACATCAATATCTTCCACCTTCCAAGAACAAACAGACATCATCAAAGACCTCAAACCTCCTTCCCTACCTGAGCATGATGCTAGTCCTGCACAGCTGGTGTACCTCGTGCTCTCCCCAACGCAATCATCGCCACCGTGTTGAGGGGTGGGGTTTGAGCAGTTCCTCCACTGCTCGATGACACCGTCGCTAGCGCACTCCACGGAACAGGTGCCGACGTCCTCATAGGCGGTCCAGTTTCCATGCACTAGTCAAGGGAGAAAAAGGAATTTGATACTTAAAGAGTTTAAGTGTTTCTTCTGGAGGGTATTTCACAAAACTTGTCATCAGTGACAAATGATAGTTTTTGTTATAAGCTACTGAAATCCTTGCTTCTGATTGGTTATCAGCGGATTAGTCACTGATTTTAGTCATTTGTCATTGAAAAAAGGCTTTGTGAAACGGTTCCCAGAAGTAACAGAAGTGTGCAACCTATTTGTCATGGTGTACATGAGTCTATTCTCATATGTAAAACAACAACAACAAAATCGAAACAAACAAAAAGAGAAGAAAGCTATCAATTTCTATCAATAGTATTGTTGCCAATTTGACGAACATTATGTGATCAATTTAGCCCTAGAAATAAATCCTGTCCTGAAAGGGTTATATCATAATTATATAACACGAGATAAATGGTAATGCTTAACCCCGTTGAAATTATGTGCATGTGTGCAAATGTTCCAACCATATCAAGCAAAGGTCATTACAAACAGGAGGTCTTTAAATAAAGATGGCTACTATCGTCAGGATTGATACCCTATGTACTGTGTTAATCTTTACCTGGACAGGGATTATCTCCACACGTTCCTATTTGAGAATCAGCGTTGGATCCTGGAAGGATTGAAAGAAAAGACAACATATGAAGAAGAATGTCACCTCAATTTGTTCTTAGCATGCATGTTCAATAACAATATCTGTATAGAAAGCCATACAGTATATCAGCATCAATCAATTAGTGTCACCTGGGGGTGTTTCACAAATACCAAGATTGACTAAAAGCACACTTACATGTAACTACATGTATGGCAGGCAGTTGATGCCACTAGTTGCTCCGACAATTAATCTCTGAAGGAATGTGCACATTTACATTGTAAGTAATTTTATGTTTCCTTCAATGATGAATTTTAAAAAAAAAGCATATTCTGTTGATTTGCAAGCACGACTTGCACTTCCCTTGAGAGACTAATGTTAGAAATGGTGAGAGCAAGCAGTGGCATTACCGGCCTGCCATAGTTAAAGGGAACATTGTGTTCTTGATCCGACTTCATAACATGTGAAGTAGAATATCATTTTGCATTCTATATCTTGCTTTCAGAGGAGTAAATTATCTCAATCACAAGAAAGAAGGGAAAACATGAAATTTGATGTATAAAAGGCATGGAGAGTTGTCCACAGATGATGTCATCAAATTGACTAGTCATTTCAAACAGCTCTAACTTCCTTATTCCTTGCCCGATTCTGTTCAAATTTTCACTGATATTTTTCAAATACCTTAAACTTTACAATAAAAGTAACTTAGTATGAAGGGTTTGGTTCCCTTTAAGTACAATTTCAGTCATTCTTCGTCTTTGTGAAACACCCCCTGTGCTTGGGAGCTTAGGGAAAGTGAAATTCATCAGTATAGTCTTTAGACCTCTACTTCCAAGTTGGAGAGATTACACAAAAGCAATTACCTTTTACTAAAAATATAAACAAATTGAATAATTTCAAATAGGGTGTAAAGGTTTGGATGGAATAAGGTAACATTGAATTGAATTGAATTGAAATTTATTTTCATCATCATGACAATATATACAAAGATAAAATGTGGAATTTCATAACATGTAACAGTATCAAAATTACATATAAAGGTGTTTATGTTTAAATGGCCTTCATTCATATACAGCGGCAGCATGGTACTAGAAGGGGGTACAAATTTATGTTAAAGATGATGAATGAATGTGAAAGCTTGTTATTTAAACAAAGACCTATTTTCTAATCAATCATACAAAGGCAAATTATAAACAGGAATATTCCTTGGAACCATTTCCCCTCCATAAAAACAAGCACATAAAGTAGTTCCAAACTCTCTGCTGGCTTATTGTGATAACTGTCCAATAATTCTTGACAAAATCAAACCAATATTTACCAGGATAAAAGAAGTTCCTGGCATTTATGGTGGAGAATCGCCGGTAGAATATCTGCAGATCGCTGAGTACCACGTCCACATCATAAGCAGATGTTGTAGCATTCTCATAGTCCCCACCGAGATAGACATTGGTGAGGGACTCGCTGAGGGCTGGTGCAGCCGTGCTCGAGGTGTCCTGGCTTGTGGCAAGGTCCCCGTTCAGGTAGAGATGCAAGCCGTTGCCTCTCTTGTAGGTAATCATCATATGGAACCACTCCGACTCCGGGATGCTGTCGTTGGACAGACTGTAATAGAAGTCATCGATGAGGGCGACGTTGAGCTGAAGGTCTGAGGAATCTCTGGACACTGACACCTCCACTCCTGCAGAGCTGATGATGGCGGTCGTTTCGTCGACGGTGTCCTCTGGTGTCAGTTTCGTCCAGAAGGAAAGTGTCAGGCCTTGCTTGCAGAGGGTGGGGTCGTAGAGGCAAGACTCGGTCTGGTCTCCGAGATCGACGTAGTTCTGGTGGAGAGAGACAGCACACCTGTGTTCCGCTCCATCTCTTGCCACTGCCAGAGTTGGATTGACTTTCAGAGTTCCAGTCATCGTGCCGTGGGTGGCAGGCACAACCTTCTCGGAGCAAGGATCATTACAACTCTTGATGTCTGTGTCGTAGCCGCAGCGTCCACTCATATCAAATTCCATTGATGGTGTAAAATCTGCACAAATAAAATAATACATACCAAAAATAGTTCGGGCTTTAAAGCAGACATCAGCATTGTAGGCCATCCAAGTTTTCAATTCTTGATCATTCAAATGTCTGATCAAGTCCCTGTTTCATAAAACTTTTTATCAATAACAACTGCCACAGATCTATGACAAAATCTCATCACAGCCAATCAAATGCAATGATTTTAGTAGCATATAACTATTATTGTATCTTGTTCTTGATTAGAATGGAAAATGGTGCTACATAAATCTCATGCAATACTATAATTATTATCAATATGTAGGCAATGTGAATAGGGTATTAAGAGCTTGTTCACATACGACAGTGTACAAGTGCATTACTTTTTAAAACATTTACATTTTTGTAAACCGCAAGTAGGGTTGAGGACAAAAGTGCCTGCCCAAGACAAAAGTCCTACGTGTACTCACTTATCTGTGTTTTTTATGAAACAGAATTGTGAAGCCCTTAATGCTCATCTTGCCCAGGTGATTTACCACTGCATGTGGGAACAAGGGTTAAAGGTCAACTTACCATGGTGATCTTCTCGTAGCCAGTACCACACAGTGCCAAATGTGACTACAGTAGACCTCCTTCTTCTGGACAACAGAACATTCTCAAGTTTCTTCATGTCCTGTTGTCCGATCCGGTAGACATTCTTGAAATCTTCAAAGTCCTCGTCTCCCTCTCTGGCCGCGTCTACGGCACGCTTCCTGCGACTTCCTCCTGATTGCGTCGTCCCCCCTGACATTGTAGTTCCCGCCATCGTTGTAGCAGCATCCATCGTTGTAGCTGCCACGGTTGTAGTTGCAGCCGTCGTTGTAGCAGCATCCATCGTTGTAGCTGCCACGGTTGTAGTTGCAGCCACGGTTGTAGTTGCAGCCGTCGTTGTAGCAGCATCCATCGTTGTAGCTGCCACGGTTGTAGTTGCAGCCACGGTTGTAGTTGGCGCAAAGGTCGTGGGCTCCTCGTCCGCAGACCACCAGCTGGTGTATGGACTCCAGGTCAGGTTGGCGCAGTCACAGACGACGGTCCCCGCCCAGTTTGACGTGGTGCCCGTGTTGTTGTGAGCGCGGAGAAGGGCGTGATCGTCGGACGTGAGCCAGGGCATGACGTGCTGCAGAGAGGAGTTGTCCGCACGCCAGGCATCGAACATCTCAACCAGGGTAGAGGCCTGAGAGTTGTCGCTGTTTGTGAAGCTGTAGTTGGCGGGTACCTCCCATATGCCACCCCATCGCCCTCTCTCAATAGACTCCAAACGATACTGTGATGGTAAAGATTGACACATGTAAGATGGAATTAATAAACATATACAATTTTGATACATATACAATAAATTATATTTCGTTAATATGATTTAACACACTTGCAATGTGTTTTATATGCTCTATATATAATAATATATACATATATAGACGCTGTGATATAGTCACACTACATGTACTTAAAGAATACTAAGTGCTACAGTGTAGTTATTATCTGTGCACTTGTATGTATGACAACAGTCAACTGTGACACCCGCCGTTTGTTTCACTCCGCTACCACAGCCTGTAACAAGTTAAAATACAAAATGTTCTCATCCGTACCTTAAATAATAATAATTATATTTGCTTATATAGCGCCTAACACTTACTTTATCAGAAGGCTCTAAGTACTCTACAAAATGCAGCATAATTACCCTGGCTTTAGCAGTGCAGCTGTTATGCACGCTGCGTTTCAAGGAATAAATTCCAACCAGGTACCCATTTTCTTCACCTGGGTGGAGTGTGGCAAATGTAGATCAATGTCTTACCTTAAAGGTATTCCCATTTCCAGAGTCCTTGATGGTGTCAGCCTTCGAGAGGATGGAATAGTCAGAAGTGAGCGAAGGACTGTTCAGATTGCGTAATACTGTGGTTAAAGCGGACCAGCCACTAGCACTTGCTTGAGTGAGAACAAGAGTCCATCCCCCACCATCCCTAGTCATGTCACAGTAGACATCATTCACGTTTGCGCCGATCTTGACCGAGTAGATACCGTCGCCAGGGGTGTTGCCCCTCGCCTTAGAAACGATGAGGTGAATGTTGCAAGAGGAGTAGTCTAGATAAAGTTGAACAAGATAGAGAATTAGAGATATATTTAGTGTATATGTAGACAATAACACATGTCAAATATCAGAAACATCTACACTGTATAATTATTTATACACCATATTGATAAGTTCCTGGGTACACCACATGAATGTTGTCTCTACAAACCTTTAAATTAATAATTATAATAATGATAATAACATGACTTGTTTACACAGGGTAGCCTCATCAGTATAAATACCTTTCTCCCTGAGGGCCCTGCAATCATATTATTCAAAATAATAATTATGTACTGCACAGAATGTGTTGCTTTTTCTCATCAAATTTTGCAACATTTATAGATTTTTTTGATAGTCACAAGTTTGGATAACACCATGAATGATCAAGTACTGAAGAAAGATGCTTCAAACTTGTGTATATGGAACGATATAAATCAAGGCAAGTTAGAAATGGAACTGCGGTTAACACTTTGCCTCAAGCAATTTAATTTTTTATACAATTTTCACAAAATCCATAGGCAACATATTGGCATGTATTATAAAGCCTTTTGATTGATCGTAAGGTTAATATTGAGCGTAAGTCTATAGCTCATCGTGTATTGATCAAACTTTAGATCAATCATAACTCTTTATAAGAATGGCTTTTCTTTCACTGACAAAAACAATTACCTAATTCATAGTAGTCATAGCCTAAGGTGACACTTAGTGGCTCATCATGAAACGAATTTGAGGTGTTGGTGAGAACACAATCTCCTGAACCCGAGCCAAAGTTAAACGATTCACAATCAAAGCTCTCCTCGACGGCACACAAGGTGGCGCACTCTATCGCGGTGGTAACGGAATAAGAGACGGTGAGGTCCGCTCCTAGTTGTCTGTTTGACTGCTTCCCAAAGAAATGGAGTGGTTCATCTGTAAAGGAAAAATAAAATGGAAATAATTGAAGACAGTGAGTGAGCGAGTTTAAGGCCTAAAAAAAAAAGAGATGTTGTATTGCCCTTTAGGTGCTAAAACCAAAACATGGGTTGGTCGGTCGAAAATCTTCTTCGCTTAATTCGGAACTTAGATTTTGGACGCCCATGTGTCCCGGGCGCTGTGGATGTCAAGCCCTGACTTGAATTTTCGAACGAGCACAGGGCAGAAAATGTTTTCCTATTTGAACCAGAAACAATTTTTGATTTAAAATCACAACAGTGATTGGTTCATACAGTACATTCTTCATGGGCTTTTGCAAACATAATAATCAATCGCATGGACATGTAAAAAATGAACGTGTAATTAAACATTGTTGACTAAAAGCTCAATTATGCATGCACACACATGAAAAAGATAGTTGCATCAAAACATTTTAACAAAAATCAATGTTGACATCCTAGAAATAATAAATGATAAACAAAATGGTAGTTTACCTAGTATTTGTTCCATGTATTCATTATTTTGGCACCTTAGACCAGTTCCTTGTTGGGCTGGGCTATCACAGGACCTGGTCCTCTCTTTTGTTCCTGTTCCTTCGCAAGCAACGGAGCAGGATCCCCATTCTCCCCAGGAACTGAACTCCCCATTCACTGTCGATGAAGATGAAGAGGATAACAAATCAAAAAAGAAATAATAAAGTTGAATCCTGTTATGAAGAATTGTTGACCCGATGATTTTTTTGATTTTGTTTAAAGTTTAACAAATTAGCTTATCATGTGTATGCTAGTAAGTTTAGCAACCAGGGGACGGATGGCTTTAAGTCCTCTCTATTGAACTTGGTACGAGACCACTGCTCTACCACTGAGCCATTGCACCTCCTTCAATTTTATACCTCATTTTTTCTCCATAATTCAAAATACCAGATTATAATCAACATTTAGCTTGGACTTGCAGTGATCTTCAGTGGCTTTCATTGACCTTTAAGTGATCTTCAGTGAGCTTTCAGTGACCCTTTGCTAGATAATTCAAACAAAGTAATGTAAATGTACGCATACCTGGTTGGACAGTTCCATAGAAGGCAGCCCTGAAAGAGATTGCTGTGTTCCAAGTTTTTGGTTCCACCCGGACATAACGTACACCCTCTACGGGATCCAGGCTGTGACGAACTACAGAAGTGCTATCCATGTTGCCTTGAATAAGCTGTATATTAAGACAATGGTAAATGTCAGACAATCATATTTCCCTTGTAAGTTTTCTGCTGTTTTAATGATAAACTATGCAAAAACAAATAATTGAATAAATGAATACACTGTACACAAATGAATGGATAAATGTAGAAAGCTCAAAGGAGCAATCCCACCCTTAACGACTCCTAACAATGCTACTTTACAGACACAAAATAAATTGTTTAAATATTCAAAAGCTCCTGAAAACAAGTGCGTCTTTAACAAAACTTTGAAGACAGCAATAGATGAGGCTTTTTTCTAGTCTTGTGGTAAGTTATTCCAAAGCTTTGGAGTTTTATAAGTACAATCTCCAAGAGTTTTTTTTTGTGGGAGGTACATGTACATCTATTGCAATCAGATTTATACCTTTGTCGCTCCAGATCCATAGTAGCTCCAATTAACCCCGTCACTGGAGTACTTGAGGTAGTAACCGGTGACATAACCATCGCAGCAAGGGCGCCCTCTGGTGTCCATACCTGTCAGTGCTACATACTGCCCAAAATCAATCTGAAAGAAAAGGAGTATTGAGATTACATGACTGTGCAGTCGTAGAATTGACACGATGGTCAAATATTCCCCAATTCTAGGGTGCTATTATGGAATAAATGAATCAATCAATCAATCAATCAACGAATGAATGAAGGAATAAATGAATGATGGAAAGAATGAATGAATATATAAATGAATGAATGCATAAATGAATATATGAATGAACAAATGAATGAATATATAAATGAATGAATGCATAAATGAATATATGAATGAATGAACAAATGAATGAATATATAAATAAATGAATGCATAAATGAATATATGAATGAATGAACAAATGAATGAATATACATGTATGAATGGATGAATGTATTGATGAATGCATGAGTGGACAAATGAATATATAAATGAATGAATGCATAAATGAATAGATTAATGTATGAATAAATCAATGAAAAAATGAATGATTGAAGTAAGGAATGAATGAATGAATGCATAGATGAATATATATAAATGAATGAATGGATAAATTGATACATAAATGTAGGAATTAATCAATGATAAATGCATGGATGAATGAATGAGAAGACAAATAAATATATAAATGAATGAATGGATAAATAAATAGATGAATGTACGAATGAAAAATGAATGACTCAAAGATGGAATGAACAAATGAATGAATGAATAAATGAATGGATGAATGAATGAATGGATGAATGAATGAATGGATGAATGAATGCGTGGATGAATGTGAATGAATGAGTGGATAATTAAATATATATGAACGGAATAACTTAATAGATGAACGGATGAAAAATTGAATACTAACCTCTAACCATTCTCCATCACTTGTAGAGTTTGCAGGTACCCATCCCATTGTATTATTATCATTATAAACACCAGCATTGGATGGGCCCATGTCCGGTTGTGATGATGAGGCATTGAAGCTGATCTGACTGAATAGTTGCCCAATAAGAGAAATTCCTTCACCTGTGCAGGGGAAAACATAATATAATAATAATAACGTTTTATTTACCCAGGGTAGCCACTTCATATGAAACTGCTCTGCCAGCGGGCCCTGCATAACATTATGTTATTACTACCCTTTTCCAATCTAATATACTGAGCGCCTAGCTAGAAGGCAGAAGGTCCCTTTGTTATAAGTCTTTGGTGTGACTCGACCGGGGTTCGAACCGACGACCTCCCGTTCATGAGGTGGGCGCTCTAACCACTGAGCCACCATGCCCGGTTAATAATAGTCCATTGTATTAGATAGGGAATCTAAACAAACATCATATTCATGACTGAGCTTCTAATAATGATAAGAACACTAAAACCCACAATTTCTGTGCAATGAACTCTACTAGTCAGAATAAAAGCCGAATCGGCTTCAAATCGTAGACAAATGCACTCCTGGGGGTGTTTCACAAAGATCCAAAGTCAAACTTAACTCCAAGTTGGACTTTAAAATTATGGAGAGCCATTTGTAGACTTAAGATAAAATATATTCAAAAGTGAAAATTCAAGTATTTTAGACTTTTTATAAATTCCACATTAATAGAAAATATGAATGATTTGGATTAACATTCTATGCCTTTTAAAATTGACTTTTTACAAAATATTTTCATAGATGCTAACGGCTTTCCATAATTAATAGGTCCAACTTAGAGATAAGTTCAACTTAGGATCTTTGTGAAACACCCCCCTGGTGTGATGTTACCACGATTCTCAGCCAATTAAGCTTATCCTCTTCCAAGAAAGCATAAAATCACTTGAAATTTCAGTTTTCTTAATCATAAGACTATTCAGATCCTCCATCATTAAGATTTTACATGTTTGTATCAAATGCTGTTGCAAATTCTTCCAAAATCAGAAACACTGTAATAGTTGGATCGTATAGTGTGAAGTGGTTTGATCAGTTTAATTTTGGCCATTACAAGAAGTGGGTTATTGTAGACAAATGCTCATGTACCTGTTACAGTTCATTCTATGTATGTTATTACCAAAAAAATAAACATGTCAGTTAGTCACTCAATAGTGTCTGACAGTGATGTCTAGAAGGTAAAAGGGTTTCCTTGCATAATTTGAATACTAGGACACTGCTTATGTTTAAATTTCACAGATAGGCAAATATGACATATTCAAAATTTCTGCAAAGTTCTACAGAATAAAAGTAATGTAGTATCTTAAAAATTATTTAGTAGCCAAATGGTTAAGAACCTACTTCTCTGGATGCAGTATACGCCCCATTCTCCAGATTGAGCAGACGCGCCTTTGTCCATCACCCCTGAACTATTAGCACTTGCACTACATTCGGTCGACGACTGAACGACACGCTTCACTGATCCGTCAGACGCCCATCCCCAATCGCAGGACTCGTCTCCACTGTCATACATGTCCAGCAGGTCATCGGGCGTGGCCAGCTCCGCCCCGTATTGGTAGCACCGGGTCTGGGCGTCGTCGAAGGTGACGTTGGATGATCCATCAAAATAGGCGTTGGATCCTGCAGGAAATAATTAATTTAGAGGAGAGGCAAATTAAAGCCTATCTGCACTAGTTTGGCCAGGAGGGATTAGACCACCCTGCGTGGTCACAGGCAGATGGTTATCTCATCAAATCAGCTCTTAATAAACATAAGAAAAAGGGGATCATGGGGGACCAACGGGTACCGCTTAGGCATTGTTGGATATATAGAGGGCGCAAGTATATATACGTAGTGTAGTTCCGCTTTAATTAAAGATTCAACTACATATACTTTCACAATCATGGCAAAATGTTCAAGGTAAATAATGATAATTATGTTTCATTTTGAAAATGCAGAAATAAAAATAAATAAACAAACAAACAAACAATAATAATCTAGATTGATATAGCACATAATACAAACGTTTCTTAGTGCTTTACAGATGTTATTACTCATGGTCACTGTATAAATATCACACAAAATGTGAGCACCATCTCCACTCCCTAGGAAGTATTTCTACCATATGATCAATGTAAGGTGAGAAGATAATGTAAATCATATTATGGCTTTCATCATCCCACCACGCCCCAGTTTCTATCCTGGGTATAAAATGGCAAATGAAGATTGACATCTTGCCAAAGGACATTACAAATAGTACAGCCAAGCCTGCATAGAAAGACTGCTCAAAGGAAACACAAAAAGTGGTCTTTATAGGCAGGGGATGTTTAAGCAAAAGTATAATTTCAAAGAAAACGTAAATATGCATGGTTTGTAAAGCAGTTGCTCTTTCTACACAGGGGGCCGGGCCCTAAAGCAGGTTTGACTGCACATTCAACGTTCAAATAACTCATAAATGCAAAACTAAAGCTGTAAACTTTGAGCTTCAAGGAAGACTGTGTACTGTAGGAGTAGACATTAATCTATATTTGCTGCACCCAACCCAGGTGAGGTAAATGGGTACTTGGAAGGATTATTCCTTGAAATGCACTGTGCACTGATAAAGGCTGCCGGAGCTAAAGCTAGGGTAATAATTTCCAAAACTCTTTGGAAGAGCATAGGGACATTATATAACGTGATATGCGCTATACAAGAACTGAATATCATTATTATTATTAGGAGACTCACCGATGTGGACTACAACCTCACAGAAAGAAAGAGAGGTCTCTGTGTCAGCAACGTTCTGAATACTGAGGTATCTTCCAGCCATGGGGTCACAGTTCACATCATAGGTAGACGATGCGTTAGAATCCACGATGTTTCCGCACCGCATGTTCTCCTTGGGTGTGGAACTGACACCGAGCCGGACCACGAAAGGAGTAAGAGTCCAGGCTGTTAAAATTGAAAGACACAAATTTTGTTATCTTCTGGAAAAAATAATTGGCGTGATGATGACCACAGGGAACATACAGGGAGAGATAACAAATATATTCAATTCAATTCAATTCAAATGAGGTTTTATTCAAGACTTGTCAAAAAGCCCAAAGACTAAAAAAGCAAGTTTACATCAAACATACAATCAAATAAAAAAGCATTCAAAAACATATACTGTATATATATATATATATATATATATATATACATGTATATAAAGAAAACATAGCAATTGAGAACAAATATATAAAAATTAATAAATTTTTACATCAAAACATCAAAGAAGTAACAAAAATGAACACAAAAAAGATACAAAAAAAAATAAAAGATATAAAATATTGCTAGCAAAAATGAATAAATGTTTACATCAAAACAAATAAGATGTATCCAGATACGTGAATTCAATTATATATATTACAGTACAATCATTGTGTATTACAGAGTAGCAATGCTTTATTTATAAATATATACCAGAATGCAAGACGTATTCCGTACAATGTAGAGAGTACTGTAATTACAATAATGTTAGTTTGTACTTTGCCGAACACCCCTCCCCCTCCCCCCTTCCTTCCCCCCCCCCCCCTCCAAGACGTTGGCCCTATTACATAAAAAAATGACTTACAATAATGCATAAAAATATATTCTGCAAGTAATTGTATTGTATCTATATGCAACATAAAACGAATCGTAAGTTAGTATTTATTGTAAAGTTACGATTGATTATTAACAAGATGCAATAAATTTGGGGAGATGATCAATTTCACCTCTTCATGCAACAGGATCTCTGTATTTTAAAAGTGAACACTTCAGGGGTGAAGTGAGCACTAACGTTTTTTTTTCTCAACCGCATCCCCCCCCCCCCCCCCCCCCCCCCGCCCTCTTGACTAAGAAAAAAAATGGCATCTAACAAGATTCCCCCCCCCCCCATCTCCTTTTAAGTAAGAAAATTGGGGAAAAATTGGGGAAAATAGCGGTAAAATCAGGAAAAAAAATATCAGGAAAAAAAAAAATAATTGGGAAACCGATTTGAATCGGGAAATTATCAGGCTTAAAACTTGTGGGAAGAAGGAGGATACTTTGGATGGACAGTCTGTAGAAATTGTTGGAAGAGAGAGGAGTGGAAGAACTGGGAGTGGTACTAATACAGAAGGCTAGGAACTGAGGGTTGGGGAACAGCATAATCACCAAAGTCAAACGATATGGCACTTAGAGAGAGAGAGAGAGAGACTTACTGCAATCAATACAGTCATCGGTTCTGACGTAGATGGATACTGATCGGACCTGATAGACCCCACCCAGGTCAACCTGCCACCAGGGGGCGCTCTCCACGTTGGTCTCAATGCAGGAGCCGCTGGAGAAGTTAGAGGTCAAGTCGTTGTCCACAGCCCGATAAGAATCACCACCAGATGCCGTACTGCTCTGTGAGGTGGTCTTGTTCTGGTAGAAATCCTCTCTCTCAGCTAAAATGGTTGATACAAATGTTGCAAAATTGGTTTTGAGTTTCTGATCTAAAATTTTACTTTTCTTGTACATGTATTAAAGAGAACTGTTGCTGAGCTAGCGCCATGAACGTCCCTGGACGGTGTCTGCGCTCTTTAATTTTACACTATTATTATTATTATCATTTTGAAAAAGAAAATGGCAATGAATGACATACAGATTATATTTTGTTTTTCAGTGAAAGATTTTGTACAATCATCCTTTAAACAAAAGCAGCTCAAGAACTCAAAAATAACTTACGTTCAATAGAAGCAGAAAAATCAGACAAAAATTCATAACTTTCTTATTAGTTATCCTATTTTGCTCATGTATATCTCACCTGTGCAGTTGACCGTTGCATTACATGCCTGTCTGAGGTAGAGGTCATCGAGGTCACATTCCAAGCCACCGTACTGAGGTTCAGGGTTATCACATGCCCGGTAGCGATACATTACCCCTCCCTCTCCACAGTTAATGGAACAGTCTGACCAGGATCCCCAACTGCTGTAATCACCATCGACTAGTAAAGGATGATAATAATAATAATAATATTGAGGGGTCAGTGACACAAAGACGCAACTCCATTTTGAGAAAAAGTGGTTTATGTGTCACTGAGCACTTGGGCCTTAAGGAGTTAAGTCTATGTTTCACTAGCCATTGACTTCAATGTGGTGTTGGGTGGAGTTAAGTCTTTGTGATTCCTGAACACATTTTTCTAAACATTTTGATATCAAATATTCATTTTGGCAAAATATGGAGTTGAGTCTGTGTGTCACTGAACCCTTGATATGTTCATTTATATAGCCCTCTCACACAATTGGTTTCATAGCACAGGATATAAAGGTGGGAAAATCATTTATAACAAATACGTTTTCAAGTGCTTCTTTAAGGTGTCTAGTGTGGGTGCTGTACGGATGTTCCGGATTATTTGTGAAATGGAGAAATATAAAATTATATTTGGTGAGTCGAATGGAATAATTGAGCCAGAATTGCTTTAAAATGGCAATTTGAGCAAAAACTCCTAGGTGATGTCAAGCATTGGGATGGCCATGTATTGTAATCATTTGATTAATGAGGACACTTTTTAACAAAGAAAGTACCATCCACAAAACCATTCTCATCAATAGTACCAATTTCATACAAACTCATCCCTATAATGCTCATTATAACATTGAATTGTAATTGCATCACACAGCACTTGCTCTGTCAGTACTAATCTCACTATTGTATTCAATATTTGACACATGTATTTGAAATCATTGTATCACATATTTATGATTTATTTTGCCTTTTTCTCCACGCACATGTAGCTAATATCTTACTATTTGCTTACATGTATGATATACATGTAGCCTTTCTCCAAATAATAATAATGATACTAATACTGCTACTACTAAATAATAATAATGATAACAACTATAACAAGAATAATAACAATAACAACAACAATAATAATAAATTAATAATAACGATAATAATAATAATAATACAAATAATTGGATTTATGTAGCGCCTTTTTATAGTGGATACAAGGCACTATCCTTTGGTCTATACTGAGGAATTAATAATAATAATAATAATAATAGTGGGTTCTTGTATAGCGCTCATGTCAGTCAGATTTGACCCTCCTGGCGCTCCTGATTATTACCCTGGCTTTAGCACGGCTGCCATACGGCGCTCTAGCATTTCAAGGAATAAATTCCTACCAGGTACCCATTTACTTCACCTGGGTGGAGTGTGGCAAATGTAGATCAATGTCTTTAAGAATTGTAGAGGTGTGTTTTTAGATATCTTTTGAAGAAGACAAGTGAAGCACTGTTTCTCAGTAAGGCTGGGAGTTTGTTCAATAGGCGTGGTGCAACGGATTGAAAGCCAGCCTGTTTAGGGGGTTTGGGAATGAGAAAGGAAGGAGCTGATGTACATCAAAGTGAATATGATGTTCCCTGTTACTGAAAAAGAGAGAGGAGATGCATAAAGGAAGTGTGGTGCCAATGATTTAAAAGTTTGAACAAGTATCTAGTATTGCATTCTCTCAGAATACAATGTATCTACAATGTATTCTTTTACCCATGCTTCCTCAGTTTTATGGAATGCACTTCCAGATTCCATGAGAAATCACAATGATTTATAAAACAAAAAAAGTATTTATGCAATGTTAAAAGTGAACACCCATGAACTCGGTGTCCAACACTATACTTTTTTGCTTCCAAGTGGATTTTCTAATCTGCATTACTTTTTCTTGTAATTCTTTCCTTTCTATGTAAAGCACATAGGGATATGCTATCCTGTAATGTGTTATGCGCTATAAAAGAACCGATTATTATTATTATTATTATCTAATATCTTACTTGGACATTCAAAATTCCCGCAGACTTCACTCTCCTCAGAGGGCTCGCCAGCAGGGCATGAATCACCCCCATGAGCCGGTGAGGGATTAGTACAGGACCTGTTTCTTGCGGTGGTCCCGACACCCCCACAGGACAGGCTACAGGTAGACCAGGCGCTCCATTCAGACCAACCACCGTGAACTGAAACAAATTGGCAACAAATTATCAAGATTAGATCAAAGGTGAAATTTTTCAGAAATCTATTTCTCAAAACTTTGCACTGAAAGCACAGCATATTACATGTAGATGGTGTATTCCATTGTATTCATTCCTATTGCAATAACAACAAATCATTTATATATCTAGTAGGAATACTTCTGGTTCTCATCACAAATATTTTTAATTGACATCATTGAGGGCAAAGAAGGTGAGAGAAGGGGAGAAAGACTACATGTATCCAGTACCAAATAATTAAATACCTTTAATGACAGCATCTAAAAACAAATCATTGAATTAAGTAGTGCTTATGCTTAAATCTGTAATTGTTTTATTCCTGCAATATCATTTTTGTAGTAAACTTTTGTCCCTTACTGATAAAAAACAATTTGAAAAGGATATTCTGATCTCAACCTTTTCAGTTCCAAAGGCATGTATTTATTATTGTGTGACAAAGAAAGGCTTCAGTCTGTTTCTTCTTTATATAATGAAATGGGTTCATTTCACAGAAAGTTTGAAATCAAAGAAGGGCGTCACTTTTAAGACTTTTGTAATAATTTTTTAAAGCAAAATGATTGAAAACTTTTCTCACAACGTGACTTTGCGTCCGACGTTTATAAATCTGACGACAATTCTAAGACAATTTTTTTTCTTATGAATTTACATGGTCGACATTATATATGGCTCCAAGATTCTTTCATTAATACTAGCCAGCTAGCTAAACCTACGCATGCACACATGGTGACCGTTAGGGTTAGTGATAGGGTTATATAATCATGCAAACCCACAGTTCATCAACCCACCGTTAGCTCAATCGGTAAGGACAGCGTAAAAGAACGTTGTAGTTGTGCGTTTGAATCTCAGAATTTCTTCAATTCTATTTTTTTGCCTTTATAAATAGTGCAAAACAATAATAATCAAAGTCCATTTCTGTGAAGTAAGCTGGCTAGACTCTTTGTGAGCCGTCAAAATCGTGAACTTTACTGTGATTTCACTTATAATGAACGAATGTTGGAGCCCGTATAGTGTCGACCAATTTACATGTCATAATGCTGGACAGACTCACCGGAACAAGTGACATTGGTGCTACAGTTCTGCCACTGAACATCGTCTCCTGAGCACTCTGTTCCATTGTACATAGGGGTAGGGTTAGAGCACTCTCTGCTCCGATACTGGTTTCCTCCGACACAAGTCTGACTGCATACTGACCAGGCTGTCCACTCCGTCCAGTTACCATCAACTAGTAGAACAGTCCAAGAATAATATTATAGCGGGTGTTTTATAATAATAATAATCATAATAATATGGATGTTTCATGTTTATTTAGCGCCGGTATTCGCCAGGCTCTGATGCTCATGGCGCTGTACATATTGCAATCACGAACATATCACTTTCTTAACTAAAGTAAAGGTTAACTAAAACAACACAAATTATTACATCACGATTATAATTGTCATAATTGAATAGCTCTGTTCAGAAAGAGATGAGCGTTTAGAGCAACTTTGAAGTCATGGAGGTCTGTTAAGCTACGCATACTAAGTGGCAGCTTATTCCAAAGGGACGGACCAGAATGAGAAAAGGCTGTATCCCCCTAGGAACTGCGCATCTTAGGGACAACTAATAATAGGGATTGAGATGAACAAAGATATCTTGTAGGCTTATACTTAACAATCAAATTCATATTGTAGGAAGGAACAGAGTCATACAAGAAGTGGAAAACTAGCAACAACAACTTAAAAATGATTGATTTTTAATAAACTTTCTAAGTTTCTAAATTTTTGTGATCTGTCATTTCAGATTTCTTGTAATCGCCAATACGCCCATAATGCCCGGATGTAGCATCTTGGACATAATTTCAAGCCACTTCCAGGATTTTAATACATAGTTCCGGGGCATGGTGCAGCGTGTGGTACACATTTTATGCATGGGCAATGTAAGTATGTGTCCAATTTCAAGGTTCCTTAATTTTTGTGACAACAGAAATAAAAAACAGAGAAAGATACTCCAAATGCAATGACAATCAGATTGAAGCAATGGAATGCCCTTCTCCAAACTTTGAGAAAAGGACGGGCTTAAATAAAGAATACCCTACCAAAAAGAGTATGTCCGTTGGTTGTCCAATATGAGCCAACAAACCCTTTAACGCCAAATCTGTATAAAGTTTGTTGATACTTCTTCATATATGTTTTAATATGTACTGATTATATTATGCATTCAGAACTGAATAAATGAAATGAAATAAAAAAGATGAAGAACGTGGAGAGAGAGAAATAGATTAAGGGGGGAGAGAGAAAGAGATTAAGGGGAGAGAGAAAGAGATTAAGGGGAGAGAGAACAAGATTAAAAGGGGAGAGCGAAGGATATTAAGGGGGAGAGAGAAAGAGATTAATGGGGAGAGAGAAAGAGATTAAGGGGGAGAGAGAAAAAGAGATTAAGGGGGGAGAGAAAGAGAAAGAGATTAAAGGGGAGAGAGAAAGAGATTAAGGGGAGAGAGAAAGAGATTAAGGGGGAAAGCGAAAGAGATTAAGGAGAGAGAAAGAGATTAAGGGAGAGAGAGAGAAAGAGGATAAGAGGGGAGAGAGATAGAGAATATGGGGGAGAGAGAGAAACAGGATAAGGGGGGAGAGAGAGAAAGAATAAGGGGAGAGAGAGAGAAAGAGGACACAAGGGAGAAGAGAGAAAGAGAATAAGGGGGAGAGAGAGAAAGAGGATAAGGGGGAGAGAGAGAAAGAGAATAAGGGGAGAGAGAGAAAGAGGAAAAGGGGGGAGAGTTGAGGGATAGAGAGAGAGAGAAAAGAAAGTGGGAGACTAAAAGAAATAGAGAGAAGAGAGGTCATTACTTGCGCAAGGTAATTTGGTGCATGAGAGCAGGTCTGTATCATCGCCTTCACAGTCAGCTCCTCCATGGTCTGGACTAGGACTATCGCAAGACCTGGTCCTGTTCTTGTACCCACTACCACACGTCACGTTACAACCGGTCCAGTTACTCCAACCTCCCCAGTTCCCATCAACTGGAAAAGTAAGAATTACATCAAAAACAGTCCGGAAGTTAAATGACTATGGGACACAAAATCGTCATAAAGTCATAATTAGACTTATTAAGAAATCAAGAAATATATTACAATATGCAACATCCTTCAATACGCATTGGTGAGATTTTAACAACTGCATCGTATAATTTTCCATTTTTTTTCTTCAAACCATTTAAATCTACGAATTTTTGACTACTCTGTCACACTGGAGTTCTAACACAGCAGATTACGTTTGTATACAATTTCATTTATTATAGATGACGAGTTGGTACGGATTATGAAGCTGTGATGCTAAAATTGTGAGTATAAACAGGTTTATAGACACGTCTTTCTGTATTCATTTCAGATACATGCTTTTCATATTACACAAAATTACTGATAAGAGACAAATAATAGTGTTGCCAATGTAAAGAAGAAAAGATGAACAAATATATCCCTTCGAAATTCTTGTCCTAAAGAGGTTAAATCTCACATTTGTAGGAGCACCATATAGAAAGTCAATTAAGATTTTGAATAGATAACTCTTTACATTTACATTAATGATATTTTGTCATGTGCAAGTCTGGGGCCCGTTTCATAAAACTTTTTATCAATAACAAATGCTAAATTTCTATGACAAGTTTGCTCTCAGCCAATCAGATGCCATGGATTCAGTAGCTTATAACAGTAGCTTGTAACTTGTTATTGATATCAAGTTTTATGAAACAGGGTCCTGGTTTAATACAAGTAAAGCTCAATGCACTTACTCGCTGGGCAGGCGTTGCCATCTTCAGTACCACAGCTCACGGTCTCGAAGGGATCACCCAGATCTGTACAGTTATCCCCACCGTACATCGGGATGGTACAGTTCCTGGTCCTGTTCAGGACCCCTCCGTACCTAGTCCCGTTGCTGTCCCAAGAGTAGCAGGAGACGCTGCACTCGCCGTTGACCCAGTCTGAGTAGTTACCATGGACTGCAAGGAAGTAAAATATGGTTTATAATCTCTCTCTCTGCACTCGTGCTGTCTTCTTCTTAACTGAAAATTGTGTGAGGCTGTAATTTGTGGGCTCATTTGACAAATTCTGCTTCACTTACAGTATAGTGGTCTTGGATGTTCCTAATATAGAGATACCTGAAGGTACTCTGTTTGTCCCATTTGCAGGTCAAAAATAAGAAAAGGTTAAATTCCAACGGCATTTAAAAGACAATACTTACTTAGAACTTCCCTCAAAACGAAAGGGTTTGAGAATGGCTTTTTGTGGGAAAATAACGACCATTACTTGTCAAATTGACTTAAGTGATTGCAATCACCACAGTTCTACAGAATTTGATGTTGGCTGCAAAAGGGACATAGTATCTTTAAAGTCCTTGTGAAATGAACATGGAGGTTTATGAAAAGTCAAAGCTAATATAAATAAATAAAATTCAAAAGAATGAAATATACTCCAGGCTACATGGGCAGGAAAAAAGTGATTTGACTTTAATACCTGGAGGGCATTGTGAGCCGCATGCTCCGTACTCGGTCTTGTTCCCTTCACAGTAGTCCCCTTCCAGGATTGGGGCTGGGTCTGAGCAGGTCCTGTTCCTATGCCTGGTCCCCATGTTAGCGCTCTCATCACAAGTCTGACTACAAGAAGACCAGTCGCCCCAGCTGCCCCAGTTACCATCGGCTACAAGATAAACAAACAAAAGAAATGGCTCATCAAATTAAAATCTCGACTGACTCTAGGATAGGCCTGCTATTAAACATTAGGGGGCCATGATGCCAAACTAAATAAAGCAAGTCATGGTTCTGATTTGAGTTCCAATGTTAGGACTCTCGTCACAAGTCTGACTACACAATGTACATGAAGACCAATCATCCCAGCTGCCCTAGTTACCATCAGCTACAAGATAAACAAACAAAGGAAATGGCTCATAAACTACTAATCTCACCAATCCCCCTTAGAAAAAGAAGACCGAGGATAAAACAAGGGGAATGAAAACATGAAAAAGTCAGTAACAATAAATAGATTGATAAATAAAGACATAAATGAATAAATAAATTGTTAATAAATGGATAAATAAATGAATTAATGAATGAATAAATGAATAAATGGATAAATAAATAAATTCTTTTGTGCTGCAATGTTGAGCTGTATTACACAAGTTCACATTTGTATGAGAATCTCCAAAGTCTTCCCTTTGTTTGCCCTATACCACATAAAAATATCAAAAAGATAAAAACAAAGCGACAAATCTAGAGTTAAAAGATTATAATGTATCATTTGATGAACATTTACTATCACAAATTAAATAATAATAATATTGGATCTTTATATGGCACACATATCCACCATCCATGGTGCTCAAGGCGCTCAAACATTACCCCGGCTCTGCTAGGCAGCCGATTTAGGCGCTCACGGCATTCAAGGAATTCCTTTCCTACTAGTACTGAACACCAAATGTAGATTAATGGAGCTTACTCTGTGTGATCTCGCAGATGTAAACCATCGAATCATCGCAGGCAACGTTAATCAGCCTCCATTCCCACGTTTTATCATTGTACGCCAATCCGACGCATGTTCCTGCACCGACGGGATAATTCTTGACCCATGGAGCGCCCTCTAGGGTCCTCCAAGATGTCGCGTCGGGAGCTCCAATGCCGTCGTCGAAGGAGAGGGTGCTGGATTCGTACAGGAGACCGGTCAGGTACTCAATGCTCTCGGATTCCCCGCGCTTCTTGAATAACCAGCTCACCTAAGATCAACATAAAGAAAGCTCACCTTGGAATTCTGAGATAATGTTTTGCATTCATGCACAGATTAGAATAATCTGTATCTGAACTGAAGTCAAAGGTCAAAAGTCAGAGGAATCATTTCATGAGGTCAAATATATGGTCAATATGGTCATGTGACAAGGTCAGGCAGACAATTATACCCAGTCAAACTCAGTGTTGTTATTTATGTATAAAAGATGTCCTGTATTGTTGACATTATGGTGCAAGAACCGTTGGTCAAAGGTCAAAGGTCTAAAGGGACCTTGTCTTAAGGTCATACAGAGAACTATTTCTCATCAAATTTAGTCACGTTATTGATGTAGAGAAGATATGTGCTGTACTACCACACATTACACTCCAATAATAGATGTACTTGGTCAAAGTTCATAAGATCACACAATAAGGTCGATAGGGGTCATATGTCACAAGGTCTTACCTCATCCAGCTCGGTCTGGTTATTGATGTAGAGAAGATGTCCCGTTTCATTGGTCATCATGGTGCATGAATGATTAGCATTGCTGTAGTCGGCCATACTATCCAGAACCTGTTTGTAACAGCTGTCATGTCCTGTTATCCAGCCATCAGGGCATTCGACTGCAAAATCATTGGAAAAAGGATTTTTTTAAATAAAGGTTAAAGCGAAGGTGGAGTTCTGGGAAGAGGTGAAAAATAATTTGTGAGCGTTATCATTCTTATTATGCAAGTGTGGAAGAACATCAGATAAGACATGTTCCCAAAAAAGCATGGCTCTTCAAATGCCTTCATATTCTAAATATGTCATGTACATCGTAAAACTCCAGGGTAGGATTTTTACGTCACGTGTTCGTGTAGTCCCATATACATCTTTCTGTGTATAGTGTTTGTAACTTTACCAAGACTTGGCCAAATTTCTTATCATTTTGATGATTCCAGAACCTTGCAACACACACAAATTCTTATATGCTAGATGATCAACCTTTTCTGGTCGATTCCACACCGTTTCTTTCACAATGCAATCGCATGACCAGAACTCAACTTCATTTTTAAGTAACCTGTTGACTACTGAATTCTCTATGAGAATAGGCATAATAAAGGGACCACTCAGTTCCGGTAGGCAGTGGGTTAAAACACAGTTTACATGCTTGCTTCTTCATGAAAATCCATAGCTATTCCTCTTTGTGTAGTATGCATAGGTAACAGGTAAAAAGTTTCAAACATTTGCCAAGTATCACCAATCAACATGGCATTTGGTACATTTTGTCTACAGGAGAAACTAATATCGTGTGTGAATCTTTGGATCATGAGACGTTTCCAATCACAAATGAAAATCTTATGGTTTGATCCTTATGCTCAAACAATTAATCTACCACAACCAAAGACAAAAGTTCACCTTGCATGTGTGTACATACGTGTGTATATAAACACACACATTCTTAGTTCCAAACTGTGCAATTATGGCTCATATTGGGAATGCATTCCTACAAATCTTTGAGATGTTTCCAATTTGAGAAGACCAATTGTTTCAGTGAGATATATTCATGAGATTAATTCGGTATAATTTCAGTTCGTAGCCTGTTTTATGTCATGCAAATAACTGACACTACATATCATATTCTTCAGAATCAATTTTATCCTCTGGAGAGCTACCAACCATCAAGCAGTGCTTAACATGTACATCTCCTTCATAACTGTATATCTAGCTCCTAATGATTCATCATTTTATATATTTTGAAATGTGAAATTATATGAATGCACTCCGAGCATGATCAGGTTCAATTCACTTCAATTCACAGTTTATTCAACACTTTTCATTAAAACATTTAAAACATACAAATACAGAATGGAATGATAAAAAAACAAGATAGTGATAACAAATAACAATGGTAATTTGTGAGAGCATTTGGGATAGGCAGAAAGGAGGATATGAAAGCCTACCCCTAAAACACATACTGTACATACAGGGAAAAAACAAACAAGAACAAAAGAACAAAACAAAACAACAAAAAAACATACTAAAACATACTATCATGTACAATCAGAGTTTTAAAAAAGAGTATCAAACTTGCCCCTGCTACAGTAAATATTTATTTAACAGAAATTGTTTGTATTTAATTTTTAAAAGTTTGAGGGATTTGCATTTTTTAATTTTCTGAGGTATACCCTGTACTAATCCATATTAATGGTCCTTTTAAAAAAATAGTGAATTTTTCATACATGTTGTTCTATTCTTGGGGAGGTGATAATTTAGGGCATTTCTAGTATTAAATTTATGCACATCACAATTCAAGTTAAACATTCAAACAAGCTCTTCCCAACAAACACTTACCAACAGGGCACCTGTCTACGCAGGATCTAGTGTCATTGAGGCTATCTTGACAGAACTGGCCATCAAGGACGGGGGTGGGGTTGTCACACTCCCTGGTCCGTATTTGAGTACCGCTCCCACAGCTGTCTGTGCACTGGCTCCAGGGACCCCACTCCCCTACTCCACCGGGAGCTAAATATGGAGAAAATAAAATGGGTAAATGATTGAATGAATGAAACTATGCATCTAGACTATAAATTTAGGTGAGAATTTCAGACGGGTAGATGGCAAACACCTAGTGTCATTCAGGCTATCTTGACAAAACTGGCCATCAAAGAAAGGGGTAGGGTTGTCACACTCCCTGGTCCGTGACATGGGAGAAAACTCTTTAATAATTTCTTGAAGAATTCATCTGGACTAAAACAAACAAATGTTTTACGAAGAAAAGATTTCCGACGAGTCATTTTAGTGATAAGATTTGTTTTTCCCCCTCCCTGGCACAGGTGACATCACATAATGATGATGATAGTAACAAAGAATGAAAGTACTTACTTTGTGGGATCTCACAGATGAATCCATACTGATCCGTACAGAAAACATCGCCAAACAGCCATTCCTGAGATGGGTAATTATAAACTAGCGCAACGCACTCCTTGCTTGCGACATTCCTTGGGTAAGCACTAGCCCACCAATCACCACCAGGCCACTCTGAGCTTGAAGGACCACTCCCAGACGAACCATAGTAGAGCATCGTCGAACTAGAGCTATCGTACGTGTGCCCGACAAATACCCTGTTCCCATGGCCTACAGCACGATCCTTTAGCCCCCAGTTCAGGAAGAATTGTTCATCGTAGCTGTCCACACGGACCACCCGACCGGTGTCGTTCGTTAGAATCTTGCAGGTGACGTTTGCGTTGTCCAGCGTGTCATGTTCGGTTTCGTTGACGAAGAACTTGTAGCAGCTGTCATGGTAGACATCAAAGCCGTATGGACAGTTTACTGGAAGTAAGATGAGGTAGAGTTTGAATAATAAAGGAAGGATTGACCTAAACGAGAAGAAGATTATTTTCTCTGCAAAGGCAAAGCAAAATGATGTACATACCAAGTCTGGGGGGCATTTCACAAAGCCTTTTTTCAATGACAAATGACAAAATTCAGTGACAAATCTGCTGATAACCAATCAGAAGCAAGGATTTCAGTAGCTTATAACAAAAACTGTCATTTGTCACTGATGACAAGTTTTGTGAAACACCCCCCTGATGATGGGTTGGTCTTTGAACAAACTGAGAAATGCCCCCTCTCTTTCAAAGTCTAAATCCTTCACACTGTGTATTTGATTATGGCTTCTTTACTGTGAGTGTAGCATTCAATAGAACCTTCACTACTTCAAATTCACCACTGATACCGGCAAGACTGCTGTAACTTCCTTCAGTGCACTCTTCCCATATTCTAATCTATTCAGTATCTTCAGTGTCCCCAATCCAAATCTTTAATCTCTTAAAGATGAAGTTGAGTTCTGGTCATGCGATTGCATTGTGAAAGAAACGTTGTGGAATCGATCAGAAAAGTTTGATCATCTAGCATATAAGTATTGGTGTGTACTGCAAGTTTCTGGAATCATCAAAATGATAAGAAATTTGGCCCAGTCTTCGTAAAGTTACAAGCACTGTACACAGAAAGATGTATATGGGAATACGCACACGTGCATGACACATGCGTTTATCTCTCACAGTCCAATAGATAAACTAATTTACCAAATATATCAATTAGTAGGCGGTTTGCGGGCAATTTTTTTATCATCATGTATTAGTCAAAACATATTCTTTCACATGATTGGTAATAAAGAGCTTCGATTTCATTTTTTGAAATTGGGGCATTTCCAATACTGGTCTTTACCTTTAAATCCATTACAAAACTTTAGTAGAACTGACTACTGAAGTAGTCAAGACAGCTACTTAGTCTCTGTTAAGCAGTCTTTATATACAGGTAAGACTGTTAAAATGTAAATGGGCACAGCATTCCAACATACCCAATTCTTTAATCTCTAAAATCCATTACAAAACTTTAGTAGAACTGCGACTAAAGTATTCAAGACAACTACTGTGTCTCCGTTGTTAAAGCAGTCTTTAAATACAGGTTAGACTGTAAGGGTAAATGGGCACAACATTCTAACATACCCAATTCTTTAATCTCTAAAATCCATTACAAAACTTTAGTAGAACTGACTACTGAAGTAGTCAAGACAACTACTGTGTCTCCGTTATTAAAGCAGTCTTTAAATACAGGTTAGACTGTAAGGGTAAATGGGCACAACATACCAACGTCGCAAGGCCCTGCACACGCCCTTGCTTCATTGCCATCTCCTACACAAGCTGTTCCGTTGAGTATCGACGGAGGATCGTCACAAAGTCGCTTCCTGACCTGGGTGCCGTTGCCACAGGTTGTATCACACATACTCCAACCTAACCAGGGGCCCCAGTTACCAGCAGCTGAAGAGTGAAATAAAGTAATATGTGTACGACTATATTCATTAACTTCATTTATTGGCAACTCTTTTGTTGAAGCAGTAACATTGGATGCATGTTAAGAAGAGAATTTCTAATTGTACATTTATGTAGGTGAATTGGTTTACTTTCCCATTAATACTTGTTGTTATTTATCTACTTTGTTATTTATTATGTGGTATATATATATATATATATATATATATATATATTCAAATTTGTCATGAGTGTAAAGCGCATAGAGAAATTTTCAGTTTATTATGCGCTTAATAAATATTCTCTAATATTATTATTATTACAAAGTTGCTTTGATTGTTTATAAGTGCATACACAAATTGGCACCCGTGTACCTCTTTATTTTACGGTCCTCACCTCATTGGTCAACTATACAGACTCAGCTCTAGTAAAGATACTTAAATTTTACACGGTTTTACCGTGTTAGTCAAAAACAAGTTTACACCTAGAAAATTGCTAATTATTTTTAAAATCATCTATGAACAGTACATTATTATACATCATATGAAAGAGTGTTTTATCCCAAATCATTTAGTATCATTTTTGTGTGGTATGTATTCACGCTTGGGTGAACAGGTGGCATTGTTTACGAGAGTACAAAAATCAACTTGCGCAAACAATCCCTTGGTTTTCATAAACATCTAAGAGTTCCCTGTACTTACTCTGTGTGATCTCGCAGATGTACCCCAGTTCTCTGTAACACGGGATGTCACGTAATAGCCACTGATGACGGTCCTCATCGTAAAACATCGCCACACACTGCCAGTCATTAGACGACGGATAGTCTGTTTCCCACAATTCCTCAGTGTTCCATCCTGTCACATTCACCATCACAGTGCCGTTGGCGTAGTACAGGTCTCCGCTGTCGTGCGTCAGTCCGACGTAGACCGGCGCCCTCTTGTTGCCGAACAACGACTCCTCCAGCCTGAATCCAAGAAACTCCAGTTCGGCGGATGATTGGACATAAGCGAGATGACCGGTGTCATTGGTCAGTGAGATGCAGGCTTCCATGGCAGAGTCCTGGTCAGTGAAATCTACATTGTAGTCCATCACCTTGAAGCAGCTTTCACCGAAAACGTGGAACCCGTCCGGGCAGGTCACTAAATGAAAAAGAGAAAGGAATTTATTTTTGTGATTTCTTTCCTTTTCTTGATAATTATAAACCATATCAAATGATCAGTCACACCTTGACCTGTTGCTTTATAACTTTTGTTTGATCCATACATGTACGTCTAAGTCGAGAGTAAGTAAACCCTTGATTTTATGAAGATTCTAAAATTTTAAAAACAATTTTCAAATACTCAAGAAAATGTTATATGTTTAAAACAACAAGAATACGGTGTTGATATATTATCATGGAAATACTGTTGTGCATATTTATTGTTTTTGGGGGTTCACATGTATTTTTTCACTGTTTACCCTCAAAACAAAAGGGCTTGAAAATGTCTTTTAGTGGGATAATAACGGGCATCAGCTGTCGAATCGACTTTAGTGATTGCAATTATTTTAGTAATAGTCTGATTTCAGACCCTTGTACCGAATGGTCATGCATTTTGTGCTGCGCAAAGATTCAATTATTTTAATTTTGGCCATTCCAAGAAGTGGTTCATTGATGTAGCCAAATGCCCATGTACCTTTACAGCTCATTTTATGTATGTTATTCCCAAAGAAAAAAAAGAAGTCAGTCAGTCACTCAATAGTGTCTGACAGTGAAGTCTAGAAAGTAAACAGGTTTCTTTGCATAATTTGAATAATAGGAGACTGCTAACGTCTAAATTTCACAGGTAGGACATGCGTAACATATTTAATAATTCCTGCAAAGTTCTACAGAATTTGATGTTGGCTGCAAATGGGACAAAGTATCTTTAAAATGTCTTGTATTGCTTATTATAGGAATTAAACTCTGCTACTCTGTCACACAATCTGTTTGGAAGAAGAGCTTCATAATTACCAGAGGGGCAGGCTCCTGCGCATACTCTTGTCTCCTCCGAGATACCGGTACAGTTAGCCCCGCCCAGGACGGGGGCGGGATCATCGCAGAGGCGGACCCTGGTCTGGTGTGCCCTCGCACAGGTGGAGTTACATTCTCCCCAGGGATGCCACGCCCCCCAGTTCCCATCACCTAAGGAATAGAAATACATGAGAGCATACTTGTAAGATATACAACATTGAATAATTATATAAAGCGTAAAGACTGTATTTACAGTTTCACAAAGACTAAGGATCAGGTTGGACTTAACTATGGCAGGCCGTTCATGCCACTGTTTGCTCTCACCATTTACTGGCATTGGTTTCTCAAGGGACATACATGTACAAATCATGGTCACAAATCTACAGAATTTTTTAATAATTCATTATTGAAGGAAAAAATATTATCTAAAGATCATAATGGTGGTAGCCAATGGTGGCATGAACGGCCTGTCATAGTAAAGTCTGACTTAAAGTTGATCTTAGTCCTTGTGAAACACTCCCCAGGTTTCCATTCATGAATCACTACATCATAAATACAATTATGAAAATGTGATGTGTTCCTGTTCTGCAGCTGAACAGAAGCAAAACATGTCACATTTCTTAAATGTTCTTTCAAAATTGACAATACAACAAGTTGCATTAAAATGTAATTTCTATTTCTTTCTGATTTTTTAACAATAAATTCATATAATTTATATCTCTACACTATATTTTTATGTATAATTCTGTTGTGACCTGTCCTTTGTGAGTCTTAAACCGATAGAAGAAGAATTTCTGTCATATCAGATGAATAAATCAATCAATTCAATTCAACCAATGTAACAGTCAATTGTTACAATCTAGGGTGTAGGTCTACGTTCTAGGTCACCTATATCCTGGACAACCACCCTCTGGATAACCACCCTCTAGGACAACTACCTCCTACGACAACTACCCCCTGGGGCAACCACCCTCTAGGTTATCCTAGGGGGTACTTGTGTGTGTGTGTGGGGGGGGGGGAAGTTGTCCTATAGGATGGTTGTCCTAGGGGGTAGTTGTCTGGGTTAGTTGTTCGGGGGAATTGTCCTAGGGGGTAGATGTGCTAGAGGGCCTAGAGAGTAGTTGTCCTAGAGGGTGGTTATCCTAGGGGTGGTTACCCGGGGGCGGTTGTCCAGGGGGTAGGTGTCCGGATATGGTAGATCTACAGTGAAAAGGGATAACTTACCTAGATTCACTTCGCAAACATAGCCGAGGCTTTGTGAGCACTCTTCATTGACAGCTTTCCATGTTGACCCAGACTTCTCCAGGAGAACGCACTCATTGTCCGTATCGCTGGTATCAGCCGACCCGCCGGACCACATCGAACCCCCAGCCACCTCCCACGAAGTCAGGTTCACCCCCTCGCTTGACGACCCGTACTCCCAGTGAAAGGTCACATTGCCGGAGGTCACATGGATCTTGCTTCCCGTGAAATACTTGAGGGAGTCGTCGGCGTAGTATTCGGCGAGGATGTCGGAAAGGAACGTTTCCTCGTCCATATCGTTAACGAAGAATAGATGGCCGCCGTAGATGGTCAGGTTCTGGCAGTCGGCTTTAGCGTCGTCGTACGTGGCTGTTTCGTTGACTTGGAGGAGGTAGCAAGTATCGTAGTTGGTGATGAAACCAGGTGGACACTCAACTGTGAAGAGGAAGAAAAGTATCAAAATAATTAAAATTGATTTATATTTTTTGCTTAATTTCAACAGGTCTAATATTGAACACCATCTCCCTGTGCACAGTCAACTAAACAGAGAAAAAAAGCACATTATCACAGTAATTCATCGGGAGGTGTTTCACAAAGATTGAAGTCAAACTTAAACTCATGCGTAAGTGCCAATGCGCATACACTATTTTACATGCAATCTCATTAATAATTTATCTGACCAATGCAATGATGTGTAATATACCGCGCGCACAAGTAGGAACTTACGCATGACTTTAAGTCCAACTTAACTCTTTGTGAAACATCCCCCAGATCAAGTTTGCTTTATTTCAACAGGATAACCTTATGTTATGAGAGCACTGCTTTGAAAACCAACATACTTTCACAAATAATAGGTTAATACATGTAGTTCATACATGGCACACTACATATATAAGTTCTAAAGTAAGAAATAAACATTACAATAATGATATTGGCATCTATAGAATATTCCAAATGCTCATTATGACATACCGGTACATGAAATAATGGATATTACAATCAAAATTATAGAGGGAAAAGATGGGAAAATGTTGTTGTCGTTTAGGTTTATAGGTGTTTATCATTTAGGAGTGAATATTTACACCTTTTCTGTTATAAATAATAGATAAGAATAGACTAGTCTACTCAAAGGGAGAATGATTTTGTACTTACCAATGGGACACACAGTCCCGCATGTTGTGTTCTGTGTGTAGTTTCCCATGCAATCATCTCCTCCGATAAAAGGGGCGGGGTTGGTACAGGTGCGGCGCCGGACCTGATAACCCTCACCGGGTCCACACGCAACGCTGCATTCCTCCCACTTGCCCCACTCAGAGAAGCCACCATGAGCTAGGATAAGAAGGATGATCAAATAGATTCAATTATCAAACCAAAAGCAAAATACTGAATTAAGAAATATATAAATTCTACATGGCTTGGACATGTACAAAGCGCTTGAAAGCTTGAAAGCAATTTTTCCTTTATGGGACCAATGATCCTCAGACACTTCTACAAATCTCAATAAAGTGTACTACATCCTATCAGTAGAAGGCTTTGATTCTTTGAAAAACATTCTGATCATTTTTTTCACCTACTCCCGGCTCTGGGGCCTGTTTCATAAAACTTGATATCAATAACAAGTTATTGATATAAGCTCCTAAAATTGGCTGTGAGTAGATTTGTCATAGATCTGTGGCAGTTATTAATGATAACAATTTTTTTTTTAAACAGAGCCCTTAATTTCTTTCTACTTTAGCCTACTTTGTCATTCTACAGAAGCCTATAATCACAAGGAGCAAAAGTTTTCAAAGGTAAATATAACAGTAATCATGTGCGGTAAAAAATATCATCTCTCATTAATACTGTAGTATCAATATACAAATAAAGTACCAAAATGTTTTAAAACATAATATAATGGAGCACAATTCTGTAAATTTTCCTTCGTCTTGTTCACAGATGTGCACTGTTTAACAATCTTCCAGTTTGACAAATCTGAGATGCAAGGCTCTACGTGTTATCAGTGTCTGTGATATGGTGTAATATCGAAGCCCTTAAAAAAATTCTACTTCAAAATGATGATGAAGTGCCTCAAAAATGTAAAAAAATCTTTGAGTGACCGGTTTTACCATACTCATTTTCCCAATAGACTGTAGTGTACTAAATAGCGTTAGGAAAACAATGAAATTTTGATTTCCAATAATAAATATCTTGATAATCAGACAGGCGACCGGCTTGTAAAAGTCATTGGGTTCCTGACTGACCTAAAAGTTATAATTATGATTGCAGCATGAGCTAAATCCAGGATCTGAGGAAAAGATACCCAATTCCTTTAACAGATGTAGCTTAGAACATAATATACAAAAATGAGCACAATTCTGTAAACCTACCTTTTTCTTGTTCACAGATGTAAGCCCTGTCCGATGTACAATCCACATTCTCCCATACCCACGAAGACCCCTCTTCTACCATAGCAACGCATTCCTTGTTACCAGAAGGACTTGAGGACTCCCATCCGTTAAAGGACGGACTACCAGAGCCATCACTGAACGCCAACGAGTCGTCTCCGGAGTCGTACTTCAGCCCGGTCATCAGCTTGACCCCGCTGGAGACCCCCTGGTCATTGAGGATACCGGAAACGATGCTCTGCTCCTCGCTGTCGCTGGGGAACAAGAGATGCCCTCTGATGGATCGGCAGGTTTGCTCCGCCCAGTAGTAGGTGGTGGTGTTGGTGAGCTCGAGCATGTAGCAGGAGTTGAGGCCAGCAAAGTAGCCCTCGTTGCAGACAACTGATGCATGAAATATAGAGAGTAATAGTCGTTACCTCATAATAATAATAATAATAAACTATATTTCTATAGCGCATTATACAAGGTATGTCTCTATGCGCTTTACATTGTATTACAAGCTTAATTAATTACATGTATAACTACTATTGAACTACTCATAGAGTGGAATGGCTGCTGTATTATTTTGACGACAGTGACAGCACATTTTAACACATAGAAGAACAGATTTTGGATTCTCAAATCGGTAACAATCACATGTTAACACTTACAACCTTAGACAAAGTATAAACAAGAACAGGTAGGCAAGTTAACAAGATAATTTTGACACATTTTTCATTCATTTTTGTATTTTCTATTAGTAATAAATTATGATGTCTTCACTTGGTTAGCCCTCAAATTAGGGTTAAATACTCTTTTTTCACTCAAATCTCACTATGTTGAGGACTATTATATTTCATTGTTACCAAAATATTCTATTTTATTGTTACTTTCTGCACTTCTTTGGAAGACTTCACCAAAATTCTTCTTTATAGAACTTCATGTACTGTATGTAAAGCATGCACAATCAGATCAACCTCACAAACTATATCTCGTTGCAGTTGATTATAATAAATAGCAAACAGTATGTTATGAACTATTAATTAAGTCACCCCTTGACTGACATTACATGCCAGGTCATACATCATATACACATATTACAACACTAACATATTTGACATTCACTCCCCTTCCTTTATCAGATACATATATATACCTGTTAAATTCTATGAAGAAAATTATAATTTCTAATCTATGAAAAAGCACTGATGCAAATAATGTACACAAACTGCAGAAAGTTAGAGACCCACACTCGTCTGCCTACCTGGGCAAACAAACTATTAAGACATACGCAAATAGATACAATCCTACATTGTAACTGGACAAGCAAGGAATTGCAGTCTTTCTTTCACACTATTTAACAGTGCTACCAGACACATTTCGAGCAACACCATTTTCAGAATGCAAAGGATAATTACCATCGTAGTCTTCGCAGTCCCCACCACCCCAGCCATCCACGCAGATGCATACGTAGCCATTGACACCGTCTTCACACGTACCGCCGTTCTGGCATGGATCGCTTGAACACTCATCGATGTTGGTTCCACAATGGGTGCCTGCATAATAAAAGGGAAAAAAGTAAAAGTTTCAAAGTGACATGCGAACGGTGCTTCTACATTTGCTCTGGCAACATTTGCTCCAAGCTTTATTTTGTTGAATAGGGTTACGATTGGGATTGTAATTAGGTTCTAGGTCAAGTTTTAGGGTTAAGCTCATTGGTGCTAGCTGAATTTCCTGCAGCATGACGGATGTTTGTGTTTAGGAGTATTTGCAGTGTTCGGTCTAAGACTGAAATTTAAAAAAAAATTCTTGGTCACAACACTTGACCCCCCCCCCCCCCCTCCCCCAAGGAAAAAAAAATAATAATAATTTGACCACCAATAGCAGTCCCCATTAGTCTAGTATAACTATATTAAGTATCTTGAACATGAAAACAATTTGCTTTCCTCTTTGATGAAACATATAAATCTAATGAAAGTTTAGGGCTAAATCTTGGTTTTGGAAACCCCTCGGCCTCCTTCGTCTTTTGTGTTAATCGTCACTACGCTGTCCACTATAACAATTTTTAGTGAATTCTTGTGACTTTTTTTATAGTGAATGGTGTTTGAGAATGAGCCCCTCTCTCACTTAAATTTGAAACCGCTCAAGTGGATCAGCCAAAGGGAGCGCGTAAACTCACTGTACAGCGCTCAATGCGTAAAGTTCTACGTGGGGCCTCCATTTAACGTGCTATCCGAGGGACGGAATGTTTTTCACTTAACTATGAAACAAGGGGAGGGGCACGTTAACACACAACGCAGGCTTCAGTCATCCGCCTAGGTGAACCCGAGAACTGACTTTGGTTCAACAAGACAACAGGCAGATGCTTTAGTTGTACTGACTGAGCCTGAGGTCAAGGTCTGAGCCAACTGGCCTCCACTTAGACTTACTCAGGCTGAAGTTCTTAACCCTAAAGTTATCCCTAACTCTGAGTCTAACCCTAGATCACTCATAGGCTGGTGTTGGACGTGCATGTACATAAACCCTATTATTATTCTAAAGTTAAGCCTGTGCATAGCCTGGACATGTGGAAATAAAGACATAGGGTCTAATGTAATGTTCACAGTTCACACACACGTACGTCACACTGCACTGAACACATTAACAAAATTTAAACAATCTGTAAAAACTAACGGGTGGGACTGTACAAAAACCCCGCTACTCCCATGACAGACGAAAATGGGATTAAAATCCCCTTTCACAGCCAGTAATGCACAAACTTAGAACATATGACAGTTATAATTGTGTTTTTGAACAGCACATATATAATACTTGAATTCATAACTATCTAAATTTAAATTTATCACACAATTTACGAAAGATTCATACCGGGCCACCTAACTCCGAAAGCAAAGAGTAATAATGAATATTCATTAGTCTCTGCGTTAATTATGCGTATGTGGTACAGCTCATTGGCCCAAAGTTTTAACCAATGGTGGACAATTAGCAAACAAGTTTTTTGAGTGAGCCTCTGGGGGTGAATTCAGGTGAATTATCTACTTAAATTAAAAGGCTTATCACTTGCTTAGTTTAGTTTGTTACACTTAACTCCTTTTGGGCTCACATTGATACATTTTAGATAAATAAATCATATTCTTTGTTTGTATCATCTTCCTTCGGTCGATCATTGTTCAATTACAAAAAAGTAATAAAAATACCCAAGCTAAGGAAAGAAAATTACTGAAATTGACCGGAAATGTTAGAAACAAAATTAACAACGCTAGAGAGGTCAATTACTGGGGTGGTGATCGGGGGTGTTTGTGCTGTCAACCCTAAAAAGTCGTTCATGCCTTTTGCGAATAGCATAAAAACAAGATTTACTTGAATAACCTACTGTGATATTCATTATTATTTTGTAAAACTGGGACCCTACCCACAAGCATATTTGCTTTTAAGGGTATATCACCATTTCATATTATGATTGTATTTCTGTTATTTTGCCCCTGTACTTGTGTTCACACATAAATTTAAAATGGAAAATAAATGAATTGAATTGAATTGAATTGAACTGAATTAAAATTACTAGTACTCCACAACAGAGGCAAAACTTGATGCATCGCTGATCGTCAACGAAACGGAGTTAAGTCTTTTGTCAACTCTGTTTGTTGCTACGGCAGGCAGCCAGTGAAAACGAATTCGTTCAATCAAATTATGGAAATGGAAGCATTACATTAAACAAACAGAACTTTTTTTTTATTTTTTATTCCTGGCCCATTTTTCCTGATTAAGGTGTCATATGAAAGGGCAGAAAATGAACTTTCTAGAAATTTTCTCTTTGAAATTCAGATACCGCCCGCCAAATGACTTTTTGGTACCCTCTCTTCAAATTGATTTTAATCACTCATGCGTGAAATATGCATGATATGAGTTGGATTAAATGAAAGAGGAGGATCTAAGCTTTACAAATATGTGTCATTTATTAATTTTAATTGTGATTAAGTTATGATAAAACATCGATAAATCTCGGTTTCGTTTTTTTCCGGGACGCACTGTGTACCCTTACGCTATTACTAAGCTACTACTATTTTAATCGAAAATATATCTTTGCAAGGGGAAAGCGTTTGGGGTATTTCCTTTTGAAATGTTATTTGTTTTTTGAAATATAAATCACACCTACCTTCGAACCCATCTGCGCAGTCGCAGGTGTAGCGATTGACGCCGTCCACACACTCCCCATTGTTCTGGCAGGGATTTGATGCGCACTCGGCATAGTCCACCTGACAGAAGTCACCTGACAATCCTGTTGGGCAGTCACATGTCACATTCCACACCCACGTGCTTGAATCAGTACAGGTCGCGTCCTCGTGATTGCACGGGTTCGGTTCACAGTCGACTAAAAGAGTAGAATAGACAAGATCATATGAGCATTTTAAAATAAATTTGGTGATAAATTTGATTAAACTAAACATTTTGATTATACAGCAATGAGATTTGTTACACTTCAAAATTTAACTAAAAATGTTATTAATGTTCACCCGAAGAATCAAAATTGTTTTGAATTGAATCAAAATTTATATCATTGCGAAAGGGAAGCCTTACTGGTCAAATATAACAACTTCCCTCTTCTAGCGGTCCTTCGTATAGAGCGTCAAGGTTCTTGACGTCACATGCGAGACACAGGTACCCACAAAATTTTATTTTACGCATTTCCATGATATCTATATGATTTTTCAGCAAATTATTCGTGTTTTTCAAGAGAAAACCTTTCCATCCATATATAATTTGTCCATAATTATCAGTTGTCGTGAATTTTCTTCGGGTGACTACTTTAATCTTTATAATCTGATAATAAATACAGTCATGAGTAATAACTTTAAAAAGTCTTAAACATACCTCGGCAGCCGTAAAACTCGAGTCTCATGCAGGGATGATTCTGACACTCAGTCGGGTGCAATCTGATACTGGTAGCTTTCACAGGTGTCGCCAATGTGTTGTTGACTATGCCATTACTATTGGCGTTACCATCGAACATCTGTTAAAAGTAGACAAAACACGGATAGGTGAATTATATTTACCATTTTGTGTAAATAATCAGGAGAAATGGTAATTGTTATGCTATTATTATACAAAGTAACGTCTATTCCATAAGGTGAAAAGTAGAAAATGGTAACTGGAAGAAAACTGAGTTTGTCGAATCGTTTGATTTACAGCATTTCCAATGCATAATTCGCTTGTTTCTTACTGGAATATTAATCAATGCCGAAAAAGTATATACCCAACGTTATACCTCTTTGTTATTAATTGATTCAGAATTAACGGCGTGTTTACACGGGAGCAGATCTGAAATAAAGGGGTCTTCCCCTAACCCCCCCCCCCCACCCCCCCCCAAAAAAAAACTAACGATTTTGTTTTTAAAGGGTTATCGATCATATACCCAAAGCAATCTTTAACAAGTAGGGGGTTCGGACTCCCGACATCGCTCTGTATCTGCGCCTGCTGTTTTTTAATTCTTTTTATTAACGGAAAGGCTTCCAATTCAATCACAGGGTTCTTACAAAATCAGTCATTTTGATTTCATCTGTTGAGAACCAGAAGCGCATTAACTCTGTATTTAATTGATACCAGTTAATTATGTTTACGCTCTTCTGGTTCCAAATTGTCGAATCACATGGTAACATGTTTTAATAAAGTTTTGGCTAAAATAAATCAAATAAATAGAATAGTGATATTATTGATGAACTTACCATCGTACTACCGCTCTCTTCATAGACGACCCAGTCGGTATCGGTAGTGTTATCGGTGAACCGATATGACAGATAATACTGTGAGCAGTAGATGCTAGCAAGATCAGGATGGTTGAAACCTTGTGTTGATACGGCACCGATCATCTTGGGCTCACTGAAGTCAACCTGTGCAGAGAAACGGACATAGTGGATGGTGGTAGACATATTAGAAGGATTAAAAAGGTAGGAAGGAGGTATAAACAGAGAGATCGGAGAGAAAGAGAACTTATCGTATCCATGACCGTATCCTCATATCGTCTATTATTGCGCAGATCCTTGAAACACGTTGGTCTCTTTGCCGATCCGCCGTGATTGAGAGGTCCATCCTTCCCAGGGGCCCCACTCACAAGCATTGCTTTGTGGGGTCCCAATTTGGATCATGTTTGTTCGTCATGATTGCTATGTCTGGTGTTTTTTAATAAACTGAAACTGAAACTAAAACTGAATTTAGGACATGAAATTAAAAAAATAGCCAAAAGGTATATATCTAGTTCACACCAATCATGATGACTTTTTAACTGATATGTAATTCATTAGTTTTTGTATTTGTATATAGACCTATAGTTCTCCATACATGAGGTGGATTTTATGTTATACTTGTCTTCCAAAAGTCAGAGGGAAAACTCTGGTGTAGTGGTTCAACTGCACACCCTTTCAGTTATGCTGGGAGGAGAGGCCCGAGGGTTACAGTGATTTAGTCTGTACGCCTCTAAGGCACAGGTGACGCTAAATACTTGATAATAATTATAAAAGCTATTTCGCAACTACGTTCTTTGTGGCCTTTATATCAGCCATTAAAAAGAAGACCATGGACTGTTAATGAAGTGGATTAGAAAGGACCAAACGTGATCCGGGGCCGTGGGCAACCCCATCTCTTGATATCCTTGCTAGCTATGGTGTTGGAAGAGCAATATACTTGCCCATAAACTCTGAATATTGATACCTTTACAATGAATTTGAAACGCATAGTAAAGAAGTATTCTTTAAAAGGGAGAAATATATCTTTACGGCGTCACATTACACCCAGAGCCATCTATATACAGAGTTTGGCTAAATTGGTTTCACTGGGTCACAACATGGCGTTTATTCTTTTGTTTTGTGCTTGCCCAACAAAGCAGTAGTCGCCATATTGTGTCCAATTCGAACCGGGTTGGCCAAACTCTGTGTATAGATGGCTCTGATTACACCCTGACCACACCCCTCAACTCACCTGTATCCACTCAGTGATATTGTTGATATCCGCCGCTTCATCAGCGCACCAACCACCGGGCGAGTTTAGTCTCACGTGATCTTTGGAGATGTCGATTGGTCCATTTTCTTCCCCGCCCATGTATGACGACATGGAGATACTAGAAAGTGGGATGGTCCCATCCTCTAGACCAACAGGTGGATTTGGGCATGGACCTGAACAAAAAATGAATAAATAATTTAAAAAAATTAATAAATGGATAAATAAAGAGATAAGTAAAGAAATGAATAGATAAATAAATAAACAAGAAAATAAATAATTAAATAAATTTAGGAAAGTGCATTAATAGACAGATGGGGGGGGGGCGGAATGAGTAAATGAATAAATTAATAAATACATGAATACAAAAATAGATGGAATGGATGAAGACTACATTGGAAAAAGTGTTACCATAGAGGACACAGTGGACTACAGGTTTAGAATATTATGAAGACAATATTTTACCGAACTAACAACATGACTAACCGTTTGCTCGTGCAAATCTTTGTTCGAGTAGAATATTAATAGGATAGGAAAATAAAGAAAAGTAGAATCATAGAAATGGTAGAAAGTTGGAACTTTCGAAATAATATTCAAAATTACCAGAAATATCTTGTGAATGAATGCCAGAAATTTGGATAAAGGAGAAAAGACATTACTACGATTACGATGTAACTCTCTAAGCAAAAAAAAATCGCGATGAAGATTGAACAGTAAATGTAAATTCGCTTTATATCAACAAATAATTGCTCATGTCGACTTACCCGATAATTTATCATAATAATGTGAATCTTTATGCTCGGTCACGTTGACGCCATTCGTGACGTCATCGGACGAGACGAGGTAACATTCTTCGTTTTCGAAGTCGTATTCGAAGGCCTCGCAATGGATCTCGTGTGCATACAGGCAGGCGGACGCGCACCCCGCCTCGTTCACGTACTCGACTTCGGCTGTCTTGTTGACGAAGAGAGCCCCGGTGTGCTCCGACTTTATGAAGAAGCTAAATGGAAAATCTGTAAAAAGAAGATAATAGTTGATCTGAAGACAGTTTCATTGTACATTCTGCCCTGCTTACCAGTTTAACACATCTTCACCCATTCTCTCTCTCTCTCTCTCTCTCTCTGTCTCTCTCCCTCTCACTCTTTCTCTCATACACATACATACCCGCACGCACACACACCACGTACTATCTCTTCCCCCACTCTCTCTCTCTCTCTCTCTCTCTCTCATCATTCACTGTGTCGATTATAATTATTACGGCAATATTGGTATTTGCACATAAAATGGCGTAGGTCCTCTTTAATTCTGACTGCATTTAATTCATACAAACATGAAACTTAATCGTTTACTGCACATTCCGCTGATTATCTAAAAAGTGGTTGTCTTTATTTCTTCGTTGTACCCAACATCCGTGGATTTGATAAGCATTAAGAAAGTATAGCTTGTGACTGTCAGAAGTCTTTGCACATTTGATCAAAAACGCCATTTAACAATTTCGTATATAATTTTCTATTTCAAATTAAAATTTGTTTTAATTATATTTGACCAAGTTTTTTTTTAAATTTAAAGTGTAAAGCGCTTAAGACAATTTGTTACGACGTGGGGATACAGATGTCTTGACGAATCAAATTTATATCAAATGAAATTAATCCAATCAAACCACACCGAAAGATGGCAAAATGTTTGTCTCCCGTTCCTTCTAGCTCGGTTATTGTATTTAATCAAATTTGTATCATCCCATTTTCATGACATCAATGAACAGGATGATTTTTTAACGTGTAAAGCGCTTCAGACAATTTGTATGACGTGGAGGATACAAATTCGGATCAAACATTATAATGGAAGATTATACGTCAAGACGGATGAAAATAAATAAATCTTGGATGAAAACATGCAACCAATTCGTACTTTTCTGTAACCCCCTCATTGACGTCTGTTTGAAAAAGGGACATCTACAGGAGAAAAGGTAATTATTGAATCTATTCTCTTTTTGGATATGTTATCCTGTCAATGTATACATGTCATTTAACGCTTTATAGATGTTTTGACGAATTAAATTGATATCAAATACAACGAATCTCATTAAAACAAACCAAAAGAGGGCAAAATGTTTGTCTCGCATTCCTTCTCGTTCACTTCCATAACACATGTACATGATGTTCATAAACACAATTAATAGGGAGGTATATTACCTGCTGATAGTCCAGTTGCGCACAAGATGGCAATCACAACCTATGAAACAAAAGAAAATTTGATTATGTAAATAAGATTTTAGAAGGGTGCATAAGAGAGAGAGAGAGAGAGAGAGAGAGAGAGAAAGAGAGAGGAGAGGGAGCTAGGGAGGGAGAAATAGAGACAGACAGAGAGAGAGAGAGAGAGAGAGAGAGGGGGAGAGGGGAGAGGGGGAGAACATTTTTGATATAACGAAAATTACTTATTAGATTTATATGAAAGAAAGAAAGAAAAATACGATGAAACGTATGTAAATGCTTTATTAGTTATGTAAAAGGTTAAAAACACCAACAATATTATCCCCCAAATAGTCTTAGTTAAATTGCAATTTATCCATATGATTATTTTGTGACATTATGTCATGCACGCTATATACAGGGTAACATGTCCACTATGCTGTAATTGTTATGATAAATTCACTAATTACTTGATAACATTGAACTAAACACTTTATTTTAATAAATGAGTTGACACAAAATTGCTTTGTGTGGGCTATTTTCATACTTGTATATACAATTAATGCAATAAAATAGTATATAAATAGAAACATAAATATGTATTTCAGGTATACATCCCCCACCACGTATCAAATGACATACCAACGTTTATTTGAATGCTACAGAATTGATCACTCATTTCCTGGCAATGTCGCATATGAAATATATTAATCGTACTTAAATGAATTATCTAACATTTAAATTGAAGTAAAGGTATCAAGTAAATTTATTATCATATATCCTGTATCTTCCTTTCAAATTGATGGAAAATCAACTAAAATAAAAGCTAAATCCAAATGTTTTGGACACTGTTGTTGAATTGCGTCATTTGCCACGAATAATGTTTTTTTAGTTCAACTTTTAGACGCAGTACTTCTCTTGGATACTCACCAGGATAAAACAGCGTTCTGTTATTTGTCCCATGTTGGTAAATATATTCCTTTTATATCATTCCGGTACCATGGCAACAGAATCACTGCCAAACTTTGCATAAATCCGTTTCCAGAAATACGCCAATCTTTATCTTCCAGCGTATACTGTCTGTCGTGCGGATTTAAAACGTCGTGTACAAAGATGGCGTCCGCAATGTTTGACAGCTTAGCTCATCATACAAAAGTTTTATAACTGTTAATGCATTATCCCACATCAACAATAGGCCCCCACACCACAAAATGCTATTTGCGTATAACGTGCCCCCTCCCTCCTCTCGAAGGTGAGTATCGATCGCTTTTAGTGAAGATAGAAAGAGAAAATAAAGACGGGGATCAATACTAATCGATATCGTATATTGGTCGGGCCGTCCCGTTTTGATGATAACAGGGGAGAAACAAAGTCGAAATTATCGATTGAACAAGAAAGAACAATTTCTGCGCAGCTCTTACTTGTGGGAGAATAGTTTTTCTTGACGTAATGTCGAGATGCTTACAACTTCTTGTGCAATTTTCATACTGCTTCGGAAGTTTTGTTTATGCCGTATAGAACCTTGATCTGCTTCCTCTTTTTTTAATCATTACGTTTACGAAATGAAAGGTTATTTGGAGATACCTGGGAGGGGGCTTGGGTGATCAGGAAATGATGTTCTTCATATTCATTATACTAGACATTGACAATTTAGGAGGATAGATTGAAATTACAGGGGGTGGAATGTGAAAAGGGATAGGTAAGATACAGAGAAAGGAGAGAGAGAGAGAGAGAGAGAGAGAGAGAGAGACAGAGAGAAAGAGAGAGAGGAGTAAACTTAATAAATAGAGATGTATAAGTAACGTAAAACGAGGCAGAGACCCAAGATCACCAATGAGGAGAAAGAAAAGGAGAGAGAGGGGCTGAACTCGCTGAAGACGGAGTGAGACACAGGGATGCAGAGAAGGAGGGTGAGGGAGGGAGAGAGAGTGAGAGTTAGAGAGAGAGAGAGAGAGAGAGTGAGAAGGGGAAGGACAGAAGTAGAATATGAGAAGGGTATAACTAGGGGTAAGCGGAAGAAGATTGTCGAAATAATTATGGCAACCGGTTTAAATGAACAGGTGATTGGAATATATATTTTATTTTACGAACAAACTAGACAGTTTCAGGTTTTATATATATTTCGCTTTATTTAATCTGACTTTTCTGGTTTTAAGTGATAAGTATCGAAATATCAAATCTCGTAATAAAAACAGGATTTCAATTGAATAGTTAAGAGTTACAAGGTTATGACTACAATCCCATTATCTTATAAAATTTAAAAAATCCGTATACTAATGTACTTTTTTCCATGTACACATTTAATGGAAAATAATGTGATTTATATTTCAAACAAAAAGAAATCAGTCTTTGATGTCAAGGATATTACCAATGCAATAAATAAAATAATTAGTTCCATTGCGATTGTCTCTATGAACGCTAATACCGCCCACAACGTTGTAGTGCAAGAGCAATCAAATGGAAGAACAGCAAATGGAGAAACTTCTAATGAACACAGGGAGAGGAATTTAAAAACCAAACATTATGAAGCAAAGCATTTCTATCAATATATAAACGATAAACATATACTATGTTATAACCCTTAACATAAGTGTAGTTCATCACTAAACTATTACCCCTGAAAACTATCCCTTGAACTATACCAAGGGACAACAGTGGATCTAGGTCAACTGCCCCTATACCCTAACCATCCCCAGACAATTACTCCCTGGTAGAATTTGGTTCGATTGCATTTGACTTCATTTGATTTTTAAAAAAACTAAAATACATTTAGAAATATATATATCATTGTAAAGAACACAGTATAATCATTTGAATTGTCAATTAGCTTGTTTAATATTAGGTCAAAGGAATTTATTCAGTCATTGATAAATTCATAAAACTGTTTTGTGATAAATATTATTCGAATACTAAACAAACAAATTTGAAAACAATATTGCTTAAAACTGAATCAAGTGAAGAAAAATATAAACGAATTTGAATGAAAAAGACAGAAATAAATTATCTACAATAATTATCGTATAGATTATAGTTTTTTAATATCGATCACTAAAATTTGAAATATACTACTGATTAGTGCGGTGATGATGATGGCGATATCTAAATGACCATTTTACAAAAGAGTCACATTCTAAATGACTACAAATGCATATTGACTAGGTAGATTCCATTACCGTCATATGTGTGGTAGTTTTAGTCTTTGCTCCACTTGTTTCATAAATATCTTTTATCGGATTGTCCTTAACGTGTATGTCGACTGCTGATGAGAGCGATGATGATGGCGAAATCTAAATGTCCATTTTACAAAAGCGTCAGATTCTAAACGACTACAAATGGGTGTTGACGAGGACGACTCCATTGTTATCATAGGCATGTTCGTTTTTAGTCGTCCCTCCGTTGGTTTCATAAATAGCTTTATCGGTTGTTCCTTGGCGTGTATGATGACAGCTAATGAGTCCGATGATGATGGCGAGGATAGTGACTACTCCGAGGGCGGTCGCCGACACGATGACTACCACTTTTTGATCTTCAGAGATTCCTGTGTGTGTGTGTGTGATATTGAAATGAAGAAAATATGATCAGACTGAGCTTATACATGTATTATGGTTTTCAGTAGAGGTCCAAAGGATATGGGGACGGAGTGGGGAATGGGGGAATCTAGCCACTGACTTTCAGATATAGTCGAAAGTAATGAAGGTGCCCGTTATTAGAGAGAATCATGCATATTTTATTGTGTGTTAGTCTTTATATCTCAGTGACCATTTACATTTATTTTGTTAATATCTGCGTGATGCGCGTGTTTTACAAGGGTATTTCAACGAAATATTGGGTCACGTAAGCCAACCCTTCGTAGATCAGATACCGTGTTCTCTACAAAAGTACTAAAAATAGGCCCATTTACACATCCCAACACCATTTTGAAAAATCGTCTATTTTTGGGAGTACCATTACCACTACTGGAAAAACAAACATTAAAAATGTCGAAGTTTGTTCATACCTATATAATTATCGTTTTTGTAAACATTTCAACATTCAAATTCAAAAGCAAGACTCAACTCATACATTGTTCAACATAACATGGTCAACATTATCATGGTTATTTCATTAGCTTCATTATGTTTGTTGATTTTCAATTAGTGAAGTTACTTTGTAGTCATTTCTAAAGTTAGATATATGATATACGCTATAACCTATTGTCATTATCATGACATTAATACGTTAAAAGAAAAATCAGCAGTAAGACAACAAACCTTCAGACGATGAACCAGCTGGCGTGGACATCGATACGTTCCTTTCTGGCGATGACGTCATCTCACCATCGACCAATGTCGTTGAACCACTCTCTGTCGCAGTCTTCTGTGACGTCACGATCACCTGCGCTGTCGTTGACCCCTTAACGGATGACATAGTACCATGGGTAGTCGCGTCCGTGTGCGCTGTATCGGTGCTTCCCGGCGTCGACCCTGTCGTCACTTTCGTTGCGACAGTAGATGATGTCCGATCTGACGTCATTATCTTAGATGACATTATCTCTGACGTCATGCTCTCAGATGACGTCATCACTGACGTTATCGTCACTTCAGGCGTTTCAGTTGAAGGTAACGTGTCTGTAGACAATGAGGTCGTTATCTCTGTGACAACATCAGTCATGGTGACTTTCGACGTTTGAAGGACGTCGGTAGATGCCGCTTCGGTTGACGTTTGGGAAGTTTGGGAAGTAGACGGTGACGTTGTATCTTGTACAGTCTTCATGCTGGTTGAAGGTAAATTGTCTGTAGACACGCCTAGTATTGAGGTCTTCATTTCTGTGACAACTTCGGTAATGGTCTCTAAAGACGTTCGAAGGACGTCGGTAGATGCCGCTTCGGTTGACGTTTGGGTAGACGGCGACGTTGTATCTTGTATAGTCGTCATGCTGGTTGAAGGTAACTTGTCTGTAGACACGGCTTGTATTGAGGTCTTTATCTCTGTCACAACATCGGTAATGGTAACTAAAGACGTTTGAAGGACGACGTCGGTAGATGCCGCTTCGGGTGACGTATCGGAACTTTGGGAAGTAGACGGCGTAACTGTATCTTGTAAAGTCGTCATGCTGGTTGAAGGTAACTTGGTTGTTATTGAATCCATCATTGTGCTGGCAGCTTGTGTAGTCGTTGTTTGCTCTTTACGAAAAGATAACCAAGAAGAACAAACAAACAAAATCTTGTCATTTTATTTCATTTTGAAAACACAGCCAATATTGGACAAACAAAAACGTGATCTGATGATAATTGACTCAGTTAGTAATATCATATTATCGACGTCGATTCCTCTTTGAATTTCTGATTGATTTCAATTTCAAAGCTTTTGGGGGATGCTATGAAAATTGAGAAATGGTGGAAAGATGCCCCAGATAAATATGATGACAACCCCAACCAAAGGAAACCATGGATAGGAACAACAGTCTAAAGACTGAATAATCCTGGATCAAGTAAAAAAGTAAACAAGTAAACAATTGTTTTACTTGCAGCGAATACAAATACAAATTAAATGATTTCTATAGTCCAAAATACCTATATCATAATCAATCTCGACAGATAAAGAACATATATCTTTTTTGATTCCATAACTGTGGCGTTATTCTTGCCCTTGGACTTTTACAATAAAGATTACCTGACCCTACTCGAATCTTCCGGAGACATATTGGATATTTGTAATGCGAGGGTTCTTCTTGTCATTATTCGGTAGTTTGACACATTCCCCATGGCCTGCGCCCTCCTGAAACGTAACTTAAACGTTGGGCTTTATTTTGTCAAAGATCCTGGGTTTAGGCTTGGGTTTCGATTTTAATTAACATAATGTTTCGGGATAGGGTTCAATATGTGTGAAAATGTTGTTATAGTGGTAGATTTCAACCACAGGGTAACTGTCAGTTCAATTATCTGAGCAATAACTGTTCAGGTACTAGCCCTAATACTAAGCCTTGTTATTATTTTGTCCGAAGTAAAGAATTGTGGCTTGTTTTCCAGGCACTAGTTTCCCCGGATTTGTACACATTTTGATAAATAATACCTGTACAAAATGGCGGATCTGAGCTCCACTGTCCGTTTTGACATGTTGAAGTGATGCTTCCATTGTATATCTCATAGCCGCTATAACATGTAAAGGTCACCATATCACCGTGTTGAAATGGCGGTGCCGAGCCGTAAAAGGCGCTGTATGCTTCGGGTACGATGACTGGACATTGATCTGAGTGTTTTTTTTTTCAGAGTGAGAAAGAATAATCAGGATGTTGAGACAATATTCAAAGAACTCATAAATAGATAAACATTGATTAAATTGGCATTTGGTATGTTTACTGAATAACAGAAGTATGTTAACTGTGTGCTTAAAGTTTTGAGTTAACTTGCACCTCATTGATAGGCCAAATTGTACATGATCCAGCAAAAAGTGAAACCAGTGATATCCTCTCCCTACTGGGAAAACTAGAAGAAGAAGTAAAAGTGATCTGTCATCTTTTCTTGATCAACTTTCCCTTCAGAAGTGTATCAAATAGATGAATAAAGTATACCACTTTTACAATGTTATGTTGTCTTATAATTCCTTAAAAAGTAAGTTTACTTCGCGACGTTTATTGATACAGTCGACTTTACCAGATCAAAGATACTGTCATATCATATCCTCTCCCTAACCAGGAAGTCGACTTTTTTAAGAATCTGATTCTCGTCACCCCGTCATTTTGTTTCAAGGATATTGAATTTGTGAAAAGTGTGATTGTATCATCAAATTATGTCTTCAGTAGTTTAATTCAGTGAACCTTTACTTTTCATTTCCGTATTTAATGATTTCACAACATTCTTTCATGTTATGATTTATTATGACTCAGGATTTATTATTTCCATATAACTTTAAGAAATGTTAATGTTTTGTAAAATGTATTATACTAATTTTTTGCATGGAAGATAAATAAGAGCAACCATTCAATCAATCAATCATTCTTGGGTAAATGAATTAGCGACAGGAAAAATTCTGTTTTCGTCTTGCCGAGTCCTAAGAAAGTAGAGGTGTCGTGGTCTAGTGGATACGTCACCGGATCATAGATCACAGGGTTCACGGTTCGAGTCCCGCCGCAGCACTAGTGTCCTTTGGCACGATATATATGTACATTTGCCACTCTCCACCCAGGTGATGTAATTGGGTACTCGGTTGGCAGAAATTCATCGAATAACAGGGCGCCTTATTACGGTAGCTCAGCTAAACTAGGGGTAATAGTATCACAACGCTTAGAAACATTAGTATGAAGCGCTGTTTACTATTACTTTTGTTATTATTTTTATTATGTGGTGGTGGTTATTTTACCTGACTGCTAAGAAAATATAAATGCTCGTAAGTAAGCAACAAGACGGCCGACGGCTTTAGGTCCTCTCCGAGGGACCTGGTAATTACGATTAATGCCTTACCAAATGGCACTAGCGATGCTTGGTTTCGAACCCGGGTCACCAAATTACGAGACCACTGCTCTACCGACTGAGCTATCGCGCCTCTTCATTGTTAAACTCTTGACATGGTGGAAAAACAGTCTTGTCTTTTCGTTAAAAATACTTTTTTTTAATCTAAGCTTTCCCAATTTTTTTACCCATGCACATGGGTTGTGGGGCATCCCAAGCCCCATCGGAGCATGTTATACTGGTAGCACCGTCCAACGTAAAGCCGGTATCACAGCTGAATGACACGGTCTCAGTGTGGTAGAATGGACTCGTATCCCCCGTCACTTGGCCGTTCAGGAAGGTATCAAGCGGTGAACAGTTCTCTGCAGACGAAAAAAGAAGTTAAGAACAATCAAAAGAATTAAGGACAGAGTGGGGAATAAAAGGACGGTAAAACAAAATATGAAGATACCGATCTTCATGTTTGTAATTACATTATAGCAATAAATATCCTTTGACTAAATTGTTTTATAGACTCAAATCAATTATTTTAAGCTTTTCATTGTTTTATTGAATAAATGTATATTTAGGAAAGAATTATACGATTAAAGTAATTGCATGAGGTAAAATTATACTATAAATACCACAGCTTGATACGGACATAGATGGGAGATGAAAATAGCAATGTGCATTTCTTTAATGGGAGTGACGCCCTTGAATATGAGAACAATCTATAGGACCAATTAATTTTAAAAGACAATTTAAAAAGAAATGTGACTGGCACATTAACCAGAACCTGTGGTCCTTGATAATTACTAATTAGTCTTCTCAAAAAGAATTCTGAATCCCGACACGGCACTAACATCCATTGGCAAGATATTAACCAACACTTGCTAATCTCCACCCAGGTGTTAAATGAGTGCCCGGTAGGATGCGACCGTTATTGTTGGTCAAACAGTAAATGTTTCTGAGCGTCAAGTAACGCCTGACTGGAATGTTCCCCAGGGAGTTAAGATTGAATCCAATGACCGGGGTAATAGTATATTGTAAATCGTGTTGAGTGTTCTGTAAATTATAACAGGTGATTACCATAACATCTAGGCGACTCCATACTCAATGACCCATCGTTGCAATTCACGGTCGTGCTGGTTGAAGAGCCCGTCGAGTACCCCGGATCGCAGTCAATGATCACCGAACTACCGTGATCAAAGAGGTCCTGCTGAGTGTCAAAGTTCGAGTTGGCAACGATTGGTGGTAGGCATTGTTCTGGGAATAAAAGTTAGAAAGAAACATGGGCTTTACTTAATTGATGCTCACAATGGCTTCGCTTGTCTTGAAAATGTGCATGGCTTAAAGAGTATAGTACCAACATAGCTACCACTGCTGTAATGGATTTCGATTGCGCTTTCCTTGGGTGAAGATACATATAGAGCGATTTCCGGTCCCTGCACCCAAGTAACATCATCATAGAACTGGAAAATACGTCCAGTTCTGTGACCATCATGCGCGCGTCATGCAGTTGGTGATGCATTGTGGGACATGACTGTCGACACTTCGGGACATTGTGGGCAGCAGATGGCGGTATTTGTAAATCGGAAGTAGTGTCAGTAGATTAACCTGCCTTTGGCAATTATAGTGGTGAAGCTAATAGAACATGCCTCCATGTTAATAATGGCGAAAAGATGAAAAGAAGACAGGAAGCTGGACAGAAAGAAGGAAAGGGGTAGGCAGATGACCTAGCAGGACTTCCTTCCCCGTGTAACCAGTGCCCCCTAAGTGGTTGGATCCAGGTTAGTTAAATGACACATTATACAGAATATCAGAATCAGAAAACAAGCCTTTGGTCTAAGAATAAGACAAGGAATGTCGTGCGAATCATATACGTTCGTAAATATCAAAATATTTCTAATCCAACTGAACACTCCTCTTTCGCTCAATCGATCGGGAAAAGGGAGTGAGATGGAGAGGGGAGATGGGGGGGGGGGGGGGGAGGGGAGAAAGAGGGGTGAATTCTTTGTTCTTGAGTGGCACTTACCAAGGCATTCTGGGACATTCGTAGGATCCCACAATTCATCACGGCATGTAGCAGACGACACTCCAATGAGAGTATAGTTGACGTCACAAGTGTACGTGATGACCTCACCATTGACATAAGTACCGTTAGGACCGCCATTTTGAATCGATGGGGCCGTGCAAGATGCTGAAATAAAAGCAAATTAAGATACTGTACAGATGAATTATGACAATAACCACAGGTAGGATCTTGTAAACCGTTACTTTTTTAGTCCTCCATACCAAAGAACAATACTTTTGTTCGGTTGTTTGCTAAGTAGTTTTGGCCCGGGTGTATGCTAAACAGTGAAGAAGAAACTTTTATCCAAAAAAAAGATGAAATTCACAGGAAATTAAAACAAAAGGTCGATGACGGAATTGCTTTATTTCTTTAATAAGAATTGTATACGTACAGTGATGAAAGAAAGAAAATAACCGTGCATATAAAGTTAAGGTCGGGCTCAAACTTAAATAATAATATTTGTGTTCTTTTCGTAAGATTCAGAGGACAACTATTTAGGGGAAGCTTGGAGATGGAAGAGGGGTAGAGGAAGGGGGAGGGGATAAGGCATTTGTGCCCCCCCCCCAACATTAGATTAGCTACATTTGTTACATTTGTTACATTAGTTACATCATATTACCTTCACATGTAGGTATATTGGAAGGGTCCCATATCCCTCCCGAATCACACACGACTTCCTGAGGGCCAATGATAGAATACCCGTCATCGCAGTAGAACGTGATCCTGTCGTAGAGGGCGTACTCATCTTTGTATTCCGTAACGTTGCCGTTGGGTGGGAGCTGCGGCCGGAAACAACCACTAGCAGCTAATTTAAAAATACAGGATAAATCATAACATAGAATGATTAAACAAATTGAAAATTCATGAATTTAGCGCCAAGTGGTCAATAAAGCCTTTACTCTACAAAATAATGTAAACAAATTGACTTTACCGATGAAATTATGCTATTAAATCGCAAACTAGTCTTGATTTTATTTTATTTGATTTGATTTATCTTTAAATACTTTTGGAAGAATTTAGGGAATTATTTAATGAAAAGTAAAACATTTTAAATATAAAGAGGGAGGGGTGCCATTCTTTTACCCTTGTAACAAACCTTATAATCAAAACGTTTTAAAAAGTGTTGACTATTACTGAAACAAAACTGATATGCCCCTTTCCACTCTTAGTCTTACGTCGGTAAACATTCCCATCGCAACTTACAGTTGTACTGGTAGGATTCAAAAAGTTGACTACCTGTTCAATGAGTATTGATACTCTTAAAATGTTAACACTGACCATCGTAAAATACCAGTACAATTCCAAAGATTTCAGCATTGCCCATCTTTCATTACGTTGCAGCTCTAAATAATGTTATTAAACGAGGTTTACACCTTTTTCAAATGTCATGCCATGACGAAATAAAATGAATATCACCTTGGCAAGAAGGTTATAATCCTACAAGTCATATCCAACTGCCAAAGGGCTAGGGCTGGGGTAAGGGTAAAGGGTTAAAGCCCCACTGTCCTACTTGTAGCTACTTGCTCCCTCTATATAGAAAACTTCCCCAATCACATGGTCTCCCATGATCCTCTTTTTCTTATGCTAGTTGAGACTGAGTTAATGAGATAGCCACCAGTCAGTGACCTCGGTGTGTGGTCTAGTCCCTTGTGGGACAGTAGTATTGACGGTCTTTAAATAATGTTATTAAACGAGGTTTACACCTTTTTCAAATGTCATGCCATGACGGAAAAAATGAATATCACCTTGGCAAGAAGGTTAGTCCTACCAGTTATATCCAACTGCCAAAGGACTAGGGCTGGGGTAAGGGTAAAGGGTTAAGGTAAGGGCTAGCGTTAGGGTGGGGCCGGGGTGACGTTTAGGGTGAGGGATAGAATGAGAGTTAGGGTTAAGATGAGGGTTAGGGTTATGGTTATCAATGTTGTGGGGGCAGTCCGAAGTATTTCCGTTGTTTCCACATTTAGAACGTGCACTTTTTTGTATTTGCATGTTTTTTAATTGGAATCATCAGTGGAAAAATAAACAAATACAAATGTTATTTGATATTTTAGTATTTTAGAGTGAATGTGATTGGCAATCAGTTCTCTCCCCCCCCCCCCATTCAAATAAATATCAAGAGTTCAATCCACCGTCGTATTACCTTCACATGTTGGTCCTACCGGAGGAAACCAAATTCCTGCGCTGCACTGACTGGTTGGTGGACCTAGCAACGAACCCGTACATATATACGTCACCAGCGTCCCGTCGTCATAGCAACCAGTTCCACCAGGTGTGTATCCGCTTAAACCAGATCCCATCGGCTTGGGAAGGCTTTCTTCAGAACATTCTAAAAATAAATAATAATAATAATAATACCTCATATTTATAATGCGAATAGTACTTTGTTTCTAGGCGCAGTACATATTATTACCCCGGTCATCGGATTCAGGCTTACCCGCACACAATGTATGCACATTCTCCACTCCCTGAGGAGTATTCCGGCCAGTCGCCATTTTACAAGCGCCACTCGCTCATCCAATCACATTAACTTTCGCACCCTACCGGGTACACAATTAACACTTGGGTGGAGAGTGGCAGATGTAGAATAACATCTTGCCTAAGGACATTAGTGGGACTCGAACCCCGAACCTTCGATGTGCAGTCGGTGATTTATTCACTAGACCACAACACCTCTACAAATGGGGGGGGGGGGTGGTGAAAATCCTTGTTGTTGCCCGTAGTTCCAATTTTAAATCTCTTTCCTACACAGTATTGAATTTCATTGACCTAAATTGAATGTTGGTTTTCATATTTAATCGCAGCCAGAGGCTGAACTGCAATATATTTACAACATTGGTTAAACAAAATAACAATAATTCTAAAAATTATGAATTAATGTAACTTAAACATTTTTTTAAACATTTAGATTAAATAAAATTGTACAGTGAGGTACAGTACAAAGAGATCATTAACAAATGCTGCTGAAGAAACTTTTCTGGTTTCACTTAATATTGGTTTATGGTATATGAGGGATAAAGATAGAAACTGAGACATTACAAGTGTACAACGTGACTACCTTTAACCTTTGTATATAGTTACACATGTGCCTTTATTACTTTGTGAAATAGACGCCTGCCTGTTAGTCCGCTTATCTATCTTTCTATCTCTATCTATAATATATACGTGTATATCTGCAACAAATATCTCTATTTTCTGTATGATTACATATATATTGAGTAACGAATCTATTAACTTATCTTCATATCTATCTAATTTATATATACAGTAGCGTACGCAGGATTTTTTTCGAGGGTGGGGGGGGGGGGGGGTTCCTCCAAAACACACACATACAAAAAATTGAGGGGGGGGGGTTGAATCCCACCCCTTCTGCGTACGCGCCTGTATATATATATTTATATATTTATATTATCCTTCATTCTATAGAAGTCTTTTAACATTTCTTATGTCTTTTTCAATCAAACATAATGAAAATGTTCGTTTAGTTTTATTCTAATTAACAAAAAGTCAGTCTGATCGAAGCCTATTGTAACAATAAGGCAACACGATATCCTGTTTTAGGAATAATTTCAACATTGTCACCAAAGGCATTGGTGTGTCAAACAGGGATTTTAAAAAGATAGACTGACTCACAGACGTTATGATTTCCAGCTAGCCTGGTAGCTTTTATTTCTAAATAAGCATCGGGAGAGTTTCCCGAACATGGTAATAGAAACATTCTTTGGGGCTGCACCCCCGTGTACGCCTATACAATGTCTGAGGGCCAAATGTTAACAGGGCGAACATGTTGATAGCAAACAACAACAACTACAACAACGAATTATCACATGCAGTAAGTATTTCTGCCCTGGCTTATACTGATAAGACCTGAAAGTCAGACTATCTATGTGTAATGAAAGTATGACACATATGGTACATTGCCAGCTATCTCGTCATCGAAAGTTTTAATCTGAAGTGTAAACCAATCAACGACTTAGTTTGAACAAGTCCATCTAAAGCAATCAACAAACAACATAGCCCTATGAAGAGTCATTCATCTTTATAAAAAGTTTAACCGACACCTACGGAATACATTACAAATAGAGGCTGATGAATTCGATATGTAATTTGAACCTCCATATTTACCAATTCTGACAAATCTTTGTAGCCAAAGTATTTTTTATTTGTATGTAAATTATGACAAATTCAATTGACAAAACAAGTTTAATACAGTACCATTTTGCATGTAGACAAACTGACTCAGCTTTAAAAACAGCAATAACAAACAAACTAACAACAACAACAACAACAAACAAATAAACAATAACGGCTTTTGAAGTTGTCTGAGATTGAATGTGTTACGAGGAACTAAAGGAACGACGCATGCCCTATTCATGTCTTGAATATACAATATATTACTAAATGAAACAGTTGGCAGCATCATGCCTTGGTTCTTTCTTTTTCCTTCATGCAAATATAAAAAGAGTGTTTGCATGTATTACTTTAAAGGGGAGGTCCACCATGGCATTAAGTTGATTTGATAAAAAGGAGAAAAAAAATTAGTGAAAATTTAATCTGATTAAAATCTGATTGAAATAGAAAAGTTATGATTTGTTGAAGTTTTCATCGGTGAAACATAAAATGTCAACATTGTGACGTATCATGTGAGCTCCTCTCCAATTCGCTCAGTACAGAAACAAAATCTTAGTTATCAATATGACGGAATAGATTTGTTTCATACAAGGGTTGTATAAAAACATATTTGCGATAGTTATATCGAGGGTGACTGTATGATCGAAACATTTCTTAATGGAAAATATATATATTTTTTTTTTTTAGTACAAAACAAATGGGAGGGGAGCACGCAAGATAAGTCACAGAGTTGCCAATTTGTGTTTGATTGGTTGATTGCACCTTCAGAAATTCATAACTTTCTTATTTTTAGTCATTTTTTTTTTATCAAACTTTCACTGACCTTTTTTCTCTCTCTCTCTCTCTCGCTAATCTGCTTCTATCAAAACCAACTTAATATCAGGGTGGACTTCCCCTTTCATATTGATTTGAAACGCCCTTACCGTTTATTGTACACGTCTGTCCCCATGCCATTCCTAAGATTAAAAAAAACATAGGTTACATCATGTGAAGAATAATGCATATATTGATTTACTTAAATTTCATCAAAAGGAATTACATTTAAAATGAGGCTATCACAAATAATGAAATAATACCTTTCTTATACATTCGGCATTCTTGGCTTCAATCGACCTTCCCCTTTCAGCACATTGTTAAACTTAATTGATATGCTTATACTTGGAAACGGAATTACACTTGAAAAGGTTGTTTTCGTCCATTTGAAATTGTTAATTTTTCCCTTTATAATCCATAGTTTTGCAATGTTCCCAAAATAAAAGCTTATTTTTTCTAATCAGCATTAGTTTGATCTTAACTGAATAATAGACTAGAATGTGAAAAAGTTGTTATTAATCTATTTAAACATATATGATTTAGATCACGCTTAAAAATGTTTATAATATGGACATAAAATGCAATCTTATAAATAAGTACAGTGTATGTTACATCAAAATGTCATTTTCACTAACAGATTTAATCCAAACAAAATTATATCAAGTGTCTAAATGATCGTGTCTCAAAATAGATATACTCAACAAATGTCGTGCATTCTTTAGGATTTAAAGGGGGTTGTATAATGTAAGAAACGTCCCAAATATATTTTCAACGCAACGCGAAATGCCTTTTTAATGTGTTTCATTGAGATTGGAAGGCACATAGACGTATTCATTCTGTAAATTGTCAGTTCAGAGCTGAAACTTACACCAATGGCGTTTACCAGACAGATAACAGTCGTGTTTTAGGCTAATTTGAAGAAGAACAACAAACGAAAACAGCCCTTAATCTTCATTTTCTATATGAAAATGAAAATATAATACACATTATACCAACATCAAATATAAGAATCAACAACAAATTTCTCACCTACTACAGTAGAAATGACAAAAATAATGTACGGCTCAAGCTCCATCTTTTGTCTCTTTCGATTTGCGTACCAACTTCGGAATGGTGATGATCTTAATTAATCCATCTGTTATCCCTTTATCCACGAGTTAAGTCTATATTGGTGATGCTGGTCACTGAATGCAGCGCCCTTCACATACTTGTATAGGGTACTTCACAATCTTGTTGCACGTAGTTTGTTTATGGCGTCAGAACAAACATGGATGTCTCGTAATAGTCTATTTGAGGTACTTGGGCAATATTTGGCTTGACCTATAGGCTTTGGAGTGATTGACCATTAGGCTAAAAGAGGGGGTTGTATTTTTGATCATCTCATTGAAGCATTAGAGCTGTATCATTTCAAAGTCCAAGACAGAGAAACAACAACAAAAATACGAATACACGCCTGTCGTGATGATGTAAATCATGTTTCCACAGAAATTTGAGAACGAAATTTCATGACTTTCCATGATTTTCAATGACCCATTTTGGCCCTTTTCCATGACAAAATAATTATCATTTTGGTATGGGTTTCGGGATCCAAGCGGTGTATGAATACCATGCCCACTGTTTGATCAAACTGCAGGACTGCCATAGTTATAGCCACACACGGTCCACACCATGATACATTTTCCATGACTATTCATGACTTTGGGGTATAATTTATATTATTTTAATTTTCCATGACTTTCCTGTTTTTTTTAAACATCACATTCATTCTTTTGAGTGGTCGAACATTCACTTACACGATTATGATGATGATGATGATGGTGATGATGATGATGATGATGATGGTGATGATGATGATGGTGATGATGATGATGATGATGGTGATGGTGATGATGATGGTGATGATGATGGTAATGATGATGATGATGATGGTGATGATGGTGATGATGATGGTAATGATGATGATGATGATGATGATGATGGTGATGATGATGATGATGATGGTGATGATGATGGTGATGATGGTGATGGGGATGATGATGGTGATGGGGATGATGATGGTGATGGGGATGATGATGATGATGGTGGTGGTGATGATGATGATGATGGTGGTGATGATGATGATGATGGTGATGATGATGGTGATGATGATGATGAATACAGTAATGATTATGGTGTTGGTGACGAAGTTAACAATGTTGATAATGCTGATGGGGATGATTACAACGACGACGACGATGACGACGAGACCGAAGATGGCGATACCATTATGCGAGGCAATATAGCGACGGACAGAAACAAAATGCATTTTAACATTGAATCTTGACATAAATACTTTTCAGAGCTTATTTATTTATTTATTTATTCATGCATGTTCACAATTTCACAATTCATTGAAGTTAACATCACATGAAAAATGAATAATAATATAACAAATCATATAAAAAATCGTTTCAATTCTACAATCCATTTGAATTGACTTCACGTGAAAAAGAATATAACACTGTTTTATCAAAGACAAGTTGCAACTAATATACAGTTTGAAGAATGAACACACAAAGGTGGTGAAACATAAGCAAATAGAGCTTGAATCGTTACAACACCTTTCAAATATATATGACAAATAAAATTCCTAAAATTTTGTAGTAAACTATATACACTATTTACAAACAAAGAAAAAAGTATTTTGTAAAGCCTAATTAAAAAAAAAATTATGTTCGACATAATTAGAACTGATATACAGTGTATAGATTATATAATGTAAGTAATATCTTACATCCGTGAAATGATAAAACATTTGAGTGCTCTTTTAAAGGAGTTTGTTGATTTTATATTTCGAATATCATTAGGTAAAGAATTCCATACATCTGACCCTCTATGTCTGATTGATTTCTCGGCTAATGTAGTGTAAGCATTGAGGATTGACCACGTGTATATCCAGTGTTAAGCATTATGTTATTTTATTCTTTTGCACCCTTTCAATACTTCGTGTGAGTTTCGGTCTGAAATTGAGGGCAAATCGTCCACTATGATATTATCTTGGTTTAAAGAATGCAGAAAAATGCTAGAAACGGATGAATGAAAATTTGAGGAAAGTTTGATTAAACAAAAAAGTTAACGAACTTATGAGATTTGAATGAACAAAACAAAAATTGGCACCTCCTTAATGTAAATTGAAAGGTCCTCTCGCATTTTGTTCTGTATACTGAAAATTGTATACATTTCCGTTTTCTTAGTTATTAATGAAGGAAGGAATTTGTTTCATACAGGGCTGTGTAAAATCCTATTTGATTATAACTAGTATGTTTATAGATGAGATGAAGGAGCTTAGGGCTCGCACAGTCCCAAAAGCAAAAGAAAAGAAGACAAAAAAATAAGACAAAAAAAAACTAACAATAAACACAACACAAAAAATAAAAAATAACAAAAACATTTTTGTTTATTTATTTATCCTCGTTGGATTCAAAATGGGGTCTTGACCACTTATCCCCCACCCGACCCGTTTTGCTTCATATTATCAAAGCTTCAAGTATCATGTTGACCGAGCAGAATTTTCCGACCAAATTCATGCGGTTTGTTTGTGTATGTCTGTTGGTTCGTGTGTTTTTTTTCTCAAAGTATGTTAATAATCCCTTATTTTGCATCATAATTATTCCTCAATAGGCCTAGTGATTGTCACAATCCATCAGATTTCATCTTGAATTACCAAAAAAGATTATGAAGCTTAATTTCACTCAAACTTTTTTTAAAAGGTGTTTTTTACTCTTTTTTTGCCAGGGGTGGGGGCCCGTGCCCCCTAGCTAATACAGATAAGATAAGATAATACAGATGAGGTCCAAAGACCTGTAGGCTCCGTCGGTTTGCAGAGACAAGGCCAGGGTCCAGGGCCGGGCTGAACCTCAGACGCTCTCAAGTTTTAGAACCTTCAAGACGGCCGCCTTGAGAGATTAAAACACACACTCTCTCCTAACAACAATTTTATAGAACATTTTAAGGTTGTATGGGGGGGGGGGGTCCTTAGAGCCCCTGTCAGGGCAGAGCCTGTGCTAGGGAGCCCAGAAGTTCTTCAGTTCTTCAGTTTTTAACGATTGATTTTAAAACCTTTAAGATGGCCGTCAGGTCACGAGTGCTAGAAGTTGTTGTTTTTTCTCCTATAAACTCACAGATCCGTTACACTGTTAGAACGGTGTTTAAAATGTCACTGTTTAAAAGAATGTTGTTTAAAAAGTAAACAACGTTGTTCAAAATCGAAATATCAGTGCTCGATTGATTTAAACAACTATGTATTAAAAGACAAAAATATTTAATTAAACAGAGTTGTCTAAAAAGTCCCGGGGGCGTCGTTGATATTTTCTCGATACGCGATTGCTATTTGCGCACACACATGCGATATGCACAAAGTACGTACATAATACATGCATGCAAGCATGCAGTGCTAGTTTGTGCAGTGCAAGTGCTAGTGCAGTGCAGTGCAGACGAAAATGGCGGAACAAGGGCAAGGCGACGACTTGGTTCTTCTCGGCTTCGCCGATTGGTTTTAGGTGAAGTTATAGAGACAAATAATAATGTTGTCTGTCACTGCCATGAATATGATGAACAAATGTTGAAGTAAATTGGCAACAAGCTCTGCATGTTGCAGTGTATAAATCGTTGTGATTATTGCAGGAGTGGTTCCAGTAGGTTATTTCACAAATTCAAACAACCAGGTAATAACCATTAAACAGTTCTGTTTAAAATTTAAGCAACTCCTTTTAAACAACCCAGTTGTGCAGTAATAATGAATAAACAACAGTTGCTTAGTAATTTAAACATTATTGTTTAAAATTTAAACAACTTGCTTTAAACAACCGAGTTGTGCAATGTATTACTAAACAACTGTTGTTTAAAAGGTTTCCTAATTTTTAAACAACTAAGTGTTCAAAATGTAAACAACCTTAATTTGTTTAATTTTTAAACAACGTTGAGCGATTCACCGGTTAACTCGGGGTTGTTTAAAATTTTAAACAACTTGTTTAATTTTTTTCTAACAGTGTGTCGATCTACATCACAGTCCACAGATAAATGTGCCTTGAACGTATATAGCAGACGGCAATCGGCGGATTAGACGACACTTGGTAGTGATTTTGTATGTGAGATTGCTTTGCTAAATATAAAATACTAAACTATCATTGATATCTGATAATTTACCATACTACATAATACAATGAAATACTTGACTTAAAGTAGGGGAGTTTGATGTGATGCACAATTGCACCCCTCTTTAAATATTCGAATAGTCCATGGCGATCATAAATATTCATGTTTTTGCTTACCTCGGCACAATGCTTGCCTGTACTAAATGGACAAATTACGATGGGGGATAGCTGAAATGGACATAATGAACCAATCAGAACTGATCTATGATAATTCATGCTTGTTAACCTTCGTGTGCTTGACCTATAACCTTATAATCGCGTGGCAAATTGCGTCCAAAGTTCGACTTGTTATACATGTGTTTTATAGGCAATGGCAATGTCAACGTACGTCGGGTGGATGTGCTTTTCGTTTAAACAAAAAAAATGAATTTTTAACGATTTTGGGGGGTAAAATTCCATAGGCTAACATATATATAGGCTGCTGGACTCTGACGATAGGGGGCGTTGTCCAATGAGACTATTCGGAGGCATATGAATAATGATAAGCTCATTTTGTTGATAACCTTTCGGATGGAATAGGGAGGGAGAAAGAGAGAGAGAGAGAGAGAGAGAGGTGAGAGAAACAGATACACATTTAAACTTTAAAAGCGAGTGAGCAAAACAACAAAAATAGAGAGGAGTAGAAAAGGGAGATGCTAAGAAAATACAAATGACAATTCAAAAAGATGAGTGAGAGAAGAGATTTGTTTTGTAAAGGGTGGATTTAAAAGAAAATAGACACGGACAGAGAATGGGAAACGGTAATAAGGATTAGTTTGGAGAGAGATTGAATGAAAAGATAAAGAAATTGCGAGAGGGGAGCACAAAGGCGATTGAGGGGGGGGGGGGGGGGGAGGGGAGCAATATTGATGAACAGAGATACGATGAAGGGGGGGGGGGGGGCACATGCAGAGAGAAACCTGCATGTGGCAATGTGTGGTAATGGGGGGGGGGTAGAGGAAACGGTAATATAGGGTGATAAAAAGATGTAAGAAACTTAATCATTGCCTTTAGATAGACTGAGAAGAAATGGGAGTAGAGGAATGTAAGTGAGAGGAGCAGAAGTAAGGAAGATGAACCGGAACACAAATAAACAGAATATGGAGGGGTGGGACATGAGCTAGAGAGAGAGAGAGAGAGTGAGAGAGAGAGAGAGAGAGAGAGAGAGAGAGAGGGGGGGCAGCAATGGTGATGAAGACAGAATGGAAAGATTGAGAGGAAGATAGAAAGAGAGAGAGAGAGAGAGAGACAACAAAATAGAGATACCAGGAGAAATGACTTGAATAGAAATTGGAAGAGAGAGAGAGGGAAAACCTATCAATGATTGTAGGAAGAATGATAAGGAAGAGACATAAAAGGGTAGAGAGTGCAGAAATTGGGGAGATCCGTAAAGGAACATAAATAATTACGGAATAGTGAAGGAATTAGACTACAGAGAGAGAGAGAGAGATTATTTTCTAAATTGAAAAGTTTGGGGCTGTGTCAATTTAAAGGAGAAAATTACAATTTGTAGCACTCGTGACGGCCATTTTAAAGGTTCTAAATTGTTTTAAAAATAAACTTAAGAATTTCAGGGGGCTCTGACCCCAGGACTCCGGCAAAGCTATGCTCTACCCTTTACGACGGACCCCTAGACCCCATCCGTAAAGATTGAAGTGGTTCCCAAGACAATATTGTGTTCCGAGTCTATAACATTGTCTCTTGGAGAGAGTGTGTGTCTGAGCCCCTGAGAGCGAATTGTTTCAAACGAAATAAACCAATTGGGGCATCTATAGATCTATGGATTATAGTTTCTATCGCTCAAGACGGCTAACTTCAAGGTTCTAAACTGCTAAAACTCGAGAGCATTTGCCAGGATGGGGCTCTGCCGCTGCTTCGCGCACCCGTTTGTCCCCCCCCCCCCCTGTTGGAAAATCCTCCGCTGTGTATTACATGTATGTTTGGGCCATGTCACAAATATTTGTCAATGTTGTTAGTGATGAATAAATGAAATAAATAAAGATAAAATTGAATAAAAAAATGGAGGTGGTGGGGATGATTATGATTTTGATTTTTGTATGATATGATGATGACTTTTATTATACAAGACTTGCGATTTGTGGCGAGGCCCAGATATAAGGAGAGTGACAGAAGGAGAAGATCTTTGAGATAGGAATAAAGAGAGCTAGATTAAAGCAGTAGAAAGATTAGAAGTCGAAAATATATAAAACGAATATAAAGAAAATGAAACTGAGAGCACTGCTTTTTGTTTGCACACGTATTGTTCCTATTATATGTACCGACCTTACTAGTGCCGCAAAGGTAGAAATAATCCGTTGTGGCACTCCCTGCTGTACAAATTTGGAAAACAAAATTTCTCGAATCCTTCGAGAGAAGTCGCTCCCCAGGAGCTCATTTTTGTTTGATGTAGCTTCACTTTCGTGAAACTAAATCGCAAAAATGGAGTCGAGGGGGAACAGGAACATTCGTATCAACATGATGGAGGGGGTCGGGGCAAGGGTTACTAGAGGACTCGACTGGAAATGGGGAAAACAAGACGGTGGAGAGGGGCATGTCGGAACGGTTCGCTCCTTCGAGTCGCCCGAAGAAGTGGTGGTGGTGTGGGACAATGGTACGGCGGCGAACTACCGCTGCGCTGGGGCCTACGATCTACGCATCCTGGACAGTGCACCGACTGGTAATTTTTTGTTATGCATTTTCAAATAAATGAAGTAGATCGTAGATGTAAGCATAGAAGGAGAAGAAAATCTAATGAATTGATAGTGTGGTTGAATTTTGTCTTTCTTACAAAATCAATAACACCAACAGTGCAGTGCTGCTTGCGTCTGTCAATCACTCAATCGATTCAATGTTTGTTTGGTTGTTGATATTTTGTTAATGATAGACTTCTAGATGTAATTTGCGTAATCACGTTTCACGTTATCATGTTTATAGGGCGCTAGTTCAGAATCATATCCAGACTTTGACCCGTAACTCCGGCGTGGAGATACCCTACTAAAACACAGGGAATAATTTTCCTGGTATCGCATCGCAATTTGCTATGCATTTTTGCATGACTGCTATACAAAATATCTTTTGTGTAGCAGTTTTCTTCCATAGAAATTTACAGAATTTCATTTTAAATATTCATCCATCGGCTGAAATTGCTAATCAAAAAATTTGAGGAAAATTATTCCCTGAAACATACCCAAAATCAACTAAATCTTCATCAATTGTTCAAATAATGTTCATGATTCAAAAGTTGTTATGTTTCTCACCTGTTTTGTGTCAATTTCCTTATCTCTTTTGAAGTATTTTTCCTAAAAAAAAAGACCCTTCCTTACAGGTTTCACGGCAAACCGTTGCACAATACAGTACTGACGATGGGATGCGGGTGCGCGTTTGTGAAGTTAGGGACCGTAACTAGTATGAGCATCATCGTCATAATGTGAATTACTGTCATTACAAATTACATGAATTTAATGAGGATCTGAGATTACAGTTGCTAACTTCATGCACAGCGGGGTTATACATAAAGTATTCATCAAATAGCACTAACCTTTGTGAATATTAGACCTTTAATTATGATAATATCCAACAAAGTTTTAGAAGAATTATGAAATGTTGCTGGTAAACTTCTTCAAATTGCATATTTGAAATCAGACACAGGGACCTGTCCGGACACAACGCCTAGGTATAATACTTGACGCAGATATTATTAAAATAAATTTAAATAGTTACTGAGAAGATAATAACCTAAAAGAATCATGCATGATTTTGGGTGCCCTCATAAAGGTTGACTCTATCTGAAAGTCATAGTGAAGCTCATATTTTGAATAAAGTATACTGTAGCCACGTGAAATCCATTTCATCAAGATCGAAATATGTTTTGTTGATTGGTACGCTTTAAAGGCATCGTTTATTAACAATGTTAAATCTGAGGTGCATGGCCCTACGTGTTATCAGTGTCTGTTATATATAGAAGCCCTAAACAAATTGCGCTTCAAAATGATCATGGAGTGCCTCAAAAAAGTAAAAATCTTTGAGTGACCGGTATTACCATTATCATTTCCCCAAATAGACTGTAGTAGCAGTGCTATATAAACCGTTTTTGAAATTTCAATTTCCAATCATAAATATCTTGATAATCAGACAGGCAATCAGCTTGTAAAAGTCATGGGGTTCCTGCCTGACCTAAAGATTTATAATTATCTTTGCAGCATGAGCTAAATCCAGGATTTTGTTTCAGAATAAATAAATATACGCAAATATTTTCTTTATTACAGGAATCAAGCATGATGGCTCCATGTGTGACACATGCCGTATGCAACCTATATATGGCATGCGTTGGAAGTGTGCTGAGTGTCCGAACTATGACCTTTGCTCCGTCTGTTACCATGGTGATAAACATCATCTCAGACATCGTTTCTACCGCATCAACACACCAAACAGTGAAAGGTAAAGTATAGTGCTGAAAAATAAATCATACACATGTATGATGGGACAAGAAAGTTTAAAGGCATCGTTTAACAATGTTAAATCTGAGATGCACCGCCCTACGTGTTATCAGTGTCTGTGATATGGTGTTATATTGAAGCCCTAAAAAAATTGCTCTTCAAAATGATCAAGAAGTGCCTCAAAAAAGAAAAAAACCTTTGAGTGACCGGTTTTACCATACTAATTTTCCCCAATGGACTGTAGTGTTATGAAAACCGTTCGGCAAACACAAAATTTGATTTTGATTTTCAATCATAAATATCTTGATAATCAGAAAGGCGATCGACTTTTAAAAGTCATGGGGTTCCTGACTGACTTGAAGGTTTATAATTATCATTGCAGCATGAGCTAAATTAAGGATTTTTTAAAAGGATCTTAGACAAAGTTACCAAATCCCTTTATACGGAAGTTACCAATCTTCAACGGGGTTTATAATATCAAAGGTGCATTTTTGATAGCTTTTGAAAAATTGTTTCAAATCAACAAATTTAAGTGGTTATTGGAGATACAGAATAAGATATAGATGTTGGAAATCTTGTGGCCCTTTTTTGATATCCGTCTGACGTTATGATGATAACTTTTGGTTTGGAAGTCATTGATACTGACGTGGCATCTAGATCAAATTCTTTTGGAAGTCATTATCCTTACACAAATTCAAGCTAATCATACAGGAAACCCAACTCTGCTAGATGGGAATAGACATTTTGTTTAAGCTGCATAAAGACAATGTAGTCCTTTAAGCTACACATTACACATACGTTCAGGGTTGGCAGATTCTGGGAAATATTGGTAAATATTAGTACCGGGAAATAATGGGAAATACCGAGGAATACCTAGGAAGTACTCATATACATACCATTGAAATTGTATACTGTGGAAAAGCAAAAAGCAATCTGATGCATTTCCATCAATGAGACTTGAATGCTTCTTAGTTGTTTATTTTCATTTATGGGTTTCTTAGAATTGGCAGTGTTTGTTTTGATATTCTATTCGTATTCTAAAGACACACATACTGTACAAGACATGCTGGACTCCTTCTGTTGGCTTTAATACTCAAGAGCTGTCAATCTTCTTGCAGTACATACGCTGTGAAAAACCAAACTAAATCAACATACAATCATATATGAATTCTGCTGAAGTGCAAAAATGTAAATGGTCAGGCTCCATTTACAATGGCACCATCTAAACTACAATATACGTCATGAATATTTACAAGTACTACGCAGTTGATATGATAGTGGACTAGGGTAATAGGTTAACTCTCTGATCGGCATTGAATAAGCCTAATTTTATCTATTGTCTATTGTTTAAACATATTTGTGGCTTTTACCCAGTAAATAAGATCAATTGATCGATCTGTAAATGAAAACAAGTCAGAAAAATTCTAGGAACCAGTGGGATTTGAACCTGCCATCTTCTGCTTGCCGGCCAGCAACTCTACCACCAGGCCATCACTGGTCCATGGCACCGTCACGATGAATTAAAAAAAAAATCTAGTTCCTGTGACCGTTTTTTTGTTGGTTTTTATTCAGGGTTGTGCTGGAACCACGTCGCAAGAGCAAGAAGATCATGGCCAGAGGTATCTATCCAGGCGCCCGGGTAGTCCGTGGTGTTGACTGGGAGTGGGAGGACCAAGATGGCGGCATGTCGCGACGAGGAAAGGTCACTGAGGTCCAGGATTGGAGCGCCACAAGCCCCCGCAGCGCCGCCTACGTCATCTGGGATAATGGAGCAAAGAACCTCTACAGAGTTGGATATGAGGGAATGGTAGGTCATATGAAAAGTTTGTCCATTACAAGTCACAGTTAAAACCCATCTGTACTAGTTTATAGGAGGGATTAGATCACCCTGCAAGGTCACTGACAGGTGGCTATCTCATCAACTCTGCTCTCAATTAACATAAGAAAAAGAGGATCGTGGGGGACCAGTAGTCACCGCTTAGGCATTGTTTTCTATATAGAGGGAGCAAGTAGCTACAAGTAGTACAGTGGGGCTTTAAAAGTATCTTAGTTCTGCCTACTTCCATTTGTTTCTGGCTTTTTGAAGGTATTTATAGTTTTGTCATCATTCTCCAGTTTCATTTTGAATAAGTGTACGGAAAAGTCATCAAACTGTTAAAAAATATTGAACACATACTACTAACATTTTATTGTAGACATTGATAAGCATTTTCATTACCATGAAAAGTGAAATTTTAATCAATAAATTCTTTATGTTTTACTTTGAATCATGTAACGTTTAGTGGGGATGGGACAAAAAGAAAGGCGTGACAAGCCCCCATTTCACAGGTTTTAGAAATTCAGAAAAGTATGTTTAGAATATATTGATGAGGTTGGGATACTTCGATTGAGAAAAAAAGTTCCGTCCCTTCTCCCCTTCCCCCTTTGGTGTCCTTGCCAAATTTCCTATGATGTGGCACTATCCCTGACAATGTAATAGGCAGAAATTGGTACTGAGCATTATGATTATGATGACAAAGGTTTAGATGTTGATATTGCTAAATTGTATTGATTTTGATGTGAAAGTTTTGATTTAAAGCCCAGATCATCATTACCATTGGGATGGCTTGAAATACAGTGAAACCTGCTTTAGCGACCACTTGTATATAACAAGCACCTGTCTATAAAGACTACTTTTTTTTTTTTTTTTTGACAATCGTTTCTCATAGAAACCTATACTGTCTATAAAAAAACACTTTAATTGTCACCATTGAGTGGTCTGTATATACAGGTTTCACTATACTTTTATCCTGATCAAGTTTATTTTTATTTCTTTCTGCTTCAGAGTGACTTGAAGGTTGTGAGCGATGCTAAAGGAGGCTACTTCTACAGAGATCATCTCCCGAACCTAGGTAAAAGCCCATTACTTGCTAATAAGGCTACCCATGGAAACCCAAGACATTTAATTCAATTCAATTCCCTCTAACATTCAGAATAGCTCTTCAGTATCTGTTTTTAGAAGCAATATAAAGTATTTTTATTATCTAAATAGTAGTCTCAATATTAGGCTCTTTTGTTAGTTTGTTTATTAAGTAAGGTTACTAGGTACTTCATTTCTTATCTTATCTTGTGTTCCTTTTTCTTTTTTTGTGTGATGTTTTTTGATGTTACATATCATATCTTGTTTTCTTAAAGGGTATGCCTCTTACAAGGTTTGTTTCCTTTTTGGCCACTGCCTCTGTATTGTCATAGGTTTGTCTGTTTTTATATGTTTTTTTTTATCTGTTGATCTCTTGAGGAGAAGTAAATGAAACTGGAACTGAAACATTGCCCTGTAGATGGGAAGCTTTTATGCTCAGGTTTTACAATGCATCATTTCTCAAAAGGCATACATAAGGTGGTCCATTTTATGGGTAGATCTGTAGAATCGAACAAAAACAGTGATGCAAGACCTCAATCTATATTCTTGACAACAGACAATGCCAATATTAAAATGTTGTTGATTGTGTTGTTATATAAACTGTTCACTGTCCCCATCTCTTGATTGACATGACTGAATGAAGATTGTGTTGCTCTAGCAAACTGATGTCTGGGATTGATTGTATGGTGATTATCTCAATGATGGCACAAAGTACCCTGCTTGAAAGTTAAAAGACAGTCCAACTGTTGTAATCAGTTTATTTGTATCAAAGAAAAAAAAAGACTAACAGAATTGCAAGAGTTTGGAATGTTTGAAATTTGAGATCACTAAGTCTATGTGGTAGTCAAATTGGCAATCATGGACAACTCTCCAACTCGTCGTGCATAAAAATTGTCATAAATTTGTTTTTCTGTTAAAGAAAAGACCTTACTGAGTCATATATTTTAAAAGAAAAATAATTTTCTTGTTATTTTGTGTTTTGGAACAAACTGGAAAGTTGTCCAGCATTACACCAAAGTGACATTACCGTTTTAGTTGATTTGAAATTCCCATATACATGTATGTATCAGAACTTTCAGAAAATCAAAACTTTCTTATAGTTTGTCCAATTTCGTTCAAACTTTCACTAGTTTGCTGCTCTACCTTTTCTGCTTTCTTTTCAAATAGTTTGCTATTAGGATTGAATTCCCCTCAAACTATTTCAAGACTGTAGTCTTTTTAGTTACTATATTGAAAGTACTTGTAGACATAGAAATCTCTCTTTCAGAACCATGATATGTGATTGCTAGTATCAAGGGGTCAGTGACACAAAGACTTAACTCCATTTTGGCCATTTTGAGAAAAAGTGGTTTATGTGTCACTGAGCACTTTGGCCTTAAGAAGTTAAGTCTATGTTTCACTAGCCGTTGACTTCAATGGGGTGTTGGGTGGAGACAAGTCTTTGTGTTTCCTAGAAATCCCACATTTTTCTGAACATTTTGATATCAAATACTCATTTTGGCAAAATATGGAGTTACGTCTTTGTGTCACTGAACCCTTGGTATAATGGTTTTCTTTTTCATTGTGTTTGGACCAGGCGAGCAAGGACCAGGTAGTCGTGGAGTACATGGGCTGTTCTCGCTTGGAGACCAGGTGAATGTGGACCTGGAACTGGAGATAGTCCAGACCTTGCAGCATGGCCACGGGGGATGGACCGATGGAATGTTTGAGGTGAGATCCAAAGGCCAAAACTCTGTGGTCCATATTTCTACTAATAGACCATTTTTGTAATGTAATCAAATTTGATTTATACATCTTTGTTAAGTGCCTCTTTACGAAATGTATTTCAATGGTCAGAAAGCGAATTGCATACAATGTTGCTAGGTAGGACAAACATGGCTTGTGACTGCTTGTCCTACCTAACCACATGGAATACATAATATACAAATTGCATACATTGTTGCATTAGAAGAGAAGATTAAAAAAATGAGTGAGAAGTGAAGGGAAAACAAGAGTCAGCAAAAGCAGAGCTGCCAACTAGTACGGATTTCCCGTAATTGGTACGGAAATTAACGATCATTACGCCAGTACAGAATGTTGTCTAAAATAACGGATTAATTTTTTTGTTTTTTTGTTACAAGTGTGTGTGCGTATTTTTTGGGCGTAAATATGATTTATCGTAGTTAGCGCTGTGCAGTATGGCGGCCATCAAACATTCGCTGAAAAAGACAGAGAAGTATCAAATATTCTCTTAATAGAAGCCAATTTTTCATGGAAAACTGATGTGTCGTGATGAACTGGAAATCAATATTTAGCAACTTTGTGTGAGTAAAATCACCAAAAATGTCAAATAGTCATGCGCACAAGTGTGCGCACAGTGTTGGCGTGCCGTCTAAAAAATTTATAGGGCCGCATAGGAATTACTGATTTATTCCCCAAATTACTGAATTTGAGCCTTGTGATTACTGATTTTCTGTTCTGAAGGTTGGCAGCTCTGCAAAAGAAACACAAGAAAACAAGGGGATCTAAATACTTAGGAAAGATCTTGCTGCTAACAGTAAATAGCCAAAAGGCAGGGTATTTAATACAGACAACGCTACCACTGCTGAAATGTATTTTAAGTTGCGCCATCTTTGGGTAAAGGCGTACATAGAGCGTTTTTTGGGGGGGTTTTGTACCCAAGCATCATCAACACGTGTGTCATGCAGTTGGTGATGCACTATGGGACGCGGCTGTCTACACATCGGAGCATTTTTAGCTGCAGATGGCAGTATACATGTACATAAATCTGAAGTAGTGTCAGTAGAATACCCTGTCTTTACAGGGATCTGGTAACATTGTCTCAGATTCTGAAACAAAATCCTAGATTTAGCTCATGCTGCAATCATTAATTATAAACCTTTGGGTCAGTCAGGAACCCCATGACTTTTACAAGCTGATCGCCTGTCTGACTGATTATCAAGATTGGAAATCAAAACCAAATTCTGCGTATTCCTATTAAACGTTTTTCATAACACTACAGTCTATTGGGAAAAACGAGTATGGTAAAACCGGTTACTCAAAGTTTTTACTTTTTTGAGGCACTTCTTGATCATTTTGAAGCACAATTTTTTAAAGGCTGCAATATTACACCATATCACAGACACTGATAACATGTAGGGCTGTGCATCTCAGATTTAACACGATGCCTTTAAGCCATACTAAAATCTGATTTTGATCCGTCTTTCCACAGACGCTGGGCACTACTGGGACTGTCGTTGGCATTGATGAAGACCATGATGTGGTGGTTTCCTATCCTAGTGGTAACAGGTATGTACACTTGTATATCTTAAATGATTGATCACTGAGTTGCTGTTTGGTATTACTTTGCACAAGAGTATAGGAGGGTATTATAATTCTATGTTTGGGACTGCCACTGATCATCTTTACCAAATAGATGGGTGCCAGCCTGAGGATCAAACCAGTGATTGTCGATAAATAATATATAATGACTTAACTCTTGTATATCATGTGTTTGGAGCCAGAAGGGCTTACTAACTCTGTGTTGAAGTATGTGAGCTAATGCTAATTTCTGGGACCTGTTTCACAAAACCTTTTTCAATGAAAAATTACAAAAATCAGTGACAAATCTGCTGATAACCAATCAGAAGCAAGGATTTCACTAGCTTATAACAAAAACTGTCATTTGTCACTGATGACAAGTTTTGTGAAATGGGGCCCAGGTGGTCTCGATACTCAAGGGGTAGATAAGCTGAGCTATCTCATTTTTATCCAAGGTTAAAGACCCAGAGAATACATGGTTGAAAACCTTTTTGGGAAGTTATACAAGAGTAAAATGCCCTTGATATGCTTGTACTTTTGTGCATGTTTTCTTTGGGGTTATCAAAATGTCTCCACCTTGCAACAGATGATATCATACAAGAAAGTGAACAGTGATCCGAAATGTTCTTCGGTGAACATTGCTCTTGGCTTTATTGCATTAAAGATATAGGATAAAGGTTAGGTTTGTAATTGGGTAGTAGGTTAGTCTCAGGTTAAGTTTAGGATTAGGTATAATGTTTGGTCCTTGGTTTAAGTTAGTAAAATGGTTAGCGTAGGTCATTGACTGAACGCAGGACAACTGTCACCATAGCATGTATCATACAACTATAGAGAGGGCGTCAGATCTGACAGTATTTACAGTATCGCCTTTCTGCATGGTCGCGCATTTGGAACCGATTGAGGGAAGGATTGCTTTGTGCAACACAATGAATTTGCAAAATTACCAATTTTTGGTCTTGATTAGCTCCATGAAAACTTTTAACACCGGTATAGACATACATGCCAACTGTTCAGATTAAAGAGGAACATTCCTCTTTTTGGGAGAAGATAATTATTATTTTAATGCAGGTGTTCCTCTTCCTGTACAAATTTGTCTGTAGTATTGAATAGGAGAGTTAGGATTTTTCCTCTTTTTTTTGAAAATAGCATAATTTGTACAGATTTCTGATTTTCAAATGTTGGCATGTATGTATAGATTAATCTTGCTCTGGAAATGGGTAATTGATCATGAAGCCTTTGGAATATCTATCCTGTGATAAATACATTGGTGCACAGGGAGATTATTTGTGTGGCATAGAAAGAGTTAAAAAGACATTTAAGTTCTGGTAGTGCAAATGATAAAAAATTAAATATTTATAAAATTTGTTGTTTGTTGAAAGTCAGTTTGGAAGAAAGCCGTATTATAAATGTCCACTGAAAAGGATTGCTCATCAAACATGTCAAATGCCCTCATAATTATCGAATCTGTTGTGGTCTAGTGGATAAGTCACCCAACTGGAGATCACAAGGTATGGGGTTTGAGTCCCGCCGCGGCACTAGTGTCCTTTGGCAAGATGTTATTCTAAATTTGCCACCCTTCACCCAGGTGTTAAATGAGTACGGGGTAGGATGCAAAAGTTAATGTGGTTTAATAGATGAGCAAGCGTGTGCTTCAATGATGCCTGGCTGGAAAGCTCCCCAGGGAGCGGAGAAATGTACATACATTGTGTGCGGGCAAGCCTGAATCGATGACTGTGGTAACAAAATATCTGTAAATCGCTTAGAGACACCATCGATGTATTAAGCGCTATATAAAAGCGGAATATTATTATAATCAGAGATAGCTGAAGTTTAGACAAACATTAATTGTAATTTGATAGTTGGTTATTTTTATTGACATATTGAAACTAGAAAATCTGGACCATTAACTCTCTCTCTCTGTGTGATAGGTGGACATTCAATCCAGCCGTCTTGACCAAGGTCAACCCTACGACCGCAGCCAACCTGACGGTGCGGACCAACGACCCTGCCGTGGCTTCTCAGTTCCAGATTGGAGACCTGGTCCAGATCTGCAGTGACCTGGAACGGATGAAGATCCTACAACGGGGCCACGGAGAATGGGCAGAGGCTATGCTTCCCGTAAGACCATCATGAAATGTGTTCAAGGATTGGTATTGTTAAAGTAGTTATCCAAGGAAAATTCACGTCAACTGATAATTATGGACAAATTATATATGGATGGAAAGATTTTCTCTTGAAAAACATGAATAATTTGCTGACAAATCGTATAGATATCATGGAAAGGCGTAAAATGCAATTTTGTGGCTAGCTGTTCCATGCATGTGACGTCACAAATCTTGATTCCTCTACGGAGGACCGGATCTCAAAATCTGGATCTCAAAATTAACATTTTTTAAGAGATGATTACTGCGGGCCCCGAACATATTTTGCAGAGGGAAGTTGTTATATTGGATCAGTAAGGCTTCCTCTTCGCAGTGATATGAATTTTGCATCAATTCAAAAAACTTTTGATTCTTTGGGTGACTACCTTAAGCCCCCCCCCCCCCCCCCCATTGACATGTCATACAAAGCTGCAATGGAAATATGTGCTACTAAACACATAAGCGTAGTCACTTATCCCATCTGTTAAGATCAATAAATGTGATGGGTGCCATGCAAATGTCATTTAATTTTGCTGCGGCATTCTAAAAGATGTTTAAATTATCATGATTGAAGGAGGCCCTAGAGAAAGTGCATTAATTCCAAATGATAGACCTTGTGCTTTTCATAATGAAGGCTGTGGGTTTTGATTGACGCTGAGCCGTCGACTGAACCATGTTTTTTTCCTTCTCTCCAAATATGTCCCTTTCTGGTTACCAGGCGGAAGGATAGGACAGTGAGGTAAACACTGTACCTTGGGTGGAATGTTAATCAGTGGTGGTATTCTGAAAGCTCACTTTGCACTCGGTTAGGGAATTAGTATTCTGAAAGGTCACTTAAAGGTATCATTTAACAATATTTCCAGTTTTAAAAATCTGAGATGCATGGCCCTACGTGTTATAATTGTCTTTGAGTGACCGGTTTTACCATACATCCCTCTTTCAAATGAGTTTCTATCAAATATAGTTTTTCCATTTTGGTGTTATGAAAAAAAAACTTTCTTGTTAATTTTGATTTCCAAACATAAATATTGTGATAATCAGACAGACGATCGGCTTGTAAAATACATGGGGTTCCTGACTGACCTAAAGGTTTATTATTATGAGTTAAATCCAGGATTTTGAGGCAAAGATACCCAATCCTTTTAAGTGCCTTTTTTCCAGTTGGCAGGGGGTGTGTTGCGTGTATGCTTTGATACACGCATGTGGTGTGCACGCAATAGTTAAATGAGGACTTTTGGTATTCTGAAACTCAATGAGCAGTCAATTAACTTTAGAAAGATGAAATACTTTATCTGTGTTTTCAGTCCTCTTTTTTTGTAATACCACAAGCACTCATTAACTGTATTTTTTATATTTCATATTGGACGTTCAATTGCAAGAATGACACCTTTGGTTAAATGAGACTTACCTTCTTCATTTTGATATACCAGGGCTTTCTCAATTATAAGAAAAATTTGTTGCCAATTTGCAGCATCAATTTGTTGCCAATTTAATATATATAATAATAATAATAATTATAATAATTTGTATAGCCTGTCCTGAAAGGATTAATAATGATAAGCCTAATCTTGGTAAATAAGACCACAATATTATTTCTTGCTTACTAACTTGAAATGAAGAATTAAATACAAACATAAGTCACCTTTTTTTCTCTCTCCACACAGACTTTGGGGAAGATTGGTCGTGTTCAGCAGATTTACCATGACAACGATCTGAAGGTAGAGGTGTGTGGAACGTCATGGACCTATAATCCCACAGCTGTTACTAAAGTCGCCTCAGACTCCGCAGGATTAGGAAACTCCTCAGGTGAAAATTTACCAAAAGTGTGATATTTTGTTGAAATTTATGTTCCATTGTGATAGAAAAGATTTGCCTAGAATAAATGATTTTTATTTCATGATTTAACACCTGCAAACAAAGGCCTGTGTTTTGGAAAGCCACTTAACATTGGGTCTGGTTGAAACTCTCTGCCTAAATGCATTGATTAAGTCCACTGATTTTATGGAGTGCCAAATGTCAATTTCTACATCCTAGTCCATTCATTGTCATTTCTGTAACTTAATCAAAATATGTTACTATTCACATGTTCATTTCATGACTGTAGTATATAGCTATTTTTTAATTTGTCGACTGAAGACGGGAAGGCTTGGAGAAGGGCCATCAGGGAAACAACATGTCATACCCCACAGCGTGGGAAAACAGGCACAAAATGATGATGAGGTTTAATGTTATCTCTTATTTCCTTCCTACTCCTTAACTCTTTACCTATAGAATGCCAGGTTAAGTTTTTTTCAGGTTGATGTTATACATTATAGCGATACAATATTTAAATTTTTTCAGGTGGTTAATAAACTTTAACATTATGTATAAACACATTTGTTTCTTACACCCAGAAAATAAAGTTAGATTGATTGATCTGTAATTCTAAAAAAGTCAGAAATAATCTTGCAAAGTTAAACATTATTTCTGTTGTGTTTAATACAGAGAGACTCTCTGCCCTGCTGAAGAAGCTGTTTGAGACCCACATCAGTGGGGATGTCAATGAGGAGCTGGTCAAGGCAGCGGCTAACGGTGACGCCCACAAGTGTGAGGAGATCATGCAAAGGCCTGAAGCAAACGTAAGGATGCTTTCTTCTTCATTCATTCAACATTTTTATGCCTCCGTTACGAAATAGCCGGAGGCATTATGTTTTCGGGTTGTCCGTCCGTCCGTACGTACGTACGTACGTCTGTACGTACGTACGCACGTCCCGTTCCTGTGATCGCGTTATCTGAAGAACCAATCGATGGATTCCTGCCAAACTTTGGTCATGTATGTATCTTGCAGAGCCGATGAACTGATTAGATTTTGGGGTCACGAGGTCAAAGGTCAAAGGTCACAGGGCTCATTAGGTATGCAAAAACAGCTCGTGATCGCGTTATCTGAAGAACCGATTGATGGATTCCTGCCAAACTTTGGTCATGTATGTATCTTGCAGAGCCAATGAACTGATTAGATTTTGGGTCATGAGGTTAAAGGTCAAAGGTCACAGGGCTCAGTATGTATGCATAAACAGCTTGTGATCGTGTTATCTCAAGAACCGATTGATGGATTGCTGCCAAACTTTGGTCATGTATGTTACTTGCAGAGCCGATGAACTGATTAGATTTAGGGGTCATGAGGTCAAAGGTCAAAGGCCACAGCACACATTATGTATGCAAAAACAGCTTGTGATCGCGTTATCTCAAGAACCGATTGATGGATTCCTGCCAAAATTAGGTCATGTATGTTACTTGCAGAGCCAATGAACTGAGTAGATTCTTGGTTCATAAGGTCAAAGGTCAAAGATCATGGGCTCATTATGTATGCAAAAATAGCTTGTGAACGCATTCTCATTAGAACTGACAGATGGATTACTATTTAACTCAGGACATCTTGCAGAGCCAATGAACTGAGTAGATTTTAGGGTCATGAGGTCAAAGATCAAAGGGTCATATATGTATATGAGAAATTGCTTGTAATCACGATATTCTGAGAACCTGTCAATGGATTACAATTGAACTTGAATTCGAAAAATTTCTTCTGTTTTGGTTTGTAAAATTGCTCTATGACGGAGGCATCATTTTCGACTGCGCGCAGTCGAATTCCATCTAGTTTCACAAGAAAGTGACATTAAATTATACAATTACATCTTCCCAACCTTCACAACACAACATTAGGAACAGTATGAATACAAAACAAAATAATATAATACCTGTGACAAACACGGTCGTAGGTTCTAATCGAAATCACGCCTTCACATATCATCAGCGAGTCATCTGCTCATGCGCATAATTAACATACAGATGTATGAGATTCGTAACAATATTGTTCGGCTGTCAGAAGGGCATCAGCGCATTGCACCGCTATGCTAAACGCAGACATACACAGTTGCTTTATTAAAGGGACTTGGTAACATTGTTCAGATGAGAGAAAATGGTGCTAAGGTAGTAAATTCAATGCTAGATGTACAATTAAAGATAATCTGAAATTTTTAGTGAAAACAGACCATTATTAATGATAAAAATTGGGAAAAACTGATCGGATCAATTCCTTAATTTTCCCAACTATATTATTATCATTAAAATAAATTTTAGGTGAATGTAAATCATCTCAAAGCAATGAATTGGCTCTATATACCATTCCAGACATTTGAGTGTTGAAAGATTTAAAAAAAACTGTTTTATGTGTTATTTTCATTGAAAAATGGTTGGGATAATTCAATATTGGTTGGGAGAATTTACTGTTAGAGGGAGTTACACATTGACAACTTCAAAGAAAATCATAAATATCTTTGTGGTTTGAGAATTTTTTCTGGATTTTTTGCATGTTAGAGGGTTAGTACAGTAGAAGGAATATAACAAGTAACATTTCATACAAAATTTAGGCAGTTTTTTCATCAACCTTTAACAATGTTATCGAGTCACTTTCAGGTTAATGTCCAGTTTGAGGGACGTACTGCCCTCAAGGTGGCTAACCAGAATAGCCATGGAGATGTTCATCCAAATCAGTGCTCTTACCAAATCTTGATTAACCTTTTCCCTCCCAGGTCAATGTCCAGTTTGCTGGTCACACAGCGCTCCAGGCAGCTAGTCAGAATGGCCACGGAGATGTCTTGAAGGTTCTCATCCGACACAATGCTGATATGGAAGTAGAGGTAATATATATATTATTTAATTCTTTCAATTCTCATTTATTACATTCTCAGTTAAAATTACATTGATACAAAAGATACAAAATAATTCATAAACAAATTTAGAAAATGAAATGGGGAACTACATAAATAAAGCCCTTAGGCCTTGTACAAGCGTAGTTCCCAAAGCATTCATAGCATAATGTAAAGCAAGGATAACAAAAAAAACAAAAAAAACAAAAACATGATGGTACATGTAATAATTTTTTTAGAAATAAAAGCCCATACAATTTTTTATAACTTGAACTCCACAAATAGTCATCATGATTTTTCTGATTTTAGGTGATGAATATGAAGATGGTCTCAATTTTATGCTTTTGGAAATTCCTTTTCTTAAGGTTTAGGACCAGGGGGTGTTTCACAAAGACTAAGTTTGACTAAATCGAATCAAATTAATGCCACTGTTTTCTCTCACCATTATGATCCTTAGATGATATTTTTTCCTTCAATAATGAATCATCAAAAAATAAAAAATTTGTATATTTGTGACCATGATTTGTATGTCCCTTGAGAGACAAATGCTAGTAAATGGTGAGAGCAAACAGTGGCATGAACTTACAGTCAATCTTAGTCTTTGTGAAACACCCCCAAGGTATGTGTGGATGAACTGGAAATGTTCCTTTTCCTGCAAAAAACTCCCACAGAACAATTCATGAAATGTGCTTCTCTCTGTAACTTCAGATAAGACTGCACTCAAATTGCAGTTGTTTACACAAACATAGCAAAATTTACACACAATAATTGCATTATACAAGAACTATATGTTGTTGCACTGGGTCTCTGAGAGTGTGAATGCAGTTGGAATATACAAGGGATTCTGCACTCTAAAACTTGGTGTCCAGAAACTTCTTATTGATGACAATGGATTTTTAACCTAGATGTAAAGGGTGCTTTTTGCTTTCAAGATATAATGAATATCAAAATTTACCGGTGCTCCCGGTAAATTTTGATAAATTTTAAATAGCGCCTACGGCCATACAATGATAGCTGCGACCATGAAAATCAGTCAGAATATGCAGTTGTGATATATAATTTCCAAACGGGAATAGCCAATCGGTCGATTTTAGTTGAGAAACATTGTTTTATAGCTAAACCTTTATCTTGACCTTGAGAGGGAGCTATACAACATTGAAAGCTTATTACTTAAATTTTCATCACTTTAGACTCGATTTCAACCGCGACAACGATCACTGAATATTGTAGGATCACATATGCTTCCAATATGTTCATTTGAACCAAATTCATGACCCCATACCAAAACTTTGTATTACCTTTAATGTAACATATAGTTTACTATTATCTCAGTGATTGATTGAAGTTCATTGACAAATAAGTGGCCAGTATTGAGAGCTTGCTTTTTCGCTGATACAATTATTGAATGGTTCCATTGCTTTGATGATTCTAGCTAAATGCTGCAGAATCACTGCTTCAAACTTAGTAGACCTCATTCATTGGTATTTTATTTGTATGTCATCAACTTTTCAAGATATTTTATTGAAAAAAAATTCTGTAGTACGAAGACATAGCTTTAAGTGTCCGGTAATAGGTTAACACACAATAAGTGAATGATACTGTGGGATGCGTGTTCCACGGTTCAAATCATAGCCAACAAAAATGAAGAAGTTGAGACGCCATGGTGAAGTGCAATGAAGTTTATTTCGTTTATAAAATAAAAACGGAAACCCCTGCATGGTACAGAAAAATACAACAAAAGCATCATAAGTACCATAATCACATTATAAAAATCATGCAAGTCATCATATGGATTGTGATTAAATTTCTGTAGACAAATGCAGTACAGTTCAGTTCAGTTCATATACATTGAAATGCAATTAAGAAGCCAAGAAATAAAATACATAGTATTCAATATTATCTGTAAATACATGTATAGATATCAAACAGTCATGACTCCAATCAATATTATTGAATACATAACATAAATATTCCTACGCAACTCACCCTAGACTAAATGTCACACGGGTAAGAAAAATCATACGTCATCGTCAATTGTAGCTTTGTAGCGTGGTGGTGATAAAGCAACCTCAACTTATGCCTCAGCGGCTAAAGTAGGAAAAAACATGAAACGTCAATTATATACTATGGACTTTTACATTTAAATCAGTATTTGTTGTAAAAATCCCCATGATATATAAACCGAGTCTGATACTTACAGACTACTCATCAATCCCGTAAATAACAGAAGAATACATTTAACATGCCTCGGTACGTTTCTACCGTACAATGAATAAAACATCTCATTACATAATATACACTTAATGAACAGACTCTTATATTACGGCATCATAAACACTGGTAGCAAAGTAAAACTCAATAGCATCAAATATATTCAATTATCTCTACATACCTGTTTAAATGGTGCAACACAAACAGGCTACATTGACGGCAAAGCTTAAGCGTGTCGGAGTAAAAATGGAGACAACCAGCTTCGCTTAAAGCAAGTGAACGAATGTCCGCTATATAAAATACCCATCAGGGCCTTGCCTGACATAGCGCGCATTCGTAAGGACTACTTTTCGAACATGAATGCACATCCTTCTGAACTAAGTATAATAATCAAGTTTAGGATAGAACAATAAAGCATACATGAGAAAATATCATAATTTCATTACGGTCCATATAACTTTACCTACAAACAATTTATAGATTAATAATCAAGGGACTACTTTGTCCTTAACGTAAGTACACAGACCCACGTGACCATTAAAGTAATGAGGCTTCGGGTCTGACACGTATGTTTTAAATTAGACACACCCAATATGCTGTACGGTGTTCTTAAATAAAAAACCAAGTTTTGAAATGGTAAAAACGAGTTTGGTCACTACAATACCATTACTTCGATGATTCTAGCTAAATGCTGCAGAATCACTGCTTCAAAGTTTGTGAACTTTATTCATGGGTATTTTATTTGTATGTCACAACTTTTCAAAAAATTTCTTTGAAAACAATTTCTGTAGTACGAAGACATAGGGTTGAGTGTCCGGTAATAGGTTAATACATTATACATGATAAAAATAGTGAAAAATGTGGCAGACGGGCGGTTTTGACCATCGGAAATTTAGATGCATATGAATGATTTAAATCAACATTTTATGCCTTTAAAAATAACTTTTTAAAAACATTTTCATAGACGCTAACGGCTTTCCATAAATGTTAAGTCCAACTTAGAAATAAGTTTAAATTAGGATCTTTGTGAAACACTCCTCAGAAATGTTGTTTTCCTTTCCTGCTACATAGGATAAAGATGGTGACCGTGCTATTCATCACGCGGCCTTCGGTGACGAGCCTCATGTCATTGAACTCCTCCACGAAGAGAGTGCTGACCTCAACGCTCGTAACAAACGCCGCCAGACGGCCCTCCACATAGGGGTCAACAAGGGTCACTATGGGGTCGTCAAGATACTGCTGGAACTGGCCTGCCACCCAAGTCTCCAGGTCAGATTTTTACTTTATTCTTATTGGATTGGTGTCTGGTTTATCAGTATATTACTTGTTTATCAATAGTCAAACTTATAGTCAAGCTGAAATCTCATCTTTTTTAACAATACCTGCACTTGGCACTATGACACTCATCCAAACTCAAATAGACGGCGTTATATAAATGCCTATTATTATTATTATTATTACACTTTCACCCATTATGTGATGTGGGGAGATAAATCATACCTTAAGAATTAATCTTAGTATATATAATTGAAATTGTTGAAGTGAGAAGTTGATTAGTTTTTCATTGTGTGATAGAATCAGATAATGAAGCTTTGGAGTTGCTTTCAATGAACGATATTTTTATGATTGCTTTGATATCGAGCATAAAAAACATTAAGACTTGACTAATAAAAGTATGAGAGGGAGGGAGAGAGAGGGAGAGGGAGGGAGGGAGGGAGGGAGGGAGGGAGGGAGGGAGGGAGGGAGGGAGGGAGGGGGAGAGGGGAGGGAGGGAGGGAGGGAGAGAGGGAGGGAGGGAGGGAGGGAGGGAGGGAAAGAGAGAGAGAGAGAGAGGGGGGGGGGGGGGGGGGGAGAGGAGAGAGAGAGAGAGAGAGGGGGGGGGGGGGGAGGGGGGAGATGGAGATGGATTTGGGTAATTTGGTATGTGTAATATCAAAGACAAAGATGAATTCTCCTGGAAAGTAAAAAGAACAAAAGAAGAATATTTATCAGTGTCCTCTATATGAACATGAAGATATAAACTGTATGTTGGTGAAAGTGTAAGCATGTGTTTATAATCTCTCATTCAAAGATGCATATAAGGTCAAAGTATAATTTGACTCAAAAGGTTGTCAAAGGCCACGAGAGGGCACTTGCTAAGAAATGAAGCATTTATGATCCATTCAGAAATTCCTTTTTCACGAATGGGATGAAGGGTGACGTGTCCCTTTAAAGATGACTCAAACTAGAGATGCTAGCCTGGTAGTAGCAGCTAAGAATACCAGGAATAATTTGGATATGGGAATGACGTTACCTTTTCAGTCCATGACTGGAGCTCTCTCCGTGGCATCCTTCTCCCAGGGTAGCCCAACGCTGATAAGATTAGATTCTGACACGTGTCCGTGCAATTTTCATTGCACTATTAAACCATTAGCCAGTCAAGCCTCATTTCGGTTACAGCAATTTATCAGCCGTGAATTGAAATGAAATATGGAAGGAGAAGAGGAGAATTAGCAGTGAGGGAATCCGACACGGAAGGTGATACTTCTCAGTGGGGTATGGAATGATGAGGGTGATGTGAAAGAGGGGGAGGGGGGGGGGGGGTGATTGAGAGTTGGAGGGGGGTGCGGGGTTGAGGAGCTTGATGCTTGAGTCATGCATACTCCGGACGGTGGCACGGGTGCTAATGTCATTAGTAGCATTTACTGTATGCAACAGGGGCAGAAAGAAGATGGACGATGGATGATTAGCCGTGTCACTACCGGCGACTACGCACGGAGGAGCTCCTGCGCATTCTAGGGGCTGTCGCATTCCGATGAGGGCGGCAGTCACGATGGATAGCGTCAGGTGATGGCGCTGGATGCTCAGCCGCGGACTCTGCGGCAGCTCCCTCGATCACAAGCCAGCCAGGAGAACGACGGCAAAAGCAAATCAGCATGACGCCCCAAATTAGCCAGGCAATCATTCTCTTCTTGCAGCCTCTCCCTCCGTTGTAATTAAACAGATATTTTTGTGGTCCTGCGCTTCGGAAGCAAGAATGCGATATGTGCTACCAGCCACCATCTGCCGATGCCTTAATACAGCCGATGCCTTAATACAGCGTTGTGCTTGGGTTGGACTCCATGTCACACTCATGTTTTGTTACTAACGAACCTAGTCTCACCCTGGAATGAATTGCGAGGAAGGGGGTAATAGAAGGGGGCGCTAAATTGGTCTCAAGTAGCCCTGTAGGGGAGGTGACACCCATGTCTTCTGCGGAATGTTCCTTAGCCACTTTGTCCAAGTCCTCCACACCTGTCCTTCCACCTCAAACCCTGACATAAATGTTCTCTAGAATGTATGCAAAGTGAGACGCTCTGCACATTTCCCTCGGATAGGGCCTCATCCTGTCATGTTTCATATGAATATGATTCCTTATTTGACCTTCCAAACCCAAGACTAGGTCTAATGAATTCCATTCTTATGTTGTGAAACATTGCTAGCCATAGCGAAACTTGAGTAAGGTGAAAATATAATGCCTCATGTATACATGATAAATGACAGTTGTTGTTATAAGCTACTGAAATCCTTGCTTCTAATTGGTTATTAACAGATTTGCCACTGATTTTCGTCATTTGTCATTGATGAAATTCTTTGTGAAACACCCTCCAGGTACGCATCACTTTCCTTTGGGCAAGTTTTAGATCTGTTCCCTTTGCTGTAGAGAAACTTGTCATGATGAACCAAACTACATGCTACAATAACAACCCTCAATGTTGAGATGTACAGGTGTATACATGCATATCTCTTAATTCTCTCTTATTTATGACCTTTATTTCATGCAAAGCTTCAAGAACCAATGAAAAGTGCAACCTCTTCTGTATTATAGATCGATTCAGTTTCCATGCTTCATCTAGGTAAGGGCCATCCAAGACTTAGAGCAAGACAAGAGATAATTTGATGTCTAATGTAATCAGACAGACGCAAGGCCATCCTTGAACTAAAGCGAGCATATTTTACCTATTATTTAGCATTCTCGATAATAATATTAATCAGGATTTATATAGTGCTTAGTATGAATTACTCTCTTGTAATGCTTTACAGATATTATTACCCCAGTCACCAGATTCTTTCATGTACAATGTGCACCATCTCCGCTCCCTGGGGGTATTCCTACCATATGGTCACAGTGAAGGCATATGGCAATTACTTACATAAAGGCTTTCGTCATCCTACCGGGTCCCTATTTCTCTCTTGGGTATGGAGTGGCAAATGTAGATGAAAGCCTTGCCAATGGACATAAGTGCAGTGTCAGAGATCGAACCTACAACCTTTGCATTTCGAGTCAAGTGGTTAGACCACTCGACTATGACGCATCTTTCTCCCCCCCATCAGTAATCGGTGTATCCTGTATATCAACATTTTTTGCGGGCGTGTCGTAAGTACCGGTATGTGACCTTCGTGAATCAAGAGAACTGATCAATCAATCAAACATGTACACCCTGCACATGAACATGTGACCCTCCTCATCTCCTACTAAAACTAGAGGAAAAAAAGGGGAGGAGACATAACCAGTTATTTCAACACTACTAAAGCCATACTTGAAGTTTGGGAAATGTTCATATGTGAAGTGATCCTGCATGGATGTACAGTGTCCATGTCATCAGTGTCTCTCTCACCGGCCTTGTTTCAAGCAGTAATCATATTACTCATCAACCGGATACATGTATATGTTGTCTCTCTTTCAGTGCCGAGATCGGGTTCAGACCGTGTAGTTTGAGTCGGATCGTGTTCTCTGAGTCGATCTAGGGTTTAAATATGGAGCGGGCAAATATGGAGCCCTTCTGTGTATGTATGGTATGAAACACAAAGTTGGTCATATCTGAACAGGGCATATAATAAGAATCACATTTGTAAAGCGCTTGATACTATGTTTCTAAGTGCTTTACATTGTAATTATTATTATTCAATTGCTGACCTGCACAAGATAGTGCACACACTCTGCTCCCTGGGGAGTATGCCGGCTAGGCTCCATTTTACAAGCGCACATATACCAATCCGACCACATTAATGTTCACATCCCATGTAACACCTTGGTGGAGAGTGGCAAATATAGATCAATGTCTTGCCAATGAAAATTATTGTCTTGGCGGGACTTGAACCCTGAATCATGTGATCCACGGCCCGGTAACGTATCCACTAGTCTACGCCACCTCTACATAGACGATTGACTTTGGCTATCCTGACAGCTATTTGACATAATTAGGAGCAACGTGTTATAAAAGCCATTATGATTGTCCAGCAGACCCACGTCAATCCAATACTGGTGTGTGAGTTTGATAACTGGTCTACTATCTTGACATGTCAGCAATCTGAGTGGGTCAGAGTAGAGAGGGAGGGAGAGAGAGAGAGAGAGAGAGAGAGAGGGGGAAAGGGAGAGGGAGAGGGAGAGGGAGAGGGAGAGGGAGAGAAGGGAAAAAGAAGAGAGGCTAAAAGAGAAAGAAAGAATAGGGAAGTAGAATGATTGAGAATGAGAGAGAGAGAGAGAGAGAGAGAAAGAAGGAGATAGAGATATTGAAATATAGAGAGAAAGAGAAAGAGTGAGAGTGGAGAGAGAGAAGTAAAAAAGGAAAGAGAGCAAAATAGTGGGAATATATACCAAAAGAGAGTAATAGAAAGAGTAGAGAGAGAAAGAGAGGGAGAGAATGAAAGAAAGAAAGAAAGAGAGCCAGAAGGAGTAGAGAAAGAAAGTGTGTGTGTGAGAGAGAGAGAGAGAGAGAGAGAGGGGGGGGGGGGGGGGGAGAGACGGGGGGGGGGGGGGGGGGGCGGGAGGGAGGGAAATGTATGAAAAGAAGTACATATAAGTATTGATATTACATGTACTTCCTCAAGTTCAGGGGTATGTATTTGGTCTTGCATCAAGTCTTAAATTCCTTTCACTTGTGTATGGTGGATTCAATTCTATACTTGTGCCTGGTAATCCATTACAATATAAGTACATGTAGTATGTATACTCATTTTGCATTTTTGCATTCAATGGCAAAGAAAACAAATTTCTTGAGTGTATCAGCTAAGATTACCATATTAGTTTAACTCAAGATGAACCATACAACATTGTGTTCATCTGTAATTAACAAACAAGTATTTTAGGCCTGAGTCAAACCGTTTAACCGACGGTTATCCGACCGCATTCATCAAAACCGTTTAGCATTTCTCGCTCCGGTTAACCGTTATTTGCATACATTTTGGAATGTGCTAATAGCCCATGATAAAGATAATCAAAGAAACCGCAGTGTAATGTTACACCCTGC